AGAGTTACAATTTCAGACATTGCAACAAATGAATAAACTTATGCTAGAGAAGAAGCCACAAGAAACTAATAACACGAAACCTTTGTTGCCAAGGTTGCTGCCATCGATGATGTTATTGATGCTATTGATGATGCTGCCAAACTCATCCAACATTTGAGCTTAGGTGCTTCATTCGTCTAAGTTAAATCAAAGTATGAAACAGTTCACAAGAGACTCACTGACAACACCTCACACAGCCAACTCTTATAAGTATATCCTTTCTTTCTATTATCCACTTTAGCCAGTCGTTGTTGCTCTTACCGAATTAGCCACTCACGGAGTCAACCAAAAGGCCTTGACCAAGATTGCTTAATTATTGAGCGAAATCAGATAATAATTAGTCTAAGAAAAGGCTACCAAAACTGTATTTAATTATTCCAATTATCAAGGACGTTGAAGATAGATAAGCTGCTCATTGGGCTGAATTCAGCGTTCATTTGAGCAATGAACACACCAGATTGGTTGAAAGAAAAGCTTAATTGGAAGTCTAAATCTAAGAATAAAAGGATACCATTGAAGATGCTTAATCATGGATCGAATTCCACACCTTGGAATTAGAAAACAGTGAAGAAAGACTTGCTGGATAATAAGCATGGTATGCAGTCTAATCAGAAATCTATGAAACCTAAACTGCTGAAAGGTATCATCAATAATATCCTTCTTTAGAGCTGCCTAAAATGAAATCGTTGATAGACTTTAAGAACACATCAGCGAGAAATTATCAACCACCGCTCAATTCATCAGCAAAAGAAATTGATTTATTAAAAAAAATAAATTATGAACAATAGTTCTAAGTTCAAGCATTTACATTTTAAAATAGTTTCTTATTTCTTTTATATATAATCTTTATGATTCTCTCTATAATGAGAGAGAATAGGAAATTAATTAGTTACAAGAATCAATTCTTCTCTGATTAACTTAGAAATCAATATGTTAGGCACAATCATTATAAATCTATTTGAGATATTATTATTACTAATAATTTCTAAATAAAATGACACAATAAATATTTCAATTTATTTCTAACTTTTAATTTTATTACTAATTAAAAACTTAATATAAAACTTTGTTGTTGAACTAAGATAAGAAGATTTTGTGTTCTTTAAAATTCAGGTAAAAAGGAATTAAAAGTAAAAATTCTTTAATCGCTTATATTTTTCTTTGAAGCTTAACAAAATAGTTTAATATATAAAATTAAATGATGAATTAAAATCACAAATCTTGCAGATAAACAAGTCTTGATACTATCACTTTTCCTCTATGGTTTGTATATCATTTTCTTCAATTTCCTTCATTGACTATTTTTACTTTTCAAATTATCTCCTCAACAAATCCAAGTCATCATTTGAAATTTGCTTTAATAAATTTAACCACTTAATTTCCATGTTAGATAGAGCGAGCACCTTTTCTTGTGAATCTTATTAATAAAGCAATGAATAAATGCAATTTTAATTTTTTGAACTCATGCTCAAAATTACTATTGAAATTAATTATTATAAACTTTTGATGAATTAGTTATGATAATCATAGGTTTGACAAGATAAAACCAAAACTAAAGTTTTGATTTCTCATATTAGGGAATATATTCCAAGACACAATATTCAATTTCTTTATTAATTATAATTAGGTTTTTATGAAAACTAAAAAGTTAAATTGCTTTGATGTTGAACTTTCTGATAATGCTCTATTTGATTGTGAACAATTAATAAAATCAAAATCTAAGTAGAAGTCTAATACTAATTCTGAACTAACACCTTTAGAAGCTCAATATTAAGAAATCAAAAAGGACTATCAATAAGATCTCGTATTATTATAAAGAGGCAGTTTTTTTTTGGCTTATTCAGAGGATGCTCACTTTATTAGAAGGTACATTGATTTACAATGGAAAATTCCAAATTATTTGATAGGATTAAATGAAGCATCTGTAATAGAACATGTTCATACCTTAATTATGTAAACCGATAGAAAAATAGTTTTTTGTGAATAATCTTTATTTCAAATGACATAAAACCAACTAAGAGATCGTTTTATAACTGGAATCTATAGCAAGGGGCTTTTGGGTTTTGGGATATTGGGAGAGAATATATAAAATATTGAATCTAACTATTTGGTTTCCCTCTATAAGAATGAAGCCATAGTGCTAGATACTATCAGCAAAGTAGCCTATAAAACAAGCGATGAGAATTTACCTTTTATAAAGATTACTGAAATAATAACAAATGAAAAAATAAAGACCTTAGCCATAAAAAACGCAGCTAAAGGTGATAGTGCTTTTGAATAGTTAGAAATATTCTTTAAAGACAGGTTTATTAATGGAATATCATAGATCACATTTATTGATAATTCTCCATTGTTTTCAAAATTCTGTTTAATATCTGATAATGCAATAAAATAGTTATTCTTCAAACCCTTGATTTAACCAGTAACTAAGGAGGGTTAAAGAAAATTATAAATGACGTTAAGAAAAATTCCAATTGATGGTATAATGGACAGATAATAGGCATTATAGGATATGAGAAATCACTTAGTTTTCAGAGACAGCTTTTTAGCTGAAATAAAAAGAGTTGGATCTTTGCAACATTAAATGGCTAGAGTGTTTAATGCACCAAAAGATAGTTCAATATTGAAATAATTCCTAAACAATATAAAATATATTCTGGTGTAATTGAAACAGAAGATCTATATTAACAAATAAAATTATCAAAGTGACCAACTCAGAAATCTTAAAGAACTTAATGATAATATTTTGTAAAAGATTTCATAAGAGTTTGTGTGGGAAGGTGAAAATCTTGATGTTTTAGTACCACAAAATTAAGAAAGAACTTAGTATAATTAGATACTAGAAAGCTTAGAAAAAGTAGAGGATGAGGCTAATGATGAATACTTAAGGATAAAGAGTCAATTTTATGAGAATGACCCTAAAGTTACATATTAAACATTTGAAATAGAAATGCCTGAAGAATATAAGACACCTTAATGGATGTTATTTTCAAATAAAAGAAAGGGCTATAGAAGATACACCACCCAATTCCTTTAAAAGTAATAATAATAACACATAAAACTTTTGGATTAATTAAAAATATTTATTCAATTATTCTATTAATAAGTAATTGGGAAGATTTTGGAACATAAAGAATATTTTTAAGAGATAATCAATTAAATTAGTGATCTGGATGTCTTAATAGCAATGTCAAAATATTTAGAAAATGATTAACACAAGTGTCTCCCCTCTTTGTCAACTTAACACTAATTAGTGTTAAGAGATTTCTGCCATCCTTTAATCTAAAATTGTATACCAAATAGTCTCATTATAGAAAAATGTATCATCCTAACTGGATATAATGGGGCAGGAAAATCAACAATTCTCAGATCAGTTGGTCTGCTAGTGATATTGGCTATGTTGGGGTGTTACGTTCCATGTTAATAGATGGTGTTTAAGACATTTAATGAAATACATTGTAGAATGGGTGCATATGATACAATAAGGGAAAGTACATTTTATGTGGAAATGCAAGAGGTTCGAAGAATGATCGATACTCAAAATAGCTTACTGTTGATTGATGAATTGGGAAGAGGAACATGTTCGATTGATGGTCATGCTTTAGCTTATTCGATTTTAAAATATCTACTCAAACAAAATAGCACAATATTATTCACTACTCATTTTGATATTACTTTAGATTAAGTGGTGTATTACATGGAGGATTATTAGTTATAAAGAGGGTAGGTGATTAAAGAACTGACATCCAAAATATTGATATGATAAACTAGTATATAATTATATAATATATATAATATTAAAAACGGAAATGAATTGGTTAATCATTCTAGGTTTGATTTATTTGTGTTAGGCTGAGCATTTTCTATATGAATCAGAGACAGGAGTTTCAATTCAGAATATCATTAATAAAGATGTAGATATAAATATCAAATTCAAAAAACAATTCTCAAGAACTCCAAAGATTGCTTATTCGATTAGTTTATTGGATATGAGTGGTTCTTCATTCATGAGCGAAATTTTGAATGTTAATTAATAAGGTACTAAGCTAAAATTAAACGAGGTTTCACCATAAGAGTTAAAGGAGATCATATTGATTAAATCTCATATAATTGGATGGCCACTGATAATCCCTTAGTTCACATTGAATATGTTAAGTCATAAGAATCAGAAATCTAATTGCCTCTATTCAATTACGAAAGTGATACAACTCCTCTAGTTAACTCGTATTTGGTTGGAGCCACCTTTTAAGACAAGAAATAATTCAATTAGGAAATAGTCGAATTAAATAAGGACATTGTAAAAATTGCGACAAGTGGTGCCAAAGAATTCAAGCTTTGTCTCCTTATATCCAACTTCGAGAACAGTTTCAAGACTGATGATTTGGGAATCATTGTAGATTCTGATGATCACACATGGTTTTCAACTTCTAAAGATGCATAAAAGATATTGGTCTCTTCATATGAAATCCCTAATGACATTGTAGATTTTGTCTAATTGATGGGTATTTCAGGATTCACATCCTTAAGCGATCACATTAGAATCGAAGTAAATGAAGAATAGGAAAATGATGACAATCAAATTAAAGTTGAATTTGGAACTTGTAAAATATTAACATAATATAATTAGGGGACGAATCAACCATTAAATCACTTAGCTTTTATGGATTTTATATTGGTAATCAAGAAGTTAAATATTATGATTAAAATTGTGCTTATTTATATAGTGATTGTGATTATCAAGGATAAGAGGTCAAGATTTGTGATAATAAAGCTAAGCTAGATTACAATGGGTAAATTAAAAGTATCAGATTACCCAAAGATGCTGTGTTCACTCTATATGGAAAGGAAGAGTTCGAGGGTAAAAGATTTAGAATTGAATCCAGTAAATCTTGTATGGATGCATTGTATCTTGGAAAATGAGGATTTACATATAATGTAAAAATTAATCAGGATACAAATATTATTTTCAGAGTTTTAGTGTTCGAATAATCATTCAAAAAAGCATTTACATTTTTTTGTTTTTACAATAAATTATTTATTAAATTATAAAATGGACGAATTTTTCGATGATCCAGCTGGCACAATTGAGACATATGTAGAACCTGAAATTGCAGCTCAACCATTAATGTTTAATGATGCAGGTATGGTACTTTGGAATTCTTAATTAAGCCAGATAACCATTTGAAATCCCTATTGCACCTAATGCTGGAGTTACTTTAGTGGTATTAATGGCAGACTAATTCCTATTTAGAGTGCAGAATAATAAAAGAGAAGAGAAAAATTAAGAGAGTTAGAAGAAGAGAGAATCAAATTTGTAAGGGAGAAAGATTAGGAAGAAAGAATTTAAAAATAATCAAGAAAGGAGAAAGGTTAGCAATATTTACTTCAGTTCTAAACGTATATCTCTATATATAGTATATGAAGGGAGTTGAAAAAAGACATTGAGGCACGAAAAACTGCAAATCAACAGGCTTAAGAACTCAGGTCTCAAAATAAGAGCGAATATGTATTGTGTTATTCATGCAAATCAAGAAAAACTCTTGGGATAAGATAGCATCCAACATAGCATTGAAAGATGGAGAATACCCTGGAGAAAAGGATGTAGCCAAAATGAGACAAGCCATACTTAACAAGAGGAAAGATTTGACTAAGTGAAAATGTATATTATAAAAATATATAATAATCATATAATATAATAGCAACCAATCACAAATTAAGTTATTAGTATACTAATAAACGAATGCATAATTTAAATTCATTGTTTTAATAATCTAATTCATTTAAAATTTTAGTAAAGTAAATTCAGACTAGAGCAGAATTCAATTAATTTAAATAGTAATATTTATTAGAATTTTTTTAAGACTATTGTAATTTTATAGAAGTGTTAAATATATTCTAAAATTCAATAAGGAAAGATTTATTTTATCAAACTTATTAAATAAGGTTTCACTATATATATATTGAATTTCTGATTAAGTTAATCCTTAATGGAGTACAACTAAGTTAATCCTTAATGGAGTACATTATAATCACATTTATCATAAATTAAAAAGGTTATTTATATATAATCAATACTATTTTTTTCATTTTTTTTTTATAGAGAACTAAAAATATTTAACTTATTTAGTATATGGATTATTATCTAGTATTGCAATTGGTTTAAGAATATTAGGTTTCATTATTTATGATTTGATGAGATTAAATGCTAAATAAAAGAAATTAAATAATTTAGTAAAAACGAATAGTGTGATTGTAAAAAGGAATAATGGTTTGATTGTAAAACATAAATTAAATATGAAATTGATTCTTATTGCTCTTTTGGGATTGACACTCACACAAGCTGTCTTTGTTAAGAGATCTAACGATCCAAGCAAGGCAGTTTTCACACAATTGGAAGCCATGGAAGAACACGAATTAGGAAGAAAATTGTTAGACACAATTGCTCTCTAATTGAACAACAAGGCCCCATTGGGAGATATTGCCAAAATGTTACAATAATTGAGAGAGAACCTCATCCTCAACTAATAAGAAGCTGACTAAAAGCACGCTTAAGATGAAGTTGACTGCGAAACAGAAATCTACTAATACAACAGAAGAATTGACTTCGCTTCCAACGAAATCACCGAATCAACCTAAGAAATCTAAACCCTCAGTGCCAAGGTTGAATAATTGACCTAAGATGTTGAAAACAAATAAGTCTAATTGGACATCTTGAACGAATAAGAAACCTAAATCAGAGAATAAAGAGCTGAAGATGCTGATAGTTTCGTCAAGTTCGAGAATGAAACCGAAAACGTCATTGAGGCTGTTGAAGTCATCATCTAAAAGTTGAGCTCAATCCAACCAGATTAAGAAGTCTTGGCTGCCTTGACCTAATTGAACAAGATTGGTGCATCCAACCCAATCCTTGCTCTTATGTAAGTCGCTTCAACCTTCTCAGCTGAATAATTGAACAACGTCCTCAACAAGTTAGGTGAAGTCAGCAACTAATTGGCTGAAGCCCTTGAAGACGCCAGACAAACCGAAATCTAAGCCCAATTAGACTTCGAAGCTTTGGTCGTTGAAATCGCCTCATAAAGAGAATCCTTGAGTGCTGCCAGAGAAGACTCTGAAAGATAACTCCAAGACAACTAATAAGCTTTGGACTTATAAAAGAAGAGAAAGGAAGATGCCACCGACGAATTGAACGCTGCCTCATCAGGAAAGGAATAAAAGGAAGCCGAATGCGATTCATGGAGAACCTAATATGCTTAAGATTCTGAACACAGATAATAAGAAATCTCCATCATCAGATAAGTTGAAGAGATCTTAGCTACCAAGTTATCCAACGTTAAGGTTTATCTCTAAGAGAGATCATCAGCTTGATATAAATTTAATTCTTCAACAAACAAACACCAACTTAGTCATGTTCTATGTAAACTCTGCAATGTCCTTTCCAATTTTCTAATTTAATCATTTTATACTTCTTCACTTTTTCATTGTCGAGTTTCAACTCTTCTAGTTCCTGCAGCCAATTCGTAATTTGATTATATGACTCTTGCTTTGGAGAAGGACTTAATGAAAAAGGCTTTTTCAATGAAGAATGATCCATTGTAAATTGTTTTCCAAATTCATTCAGTCCTGTCAGGCTTGGTAAATGTTTCTACCATTTCTACAGGATTCTCTTCCTCAAACTAATTTCCCCACCCTTTCTCTTTAATTTTGATTTTATCTCAGCTTCATTTCTCTGAGTGAACTAATAGCTCATTGGATTCTTATCTCGACCTTAATCCTTATCCCATTCCCAATGAGCAAATCGTTTCAACACTCTCTTCGGTCTGTCCTACTACGCCTACAGCAAGTAAGTATGAATTTAAGATTTTGGTATCAGTTCACTAACTGACATCGATCCTACATTCTGGTGTCTGGACAATCCTGTGAGAACTGGACCCAAATTTCGATCTTCTATCAGTTCCTGCTATTGAAATGCAAATTTTATAAATGTTAATTTGCGATCTTCCAAAGTTTATTTTAAAGAATTGAAGTCATCAACATTCTGTTTGATATATGTAGACTGTATTGCTTTCTAAGCAGATTGCTCTTGATTATTGAGATTGCTATCAATTACATCCTTAATTCTGAATTTTGTTCTTCTTATTGTTTGACTCATATTCTTTATTATATATATAAATTTAAACTAAATTTTATTAATTTCATCCATTTCTTGATATAACTTACTGTCCCAGAGCAATTGACTGTTGTATAGCATTTGGTTACCCCAGAGCAATTGACTATCCTCCAGTTATTTGCTTCTTTGGAGACGCCTCAACCTATTCTGACGATTTAATGTAATCACGTTGTCTGTCCATCTTATTCTCAGACACTGATATTGGACTCGAGGCTTAAACTGAACTCTATTGTTATTGTTGCTATTGCTGTTCTTAATGAGTATTGACAATTTGATCACACAATGAAATCAATTTATTTAAATATTCAAGATTGTCTGGGTTTTCATCCCACTGATACACCTCATTGAAAGCCTTTCTTGTTTAGAACAATTGGGAGTTACTCTTTAATTACTACAACTTGAACTTTATATGTGAGGATTTATACAAAGACACCAAAATCTCTTATTTGTATGGTGATATTTAATAATTTAGATTGATAATGTTATTGTAAAAGGATTTCGCAGTTGATTACAGTTACTAATGCAATTGATTTGGAGTTAACTGATTAGTTCTTGCTAAAAGAGTGGCTTAAATGATCTTTTCATTCACATTCTAATTTGTCTCAATCAACAGCTTTGTATCTAACATTTATTACAGATTGATTTGAGATTGCTTGTCCTAAACCAACTTACAAACCTCAACATTCATTTATGATTTCACAGAATACATCTTCTCTAAAGTGTATGTGCTGCTCTATCTCATTGGAGATGTCACTGAATTCATAACAGTTGCCACCAAGGCATTGTAATCATTAAAGGTCAAAGTGGATTTATATTATCGTGCATAGTATTCATTCAATCCAGAATTGTCAAAGGCTACCACATTTAATGCTTCAAGAAACCTCAAGTTTTATGCACTTTTAACAATATCATGTCCATACTCCTGATTTGGAAAGATTGTGAAAGTCTAAACTACTTTGTCGTAATATTGAAGTAGATCTTGTAACATACTGATGTCCGTGCTTAAATGATGAGTAATCTGTATTCCTTGGCAGTTATCACATATTTCCATCTCTTTACGCAAACTCTCATCCAACTCTAATTAATAGTTATTGGGATTAAAAATTAGTGATTATGGATTAGCCAGTATTTGCTCCACATCTCTTGAACATAAGATTGATCTAGGAACAAATTTTTTGTCCCCAATTTCACTAAAATGTACCTCAATTCCTTCAGCTGGCTTCTCACATGTCCTATTATTCTCTATTTAGTAATCTTAGATAAGCTATTCGTAAAATTTGCATCCTATTCTAACTCCACAATTTCCCAAACCTATATGTATTATTTCTCTCATTTATTCAAGAATTTATTATTAATAAAATATAGCTTAACTTTTAACTATATATATAATTGGACATAAAAACTTAAAATTATTACTATATACATATCAAATATATTATGTCATCACTTCTACATCTTAATTTCAGCCTTGATATCTTTTAATCTACCCAATAATTCTTTATATTATTCATTTTCACTATAAAAGGGTTCCAATAATTTAATAGCCTAAATACTGTAATTTTCAGCTTTTAGTAGATAGTTCAAGTGAAATCCCAATTTAGATGCTTCATTCATTTTCCATCCTAAGTAGGGATGTCTATCATTATCATAATACTTGGGCATCAAAGCGATGATCTCCTCTAGTAGAGTGAATGCTTTTTTAAATTTCTATTAATTCAATAGGGTTAGATATTCCTATTATTTTAGATTCAATTAATCAGAATCTTCTTCACTATTAGATTATTCTTGTAGACACCTATCACAATCACAAATAAATCCATATTATGATTTTAAAAACTTTTATCTATCTTTAAAGCTAACAATATTTCCATAACTAATACAGAGCTCCTATGGATCATTTTCATTTTAAACAAAAGAATTATTAGTTATTATTATTAATTACCTTTGATTAAAAAAATGAGAACAATTGGCCACATTTTTTTATTTGGCTGATGTCTTGATGCATTTGTGATTTAAAAAGTTAGCAGGAGTATATATTGCAATTCCTAAAGTGTCACCATTGATATCAGTTACAGTAAATGTATTTAGATGAATCTTTACTTATATTGACACCAATTTAGCAAAGCTTTCATTCTCCAATTAAGCAATCTTCACAATATATGCAGCACAATCAAAAATTTGTTAATAAGTCTATTAATCTATATCCTTGTCCACATCCCCATAGAAATTCTAGATATCGATGTTATTCTGAAATAATCTGATGAGTATTAAAATATTACATGGCATTTCCTTAGTAATTTTACTCAACAATTGACATTCATTTTTATGTTATTTCCAATCATTCTTTTGACAAGAAACAGAACAATAATAATATTATTTGCAAATTGAACAACGATTTGTTTATGATCCTTATAAACAATAATTACAATGATTTGCTCTAAATTCCTTAAAGAGTACAATAGCTAAGGGATCACACTTCATAACTACTTAATCTTACTTTGCTTATGCAAAATATCTTCTATCTTAAGGAGTAATGATTTTAATCATAAATTATAAAATAATCAAACTTATTATATTTATTATTATTATTATTATTATTAAGGCATCCCTTGAACTTTCTTTTCATCCTCTAATTGTTTATCTGTGATAAGTTTAGATATATATCCAAATATTTTAGTTCTTCCTTCTCTAATCACTAGAATCTATTCAGTTTTAAGATACTCTGCAGCATAAAGAAATCGTAACCTTTAAATTAAAGAAATGTCTTACCTCACTGTGTCTACATCCCCAGTTCTTAATACTTCATGTTAGAATATTTTCTTCATTTCCACAGCCTATCTAATCACACCACAATGCATAACTGCTTAATATCCATGACTCATAGTTGTTGGATGATGGAGTACATGAATGTTGGCCTAAAGTAATTGTAATTCTCTATACTTCAAATTCTAGAACAGGTTCAGGTTTCACAGCTGGATCAATTAAAATCATTCCCTTCCTGAAATCAGCTCTGTCTAATTTATCTCCAGCCTTAGATGGCTTAAGAGCAAAACAGGCGAATTCTCCTACCTAAGCCGATTCAACTGATACTCTATTTATGTGTATAGATTTGATGGTTACTGGTTTGAATGCTATAAATTACAATAAATGAAATATTTACTTTTTCCTTTATCTGGTCCCAACAAAGCATGTTGATTCAATCCTGCTTTTCCACTTCTTACTATTCCACTTACAACTACACCAACTCCTGGAACATTAAAATTCTCTTGTATGTCAAATTGAAATGGATCATTCACTGTTTAATAAGCTTTATTTATTTCATCTCTATTTGGTACTCTGCTTATGAAACGAGCCAATTATTGCAATCCAATTCCAGTAACACTGGAGACTTGAAATATTGGAACAACATTATTCCCGTGCATAAGTGCTGCCCATTTATCGATTTCATCCATTCCAGTTTTTTCATCGAATACTACTGCTGTTCTCTTTATTGCTGGACTTCGAATCAAGCCTTTTATATTTTCGATTGTCTCATTGTAGACATTTTAAGGGGCTATATCAATTTTTGTTAAGACTATTGCAAATGGGATTTTCAAAAATAAACTCACTCCCAAATGTTCTCTTGTCATTTTCGATACGCCCATATTGGCTCCGACTATAATCAGAGAATAATCTGGTATCATAGCCACCAAACCGAATATTGTAGTTTTTAAATATTTTTCATGACCACAGAGATCCAAAAATGTAACTATCTTCTTACTCTTTTCAACTACGAGACTCCAATATTTGTTTTTATTTTAATTGAATCTTTCAGGAAGCACTTGCTTTAAATTGTCATCGAATCCCATTATTTCCTATGCCACTGATGATGTCCTTCCATTCTCCTTTTCATGCTTGTAATTGAAGACGCGCTGCATAAATTAAAATTCAAACCTCTCTCGCTCCTCCTCTTCCATCATCTAAAATTCCCTTTGTTAGCACTCCAACCAACGTTGATTTGCCTGAATCAACATTACCTATTATTGCCAACTTGCTATGTTCTTATCTCTATACTTACATAATATTAATATATGTATTTTTTTTAATGTTTGAATTTAGATATCAAATAATTCTTTCTTAAAATTATAATATTATAATAATGTCTTAATATGAATGAACAGAATACTCAAATGGCCCGTATTGTTCAATTGGTGTTTCAATTATCAAAATTATTTTATTCCTCAAACCTAATGTATTTCTTACTAACTGAGTTTAATCAATTTGAATGATATTTTTAAATTGTCTTTATGATGCTTTCTAAATGGTTGTGATTACAAAGGATACTTGTTTGCTTAATTTATAATAAATAATTTATTAATTTTGATATGCATGATTTATATTTTATTCATCAAAGTAATTATAATTTTATTTAAACTTTTCTTCTCTGATCTAAGTTGGATTTAATGATATCATTCGATTTATTGATATCATAGAAGGAAGTATATATTTAAACTTGTTGTAAATATATAAATTTTTTAAGTTTGGTTAATCATTTTTTGCAATTAATATTATTTTATTATATGAACTAATTGTTAGAATGGATTACCTGTAAATTATAATATATCTCATTAATATGATGTATAATTTTAAGATATTACTTGATCATCATCATATTTTATTGTTCGAAGTTTACTATTTTTTATGTAAATACTCTTAATCTTCTTAGTACCCTTTATTCAGCTGTATCTCATAAATTTCAATATTCTCCAAAAATTATTAGTCATAACACTTAATTATAATGGAGAATATACGAAATCTTGTATTGTATGAATTAAAGAGTCATCACCATCAGTATCTATTTTTTGAATTCTTAAGATCTTTTGTTAAAGAGCTAATTATTGATTGTACAATATACAAGGAAAGATACTTGAATTCACTATTCCAATTAACCATGCACTAAAGACTATCAATTTTATCATGAATATTGTTTTTGTATATTCTTCTGTTGCAGAATCTCCTTTGAAGAATACTTTTTAATGATTAATGTAGTATTAGATTTTTCTAATTAGGAGAATTAATAATAATATTAAGCGATGTTTCAATACATTTGTATAAATTGATAGGGTTCTATTTTGAAAATTTTTATAAAAACTAAAAATGCCTAAATACCTTGATGTATTAACAATTGAATAGGCTTTAATAAAAGCTGGAAATGGACACTCATTTCAAAGAAGAGCACTCATTATCATGGGGTTGTAGTATATGATTGCAGGGATGCTCCACATAGCAATGACAGAGTTATTCTTCCATCAATAGCAATACAAATGCCTTTCAGAAGATCTGAATTACTAAAATTGTACTGAAGGAGCATTTTGTGAATAATACAAAACGAAGGAAAATAAAGTGTCATTGGTGGATCACTCTGATTTAGGCAGCTTGATCAAATACTTCTTAATGGTGTGTGGTGATAAAATTCAAATATTCATATTGGTCACATCCTATTATATTGGAGGTAGTATGGGTTCATTGTACTACGGTGAATAAATGGAAATCAGATAAGGCAGATAGTACGTTTAAATAACTATAAACTTAGCACTGTAATGATTGAAACATTACTAATGATGGGCTTCGTATGTTGTATAAGTATGCTCTCCCCTTCGGCATATATTTTGAGTGTGGCTCTATTCGCGATTAATTTCTTTTCAAGAGGGTTTTTTAACTCTTCGATGATCTTGTTTTTTGAAATATCAAGTGAGAATCTATAGAAATTTGGACCAGCTCTATTGTTAACATGTTACGGAGTTGGTGAAGTGATATCTCCAAGACTTATAGAGATGTTCAATTTAAATTGGCAATATTCAATGCTCCTATTATTTGGATTGCCGGCAGTGTTATTTTCAGTGTTGATCAAATTTATGTAGGAATCCCCAAGAATTTTGGTAATCAGACGTAAATTTGAGGAGGCAAAATTAACAATTAATTACATTGCAAGTGTGAATGGAAGAGAAATGCCAGAAAATTGGATATTAGAAGATGATGTCAGAATTAATGAATTGAAGGTCAAAATGAAGAATATCCTACTCTAAGTGGAGATTCATGAATAACCAAAAGGATATAACTTTTCCTCTATATTCAGATATAAATCAATTAGAATTAGAATGATCTGTCTTCTTTATTTGTATAGCATTGTAGTTTTAGGTTAATTCTAAACAGCCAAAGAAATAGAGAGATTTTCAAGATTGGAAAGACATCACACTTATCTCCTATTATCATTAGTATCTACTGCTGGTTATTTAATCAGTGGCTATGCTTCTCTAAATTATTTAAGGAAGGAAGTAATCAAGGCTATTCTAATTTTGGGTGCCATATTTCATTTCTTGATTGCTGCTCTGCCATTATTAATTTTAAATAAAACAGCCAGTGATTTAATAACCTTCTATGATAAATTGGTGTACACTTTCATTATGATGGTTCTAGTTATGTGTAGATTGACTTTGAGTTTTGCATATGGATTTATTAATGTATAGTTATTTTACAATATTGTTAGGTCTACGCCTTAGAAATATTCCCAACTTCTTTGAGACATTACGGATTTTGTGGACTTACATTTTTGACTGAATTCCTATTCATTTTCTAAGATTCTTATGTGATCTTTTGTCATGCCTTTGGACTGAACTCATCCATTGGGATGTTTGTTTTATTACTTTTGGGATTATTGACCTTATAGAAATTGAGGGAGACTCAAGATTTACCACTCAAGGAAAATGTCGATGAAATGTAAGATGAGTTAATTAATAACATATATTCTGCTTGATATGTATATACATTTTAGAAATAAGATTCATCTTTGTCTAGATTTTCTTAATCTCTCCACGTGTATATTAATACAGTGCTTTGGAGATTATTGAGAAGTAGTTGAGTAGTAAGAAGATCCTTTTAATTAAGTTAATTCACTTCTTTCCGTTTTTAATAGGTTTTTTAGTCTGTTGCTATTGCTTAATTTAAAAATAGAATGAGTTTATCTTTGGTATTGTGGCATCAATTTGATATAATTTGGAATTTCAATTGGGATGAGACAATTGGTGCTAGTAATTGGAGGATGATGACTGATTCTATTGCTCAATGAAATCTGTCTAGTCGAATGAAAGCGAGTTATTTCTGAATCTAGATTCAAAATGGTTTTGGTTGTAGGACGACAAGTAAGTAAAGATTCAGTTGCCTTCCTCCTCAAAAGTATTTATTTTGAATGTCTCTCTGCCTTTTACTCTGACTTCTTCGAACAATCAGTTGTTAAGTTATGATTTTCTAAAGTTGAAAGAAATTGCTAAGCACTCAATGTCATCAGTATAGTCTCGTTACTCTTACACGTAGCCTTTTGAGTCCTTTTAACTCCTTTGAGTATTTCATTTTCTCCAAAGATAGCTCCTTTAGTCATTAAAGATATTACAATCCTTTATCGATTATTTATTTGATATGATAATTCCACTTCCCCAGTCATTATAAAATAAACTGAGTGTGATTCTTCATTCTCCTTATAAATTGTGCTGTTTAATTTAGGTTATATCTCAATCATTTGATGCATCAATTAGGTCAGATGCTGGTCGGGTATCCCATGCAAATATGGAATGTTATCAAAGAAGGCTAGTTACTATTTGTGAATTGAATTATGATGCTCGTATAATATGCGATCGAAAGCATTTTTCTAGAGAGTCATAAAATGGCAGTCGACACTACATATTATAGTTGCTGTTCTCTTTGATTTTGTTATCAGAGCCAATTCACCGAAAGTATCTCCAGCCTTTAAGGTTCTAACCTTTATGAAGTCCGAATATGCAATAGTTAAGAATTCATTAAAATCGCTAAATTATTTCTTTTTCTCATTCTCAATTCGCTATCTCATCTAATCAACTGTCAATCTATGATTAAATAGATCTTCTTGTACCTGAGGCTTTGGTAGCAATACCACCACCTCCCCTTTCAGAATTATATAATACGTGGATCCCATATCACCTAGTCATAATAATTACTAATACCATAATTAAATACGGATTCATAAGCTTTAACATTCTCATAATTAAGGTTCTTGTAGATTTGAGTATAAAGATAAAGTGGAAGTTTGGCTTTCTATTCTTCAAAGAATTTTAAATTCCCAAAGTTTTTCATCATAAATTCCAGCTCTGTTTTAGTCAACTCACCACGTAGAAGCAATTCTATTGTAATCTAACTCTTAATTATTTATACCTCATAATTTTCATTTTCATATTCTGTTATTGCTTATAACTTACGTCTTATTGATTTAAGCATATAAATATAATATATTTATATATTAAACTTTCTTTTCTAAGATGAATTGAATTAACGAGAAAAATCAATCAGGCAGAAACTTTATGTTACTCAATTTTGCACTTACTATAAGATACAAAAAAGCTCGATTTAAAGATTTGTCGACGGTATAAAAGTATGTTAATTTTAATAAGTGAAAATATTTCACTGCTGTTATTTCTTACCCACTGAATTTTCTTCTGTCATTTAATAATTAAGATTTTATGGTCACCAATGACATATTTGTAACCAATTTACACAGTTCTGAGAGCCTCTATTTGATACAGTAATTGATTTATAGTTTACCTAGGGTAGTATTTACAAGAAATAACACAATCTATTTCTGAATCTAAAATAATATAGTATCATTTAATACCTTACTTTCTAAAGGTTTAGAATCTTTAATTAGTAACACAAATTAACTTTAATCATAAATTTAATTACAAAATTCACTTATATCTTACAATAAATCCAAAATCATATTGTATAAACTTTACTTTTTGAATCTTGGGTCCTGATATTGCTCCTGAAATAATTTAAGAAGAATCGGAACACTCTTTTTACTTCATTTCTTTCTGGACTTTTTCTTGGAAAGCCATGATAAAGGGAAAATTAATTTTGTTGGCTCGCTTCACAATCTTTCTTTTGATTCAATCAAATCTTTTTTAAAAATTACTTCAATTCATTTATAAATAAAATAAATAAATGACTTAAATTTTCTTTAAATAATATGAATTTGAAGTAAAATTCGAAGAATGAAGAGCAAAAATAAAATTCAAAAATATGAATTCGAAAAACTCGATAATTAAGAAATATACTTCAGTTGAGGATTATATCAACCATTGTTTTAATGATTTCAAGCTAAAGAATCCTAAGCTTACAAAAAGATAAATAAATATCTAACTACAAGATAATTGGAAAAAGGAACAAAAGAAGCATTTATCGAAACATCCTAAGAAAGAGGAATCTATTCTCATCCAACATGATGAAAATGAAGAAATCTATATACCTATTGATGTCATCAATAATGAAAAACAAGTTTACATATTCATATGATTTTTAGATTAAACCAAAGAAAAATAAAAAAACCTCAAAAAAATATAAAAAAAAATCATAAAATTTGTCTAAATCAATCATCGTCAAAAAACAAACTGATTCATCTTAATAATCATATGACATACATTCATTAGAAGATCGAATGTCTAACATCTAAATTGATGTTAGAGAATCATCTAAAACAAAGCCTTCAAAAAGTTAGAGAAATCAATAATAATTAAATACAACAAATGAATTGATTAAAACAAACCAATGCAAAGCAAAATAGAAAAAGTAAAAAAAAGTGGCTTTTAAATAAGAAGAAAAAATATAGAAAAACTTAATTAGTAGGAATGCTGCAGATGAAAAACCAGTTCCAATTCAAGATTTTATAAACTCTGCTAATTTTATTGATCATATCAGTATCATAAAAATATAAACAAACAAGACAAACCAAGGATAGATTGAGGTAGATAAAATTAAGTCTATTTACTCTCATACGTATGGTTTGGTTAATCATTATAAAGACACATCAAACCTAAATTTATAATTATTCTTTCAAGTAGAATTTCATCCAAGACCAGATGGAACATGCCCTGATGATACATTTTGTACTGCAAAACAAGCAGCATTATATAATAAAGATTTGGTTTTAGATTATTTGAATAAACATAAAAATATTTTTACATAAGATTGTGAGTATTATATTAATTGAAAAACATCATTAGAAATATTACAAGAATTATGAATTATTCTAAAAGGATATTTAAGGCACATTGTAATCTTAGTTTTGAAACATTTTATTTTATAATTAAATCTCATTTTAGATATGTTCAATTTTATGAATTTTTTCTTATCCTCATAATTATAAGAAAGTTTAGTTATTTTCTATAATGGGTCCATTCATTCAAAAATTTAATCTAATATATACTTATGATAAAATCCTTTTTGATTAATCTAATTTTGTTTAGAATCATAAAAAAATTAAATCATTTATTGAAATAGCAAAGTGGATTTTCTTCAAAATTAATTTTAGATTGCATATAATCCAAATATTTTTCTATCGCACCATTTCATATTTTGACGTTATTTTTATTCTATATCACTATTCTGGTTACTAATATAATATTAATAATTTAGTTTCAATATTGTAAAGATCAATGAAGAGTTGTTATAATTACTCATAATCAATCGGGTAGAGGTGTTTTATTCATAATTGTAATCAAATGGGCAAGTTAAGTAAATTGAAAATATAATCCTAATAACTCATCAGGATTGATCAGTGTTGTAGAAAATTTCCAAATAAAATTTTTATAATTCAACACAGATTTAATTAATAAAATGATTCAAGATAGCTTAGTTCTAAAATTGATTTTCAAGGACATCAAACTTAAATTTTCAGTTCCTGATCCTACTTAATCAATCGAATATCTCAAAGGCATTATTTTACAAAAGTTATCAGAGTAAGGAATAAGCTTGCTTCCAAATAATGTTCAATGCAATGATTCAGATGACTTTATGCTTAATTCATCAGATATAATTGGATAACTATTAAAATAAAATGACACTGTCAAATTAGTGGAAAAGGTAGCAGATAACATAATATAATAACAATAATAACAATAACAATAACAATCATAAGATAATGCCACAGAATCTCCTTAAATAATTTAATAACAAGATCCTGCTGAAGCCATTGTTGTACTTTATGATATCTCAGGTTCAATGAGTTCATAATTTTTTGGAGATAAAGAGCTTTCAAGAATGGGGGCAGTAAATGCCTTCTTCTCAGCCTTCGCTGACAAGACCTTAGCTTTTGAATTCAACCACATAGTGAAATTGGTTTGGTTTGGATCAGCATTGTATGATAAATGCGAGTTTATAAGTGACTTCAATAAATTTATCAAATTGGTAGATGATGCTAATCCTGGAGGGTCAACTAAATGTTATGATGCCATCGATTATGCTATCAATAAACTATTGGAAGTAAAATAAAAATATCCAGATATTGTGTTGAGAATACTTGCATTAACTGATGGAGAGGATAATGCTTCAACCAGTAAACCTAATACTTTAGTTTAAAAGATCTTTGATCATAAAATAATCATAGATTCATTTGTTGTGGGAGAAAACTGTGTTGGTTTAAAGACCTTGACACATGCTAGTAATGGAAGATGCTATTGTCCAAGAGACTTAGGATAAGGAATGTCTCTATTTGAAATTGAAAGTATTTTAAGTACTAGTAGAAGAGAAAAGGTGGAATACCCAACTAATGTGGTAGATTTGGATGCTATCAAAGGAAAACCATTTGATACCGAAGGAATGAAGGTTGTTACTGTAGATGTCTCAAATAAAGCAGTAATGAAAAGAGAAGAAATCCTGAAAAGAGCCAAAGAAGCAGATGCTTAGGATATTCAACAAGCAGCCAATAAAACAGCTGTTGAAGGTAAAAAGGCTATAGGTGGTGGCGGAAGTGGAAGAGAAAGAAGAGTATTGAAGGAATTAAATGATGCTGTAACTAAAAATTATGGTGAATGTAGAATGTATCCAACTGCAGATGACATTGGACTTTGGAAGATATTAATGCTAGGCCCAAAAAACACTCCATTTGAGAATGGAATCTATTAGTTAACTTGTGTAATCCCTCAGGATTATCCATTCAAACCTCCTAAAATTACATTTTCGACTAGAATGCATCATCCAAATATAAGCAAAGCTTCTGGAGGAATTTGTTTAGATATATTAAAAGATCAATGGAGTCCTGCCTTGACTGTATTTTCAGCTCTCCTTTCTATTAGAAGTTTATTAACTGATCCAAACCCAGATGACGCTTTAGATAGTAATGTGGCAGCTGAATATAAACACGAAAAAGAATTATATATTTAAAATGTAATAAAAGAAAAGCAACTTTATGCTAGTCCAACAGTGGAAGATTTATTGAAGGAAGTCTTAGGTACAGTTAGTGTTGATTCTCAAGAATATAAGGATGCTCATAAAGATCTCAGTGAATGGATAGCATAGTATAAATGATTGATTTGTTATTGTTAAAATAATCAGTATATATAAATAAATGTAATAATACTTTCTACTACTTTTATTCCCTATATATCAAGATTCGACAGTCTGAATAGTTCAGATATATATCATTCATCAATTATACAACTGCAAAAATGTAAATGTAATTCAAATTCATGTTGCATGCAAAAAATACAAAAATAAATTTTAATTGAAACAGTCCAAATTCATTTATGAAAAATATATTTTAATATATTTATTTATGATTTCTATTTAATAGGGAGATAGATTAGAGTGCTTTAAGATTGATAATCACTTCATAGGAACTTTAACATTATTAAATAATTATCCTTCTCAGTATTGAGTATTTCTTAATTATAGCCATTGTGGTTTCAAGATAAGAACCAACAATACTCAAGACATTCAGGTGTTGCCTTATATCGGTTCCTTTAAGGGATAAAATTGCAAAATTACAGTAAAATGCGTAAAGTTCTAAAGTAAGCAGTATTATTGATGATGAAGGAAATGCGAAATTGTAAATCTTGATAGCTGATATAAATGATCAAAACTTCAATAAGACTGACCCTAAGTCGTTGGCATAATACTTTGAGGCAAACAGTAATAACCCAAAAGTAGAAAAAATTAAAATTGAGATTGTTACTATTGATTAAAATTTATTAATAAAGTAATCAAGTATCATCAACTAATCAGCTTCTTAATTTAGATATTACGAAGATCAAATGTATGTAAAGGAAGAGGTTACATATGAATAAACTGGCCATCTAATGAGAACTGGATAAGGATAATAATAATAATAATTAATATAAGATGCATCTTAATAGAGTAGTGGAGTATTGGAGGATGACCAAAGATAGTTTATTACGTAACCAACGTTTTAGATACAATATCAAACCTTTTCAAAACAATCCTCAGGTTCTTAAAATAATATCTTGAATGGTTAAAATCAAAAGTAATAAACACATTCTTATTAACCTTAAAAATAGAATGGTTTTAAATATGAAATTGATGAAGATCCTTAGATAAAATTGTTGAACTCACGAATCTTATAATTGTAAAATGAACTCGAGAAATCAGAAGCTGAAAAAAAGAGTTTAGAATAGTAAAAGCACTCACTCTTAAATAATTATTAAGAAAAAGATTCGTAAATCTTTGTTTCTATCCAACATGTTTTTTTCTCCGCAATCTTTTGTTTTCTATTAGGGTATGTAACCGCAAGTTGATGATTTAATATAATATATTTATTTCAATATTTAGAAATTTCACTTCTTTTACAGTATTTACCTTAAACTTGCCATTTGCTTAAAATAACTCTGATATCATACATATACTAAAAATTAGTTTATCTAATTAGCATAGGAGTTAGAAATTTTAGAAAACAATTTGAATAGTTGAATTTCAACATCAATTATTTTAATTTAAATTTTTAATATTATACATGAATTAGATTTCCAGTAATTTAAAAATAAATATTGAAAAAATTCTGCAACACTGATATTAAATTTGATGCGTATTTAATTATAAGCATTATTTGATATGACGAATTCTAATCGTTTTATTTTGAACACATTTAATTGATTGTAGCATCTTTTTAATAAATAAAAAGATGAATACTTAAGCCAATGAAATTGATCCTCTAAAGCAAGAGACTAAGAGAAGGGTAACCAAGCCAGTATCTTATTTGTAACTTTACAGATTCGCAAATCAAATGGATTATGTGTGGATAGCAATAAGCATTGTTGGAGCAATATGCAATGGTTTATCAATGCCAATATATTCAATCATTTTCGGAAATCTGACTGACTCCTTTGCATATGAAGATGCTGACACCAAACTAAACAAGGCTGGTCTCAACACTATGTATATATTTTTAGTTTAGTATAATAGTTACATGTTTGTGTTGGGAATCTGCACTCTTTTGGTGACTCTGATCATGTATACAACGTTTTCAATAACATCAGAAAATTAAACCAAAAGATTGAGAAGACAATACTTAAAATCACTGTTGACGAAATAAGTGAAATGGTACGACGAGATAAACGCAAATTCCTTAAACACAAAAGTGAATTCAGAAATCTTAGCAATATCAGACGCCATAGGAGATAAGGTTATTACATTTGGATTTTCGATTGCAACATTCTTAAGCGGTTTTTTAGTCGGATATATTAAGTAAACAGATAATTTATAAAAATAGAGGATGGAAACTAGCTTTGGTGATTACGTCTGCTCTTCCTGTCTTAGCCATTACCATAGCCCTTATTGGTATATCAGCATCATGGAGAGAGTAATTCATTTAAAAATCGGATATTGAATCCTCATCTTTAGTTGAAGAAGTAATTTTCTAATTAATTTTTTAGGTATTAAGTTCAATTAAAACCGTGAAAACACTTGATGGAGAGGAATTTGAGTTTGAAAGATTTAGGAGAGTCATATTGAATTCCTCCAAATCCATAATTAAATATGGATTGTATTATGGGCTTGCTTTTGGATCAATGTGTGGCGTTTAATAGTTTACCTACGCTCTAGGAATATTTTACAGTGGAGTGCTTGTGACTGATTAAGTAAAACTGTTGACTTAATTTTAGATTGCCCCTGATTACTCAGGTCCCATATATACTTCTGGGAGTATATGTACTATTTTTATATCTGTATTGATGGGGAGTTTGTCGTTAGGTAAGATTGGTCCATGTCTATCATGTTTTGCAAAAGGGAAGTTAGCTGCTATGGAAGTCTTTCAAGTAATTGATGAGAGTCAAGAACAGGAGAAGAAAAATACTCAAGGATCCTTTGAAAATCTTGATGGTGATATCAAATTTTAAAACATTTAATTTAGTTATCCATCTAAACCAGACCATGTTGTTTTGAAGAATATCTCATTTGTAATACCACAAGGAAAGAAAATAGCTTTGGTTGGAGAAAGTGGTTCTGGAAAGTCTACTATTGGCCAGCTCCTTTTGAAATTCTATGAAATTGAAAATGGGTAAATCTTAATTGGAACTGATCAAATTCCTTTGAGTCAAATTGATACACATTAATTCAGATCACAAATTTCTATAGTTTCTTAAGAACCAGCATTATTTAATACTACAATACGTGAAAATCTAAGGTTGGGGAACTAAAGAGCAACAGATGAGGAACTACAAACAATGTTAAATTTGATGAATTCATCAGAATTAATAGATCATTTAGATACAAATGTGGGATTTAATGGGAATCAATTCAGTGGTGGTTAAAAATAACGTATAGCTTTGGCTAGAGCACTACTATAGAATCCAAAAATTCTTATTTTAGATGAAGCTACCAGTGCTTTAGATAGAACAAATGAATAATAAATAACTAGAATTATTGATGAGAAATTCAACAAAACTACAAGAATTGTAATAGCTCACAGATTGTCTACAGTATAAGATAGTGATAATATCATTGTGTTTAATTAAGGAGAAATCATAGGATAAGGCACTCATAATGAATTACTCTAAAATTGTGAACATTACTCTTATTTGATATCCAAACAATAATAGAAAGAAGAGAATGGTATTGGAACTCTAACGTTTTTAGAAATGGAAACCTAAAGAAAAATACCTGGAGGATCATTAACTAAAATAATTAGTTAAGAAAATAATTAATTTGATAAATCTAAAGTGTAGGTCTTAAACACTTAGGGCGATGTAAAATAATAGTTCGATAAGGAATGTAATGAAGAAATGAAAGCAGAAGCAGTAGACAATGGATCAGAGTTGTCATTTTGGAAAAGCATTAAGAGTTTAATAGTGTTAAATTACAAAGAATTACCATATCTTATAATTGGATCTATAGCAGCACTGGGAAATGGATCGATATACCCAATATTTTCATAAATTTTAGCTGATGTTATAGATAATTTATTGATTCATAATCCCCAAAGAGTCAATTCAATTAAGGATGAAAATGAGAGATAACAATTCATTAATGCTCTGGATGATACAATTATCAACAGCGCTACCACACTACTTATATTAGGATTTATATATTTTGTAACCAGCGCTTTAGAATGCTTCTGTTTCAGTGTCTATTCAGAACGTTTAACTATTAGAATGAAAAATGAAATTTATCAGAAGTTTTTAAGGCTTCCAATCAGCTTTTATGACAACCCAAATAATAATATAGGCTTCTTAACTCCTAAAGTAACCAATGATACAAGAGTAGTTTAATAATTCTTTCAAAATATTATAGGATTTAAGTGTTAATATTATTCAGCAATTATTGTAGGATTTGCCTTGTCATTTGCATCTTCATGGAAATTAACACTATTGGCTATAGGCTTGGCTCCAATATCATATATAGGTGGATGCTTAAGTGAAAGATATGTTGTAGGTTCATAGCAATCATTTGCACAAAAGGCATATATCAATAGCAACAAGTTGTTGATGGATACCTTAACAAATATTAGGACTGTCTATTCATTAAGAGCAGAGACCTTTATCGTCAATTAATATGCTAACCAATTAGAAGAGCCTTCTAGACAAGTCAAAAAATTTGGTGCCTAGGTTGGATTCAGTTCTGGATATGCCTAAATGAAACCATTTATTGTTAATGGATACTTATTTTTGATGGGAACTCTACTCACTATATATGATGATCTCCCTATTCTGGCTATTTATTAAACCATTTTAGCCATTATATTCTCTGTTGTGGGAGGGGCAAAAACTATATATTTTCAATCGGATAATAATAAAACTAAGAACTCAATTGCCTATTATTTTAGTCTGTTAGAGACTGAAGATGAATACTAAAGAGAATAGAGACTACAACATCCAAGAATTAAAAGAAACATTCTTGGTAATATTGAATTTAAGAATGTTATCTTTTCTTATCCATAAAGACCAAACTTGATTGTTTTGAAAAATTTAAGTATTAAAATTGATGCAGGCCATAATGTTGGTTTAGTTGGATGTTCTGGTTGTGGTAAATCAACAATATTCTAGCTACTTTTCAGACTATATGATGTTAATTCTGGGGAAATTACTTTAGATGGCATATCAATCTATGACTACGATCTCAGATTTCTTAGGCAATAAATCTCAATTGTTTCTTAAGAGCCATAGCTCTTTAATGAATCTATTGCCTACAATATTAGATACAATTAAACCAATGCTACTGAAGAGGATATCATTTAAAAATCAAAATTATCACATGCTTATGAATTCATTATGGATGAACAATGTGAGGATCAAACTAATTCAGGATTTAATAAAAAGGTTGGTACCAAAGGGAGTCTAATTTCAGGGGGTCAAAAATAAAGGATTGCTATTTCCAGGGCGTTGTTGAGAAATTCAAAAATTTATTTATTTGATGAGTCTACAAGTGCCTTAGATTCTAACGTAGAATCTTTGGTATAATAATAATTGGAAGAATGTCTAAAAGAAAAGACATCCGTTGTTATAGCTCACAGGATGTCTACAATTAAGGTAAAATCATTTATTTATCCTTAGAATTGTAAAATCATTTATGTATTTGATAAGGGTTAAATTATTGAACAAGGCAATTATGGCCATTTAGTTAGCTTAAAAGGCCACTTTTACAAATTAGAACAAGGTCTTTTAAATCAGAATCAGGAAGAGCCCATCACTTCCCATCAGGTTTTAAATTGAATTATCTAATTTATATTTAATAGTATTAGAAGTTAGAATCTATTTATATATAAATATAGACTAAAAAATATTCAACAGTTATTCAAATTAGTTTCAGATTTGTATTCACCAAAGCGATAGATTTTATAATTGATCATCCTAATAAAATTAAATATTATGATTTGCTCACGTCTCAGCATCAATCTTTTTTAACAGTTAAATAGTATTGGATAGTTTAAATTCTATAATATTCAAATCATAAATTACAAGTAAATTTTGGAATATTTTATCGGGAATATTCAAATACATACAATTAATATTTTTCTGATATTAGTATGTTTCTTACGATAATTATTTGTTGCGTTCTTAGCAATCTTTTTTGTTGCTACGCTGTTAATTTAATAAATTAAAAAATGCTAAATTCAGTTCACCAATATTTGTTCCCATCTAAATCTTTGGAAACTAAGTCTAAAGAAATTTCCCTGTTTTATTCGACCGATTTGAATAATACATTAACTATTCAATAGGACGTTGCAATACTAGAGTCGTCACAATGAAGGAAATAAAAAAGATAAAAAAGGCTAAAATTATCATGCCTATTAAAAGAGTAGCCATCTAATCATTTTTATCATTGATTTCCTGCAACAAGGAATTCATCGCACTCGAGTATAGAAAGGGATCAAATTTAGCTACTACAATGTATTTATTATTCATTATTAGGCCTAACTTAAAATAAAATAGTTTTTGTCTTAGCTTATCAAATAGACAAAAAGTATTATTGATATGTATTTAACATAGATCTGTATAGGAATTGTTCTATTAATAGTTAAGCAGGATGTTAAAGTCAGTTTCATTAAAACCAGTTTTTGAAACATTTTAAAAGTAATCTACAATTTCTTATCCTTTAACATAATGATTACTGAGTAAAATTTACCCTTTAAAATCAATTAAAAGAAATTCAGCAATTTAATTATATGTAAAAGTTGAAAACTATGCCATCGTCATATCATTCGCTATGATACCTATGGAGATATTTTGTTCATTTGTTAATGATTTCGTTTGAGTTAAACATACACCTCCTCCATAATCAATATAGGCAGAGGTGTATTAAATTTCTAAGTTACTTTAGTTGTGTTATTGATACCATGGCCGCTATTTAGGAATCCAGGCCGATGGCACATTCTGGCAAGGCTTAAATGTGTAAAATTGATCATCAGTGTTTGAGGAATAATACAATTATGTATAGTTTGATTAAATTGTAGATGTGATACTGAGAATGTTGCTCAATCTGAGTTTATCCTCATATTATTAGTTGGGATCACCAGCTAGACCATAACAAAAGCAATATGATGTTTCAATCTGTTACATTAGCTCTAGGTTACTAACAAATGTTTAGCAAATATCAAGGTTTTGTTGAAACTTCAAATTTTTATCTTAAGCTACAAAATACAATGAGTTTATGGCATTTAATGATTGAGCCCTTTAAAAAAATCCATTATTTATCTATTAAATAAATTAATATAGATAATTGTCAGATATTCGATTCATCTCTTTTTATGTTAACACCTGCTAAGAATCTATAGCTATAGTGTTAATGATATTTTTTTAAATTATTAATGTCAAACAAGTGAGGCAAGTGGTTATGATTACTAAATAAATAATTTACAAAATAAGGACTTAAGTTCTCAGTCTTAAATTTGAAAAACACGAGGAAAATGAGCTTCTAAATTTAATTTATTTTTATTTCATATAAATATTAATATCATCAATTTGTGTAAATAAATCAAATTATTGAATTGATATACCAACTATTACTCTATTTTTTTTGTCTTCATTAGCCTTTATTTAAACATTTTTTAACAAAATTATCAAAAAATCACTGATTTACATATAAAATTTGCTCATTCTGATATCATAGTTTACATTGTAAATATAAACCGAATTAATAAAATAACAAACTTTCGGAAAAGATACCTATCTTAAAAAATATTTATGAATAGTGCCTAAAAGGTTGGATTACTTTCTTAATAATAAATTATTGGAAAGTACCACTAATTTGGAAAGAGAAAAATATTAGACATAATCAATTCTATTCTCTTTAAGCATCACTATGGAAATTGAACTATACAATATATAAATTAGTAACTTTTAATAATTAATTGGTAATTATTAATTCTAAAGTATACATTCACAAATTATATAATTATATAAAGTTATGAATTTAAGTTTATCATCCAAATCTGATTCCATGTCAACCACTTTGAAAAAAGGTTTATTACTTAAATATATTCATAGTGCTTGATGAGTTTACTTTATTAAATGAAACAACACACGAACATTATGCTGTGATTTTGATCAAAGTGATGATAAATTTGATCACAAATAGTAAAGGTAAATTTATGTCCTGATCAAGAAATGACAATGTAGGGTTTAACACATGAAATTAAAACTGCAGGAGAATATTTGATTAATCATGCATAAGCTGGTCATGGAAGATCAGAATTAGTTTTAAGATCGACTCAGACTATTTATCAGCATTACATTAGTAAAGGTTTGTAACACTCAAAAGCAGATAGTATGGAGGCGTTGAAATCATCTCTTATAGAAATTTCACAAGAGTTAATAGACATTATCAATCGTTCTAAAGATAACATTAAGACATAATGCTTAAAATTCTTTAATAATAGATTCGTATATTAGAAAATTTGTATTTTAGAAAGTCTTGGTTGTTGGATACTCTAATGTTGTGATCTATTCTTTGATAGAGGCATTCAAGGCTGGGATTGTTATGCAAATTTACATTCCTGAATGCAGACCAAAATCAGAGGGAATAGAAACATATAGATAATTGACAGAAATTGGATACCCTTGTAAATTAATATTTGATTCTGCAATTGGATAAGTTATGGAGAATATAGATATGGTCTTGACAGGAGCTGAAGCAGTAGTAGAAAATGGAGGTATCATAAATAGAGTGGGTACCTATACAACAGCTATTTGTGCAAAATTCTAGAAAAAACCATTTTATGTATTAGCTGAAAGTTTTAAATTCACACGATTATTCCCATTATCATAAAAAGATTTAAGCGATTCAATCAGATATAGCTAAGAAGAACCATAATTTTCAGAAAAATTAAAACTGCCTGAAAATTTGGATGTATTTTATTTATATTGAATTCAGCTCATCAATCCTTTGTGTGATTATACTCCCCCAGACTTGATTACATTACTATTTACAGATGTAGGAGTTTTCACTCCTTCTGCTGTATCAGAAGAGTTAATTTAAATTTTTCACACTTGAGAAATACAATGATATTTCTATGTTAATAAATATACATTAGTAAACCTATAAATATAGTTGTACATTTAATATATATTGATTAAAATCATATTATCTTAATTATTTAAAGTCATAGAATATATATAAAGTTTTCATAATTAAAGAATAAAATCCTTTAAATCCATATTTAATAAATTAAAAAACTGGCCGTCTTAATTTAAAAATTCTATAATTGAATTCACATCAATTTCAATTTTATTATTTTTTTAAATTAAGAAAGTGCCTATTATTTTCTAAAAGTTAAAAATCAAATTTTTAAATTCCTATTCTTTTAATTTTCCTATTTAATAAAATTTCTCTTAACATTTTATGCCATAAATCCTTTTAATTCTTCTTTCCAATTCTACAACCACCTCATTTTTAATTATTTTCCCTTTTTCAAAATTGTTATAACAAACTGTTAAAGTTTTGATTGTTTAATATTTAAAGATAGCATTTTAAATTTTTTTAACAGAGTCTTCATCCTTCTCCTTATAATAATTTACAAAACTTTCATTATTTATTTCAAAGATAAAAGTCTAAATATGGATTAAAATAAAGAAATACTCTATTTAATAAATTTTGTGAAAATGAAAAGATTTAATCCCTAGATATTGACTTAGGAATATCAACCAAATAAGCCTTAACCTTTTGATTGTCACTTGCAATAATTATCTTTTAATGGACCGAATCATAAATTCCAATCAATAGTCCAAATCCTATGAATTAATAGGCATTTTAGGATTTTACCAATTTAAAAATATTAGCTTAAATTACAAAAGAATATACCTTATTGATTCTAAACTAAAATTTTATGTTAGGCTTCCTATTCTAAATAGATTCCTTTTTCTTCAGAAAATTTAAGATTATTTATGATTCTCAAAGATATATTTTTAATAAATTGATCATAGTTTTCTTCTCTAAAAGTGTAAGAATTTCTTTGCTATGTGGATTATGTTTGGATTGCTAAATAAATTATCTATTTTTTGGAACCTACATGTAATGTACCTTCTATGTCAGTTTTTGTTAATTTAAATGTAGTATGCCTTCTATAATGATCAAAATTGAATTTTTTTTATAGTTTTAGAACAGCATTTTCATGAGCTTTTGTGTAAATCTTTAAGATAGTTTAATTTTTCCAATTTACCAGAAATCCTTTTAAATACTTTTAAGGCTTCTTAATTGTTTTCTCTACATTTTCAACTTTAAAGTAAGTAGGTTTAATATTGATGTTTTCTACTTCTATCTTTGCTTAAAAAAATTATTATTCTTTGTTTATAAGGATATGAATAAATATGAGTGTTCCATTTATCTTATTAATTCCAGTTATAATGCCTACATTCTCATAGCGTTATTGTTTTATCGAAGAAACTAAAATGAAAATAAAATGCTTACTTTCTTTATCAGAATCAATATTTTCCTTCATTGAATCTGGTAATTGCAAACTTGTTTATTTACTAAAACCTTGATACTGCTGCAAAGGTACTTGAAGAATATTGATTTAAGATTTTTCATCTGGAAAAGCTTGACTGTTTTATTTGGTTTATTCGTCTTGATTTTATAATGATTGATCCTTGTTGTTATTATCTGAGTTAGAATAAAAAGACTAGCTTTCTACATAATATTCTTTCAACTGTTTTCCTTCTTCGATACTATTATTGTTATACTAATTTTCTTCTTCCTCTTCTAAAATTGTTTGATTTGCTGAAGGTTTTTCTTTGTTCTTATTGATTTTATCGAATTATTAGTTTTCTGTTTCTACATTATTAATTACACCTATTATTGAATTATTGATATTGGATTCATTGTCTTGAAGAGTGAAATCTAAATTTTATGTGGTTTCTTTGAGTTGATTTTCTCCTTATTTTTCGTTTTCATTTTCTTCTTCTATTGCCTTATCTAGATCTTTTATAAGGATTACTATTATTGGAAGGATAGAAAATTAATATTAAATTATCCAGTTTAACTCGCTTTTTTAACATCGTCACTACCATGTTTGCTTTCTTATTGAGCCTAGCTAAACTAGATTTGTAAATCAACCGAAAGTTGTTCCTAAACTTCATTTAAATTCTTTACTTATTTCACTAGATTTGTATCTTATAAAATTTATTCAGATACTAAAGATATTTCTTAAAATGGTTATTAGGTAAACTCTAAGTTTAATGAAGCAGATTTTTAAATGACAATAGAATCAATATTAAATGATTAAATATCAGCAATTGTAGTTGGAATTTAATGGTTTTGGATACTTTCTTCAAGTTTATGAAATTATTCATAAAGCTTTAATTAGTTTACATCAAACTTTATTGAAACAAGCTTTTTTGTTGATTTTATTTCAATTTCTAGCAGATGACTTTTTATAATAAGTTCTTAATTATTGGTTTGAATTAAAGGTATTAATTACTTTTCAAAACTCTCTAAAATATCTTTAGTTATATCAAAAGTCGTTGAAACAGTTAAAATTAAAATATGTTATAATTTTTAGTTTAAATTTTAACAAATTCTCTAAGATTTTTTGAGTACATAAAAGTCAATGAACACAATATCTATCTTATGTTTCTGATGGTAGCCAAGAAAAATAATCCCATTATGGAAGTTGTTATTTTCACCCATTACTTTAGAATATTGTTTAGATGTGATTAATTGATATTTAGATTCTAATTTTAAAATTCTTTCACTTAATTTTATTTAACTTGATTTCCAAAATTTTTGAATTTTATTTATACTTAATTCTTATTATTATTTTTTGAATATCATAATATTTTATTGAATTATTTCTTCTATTTAGTTTTCAACACCTTAATTATTCTTCTTTTCTTAATTAACTTCATTAATTTCTACTAAATCTTAAATCTACTTACATGATATATGTTATAAAAAATCATTATTTCTGAGTGATGAATCCTATTCAAATTCCAATTTTCTATTCAAATTTTAAACTCCCTTTTAATCAAGTGTGGTTTCAAAAGACAATCTTTTATGTAATTCTCCTTTTTTTAGATTCTTATAATTAGAACTAATTTAATTTTTCAATAGGTTTTCTTCTCGTTCTGTTTTTGATGATTTGATTTATTATTAATGAGCAACCAAAGGCTAAGGTTCGCTTTGATCTAAGATTTCCTAAATTTAGGGATCTGTGTTATAAATCTATTTAGTCTAATCTATTGATTGCTTCATATCTTTTACGGTTTAGTTTTAGTTTTAGTGTTTGTATTGTTTCTTTTACCGTATTTATTCATTTATATAACGAAAGGCTTCTAATTTTTATAATTCTTATTATTTTTCTTCCTAAACTCTTTTTAGTTTTTCTTTCTCCTTTTAAGCTTGCTAATAATATTATGTATAATTACTGATTCTAGATTTTAGATACAATGTTGTAATAATTTTGATTTTTATAATTTTTCAATTTCAGACTTTGTGTTATCTTCACTAAATTGATTTAAGGTGTAATTAGTCGTATATATCTATTAATGAGTGGTATATCCTTCTCTTTTAGTAAAATCAAAGGATTTTAATTTTGTGTGTTGTGAATGACTCATCATTGCTGATTATGGTCTAAGAGATTAACCTAATCTTTTGGTTCCTGATTAAAAAATTCTATCAGTAGCTTTTCTAACAGCTTCTTATGGCTAATTCTTCAACACGCTTTGAGCATATTGACTTTTAATATTAGCTCTAATCTAAAATTTATTATTCAAAGATGTAATGGCAAGCTTTTAACCTTCAGCCATTGCTAATTATCTCGCAAATTCTTCGTATATGTTCTTCAATTAAAGTGTTAGATAATTATGGATGCCCAGATTATCTTCAGCCACTTTGAATGCTGATGCATATGCTTATAATGCAAATTAATATTTTTAAAAATATTACTCCTGGACTCCAACATTGTAGAATGAGATTGCTAATGAACTTACGCATCGCTAGAATTTGAATGTTTACAATGATATATGATTTCTTATAAAGCATTAATATTCTTTGTGACTTTCCGTAACTGCCTTCTTTGCATTTTCTAATGCCCCCTCATGGCTAAAGGCTAATATAATTACAATAATACTCGTCCACTAAGGATAGTACTACAGATAAATTTAGATGAGTAACTGCAACCTCTTTCAAACTATATTTTTTTATCACTGCCAATGCGCATTCTAATTGTTCTAATGCTTTTTCTAATTACCCCACTCTTCTATAATAACAACCTAGTCCATTTAGAATCTGTACTCTTAGATAACCTTATTATTTATTAGTCAATCCCTTAAACATCTAATCACAACCCAGCAACAAAAGCAATGCTGAAGCTGGATCATCTTCCAAAATTGACATAGCACTTGATACAACCAACAGAGTAACTCTCATTACCAATTATAATTGAGATTGTTAACCCAAATACCTTTTGTTATCCAAAACCACTACGATATTACTACTCATTATACATTAGTTTAATATGAAAATTGCTCGATTTACTTAATGATTGTTAATGAGCTATAAAGCATCTTACAGAATTGGGTCATCATGGCAATCCAATTCTAGGCCAATTTAATTAATATCCCAAACCACATTTACAGTATTACATTATGGAGTTGCCATATCCGAGTATCTTAAGTTTGAATGCCCTGATACATTCGATACAGAACGTGTTTATATTTTTGATTATAGTTATTTAATAAACATAATTAATGAGAGAATCAATAATAGAATTCAGCAAATATCTTGTTAAAAATTATTAGAATTATTTAAATATCTCGGATCTAAGAAAGATTAATAAAACTGTGAATTGTAAAAAAGATTAATTAAAATTCTAATTGCAACTTCTTAAATGCTCTAATTATGGATAGAAAATCGAGATTTTTCAATTTGCAACATCTTAAATCAATATTTGCCTTAAATTTTGATACAATTCAATAATTATTTAATTTAATAGATTCTCTGAGGGTTAATCAAAATAAATGGTTAAGATGGCTTAGTTCTTTTATATAATTAATAGGATATGATGCATTCATTCAATATTTAATTAAGTAAATTGAAATCCAGTTTAATACTACATTGGTATTATAAAAGCAGAAATTTTAATTAAATTTACATTATATTAAATAACAGAATCTCTATCATATTTTAATAACACTTAATAAATATATAATAACGAACATATCATGCAATGGATAACATAATTTATAGGAACTCTTCTTGAGTTATCTGTCCATCTCCATCCTAATCTAATTGTTTTGAGAGTTGATCTAGTTTTTCTTTAGGCACTTGCATGTCTCTCAATAGTTTCTTAACTTCTAATTTACTAAGTTATCCACTATGATCTCTGTCAATTTATTGAAACAGCAGGAGCAATTTTTCTCGATTGAAATATTTTTTTTGATCTATAGTTGCTAATACGAACTCTAATAATAATATACTAAATTTCATACCTTGGTAGTCAATCTTACCACTTCCATTTTAATCTATTTTTGAGAAGATGGCGTCAACCTCTTAATTAGCTTATTCAGATGTATACATGGTAGTGTAGACTTTTAGAAGCTCATCCTTTGTAAGTAAGCCATCTTTGTTCAAATCGAATTTTTGGAATTCTTCCATTAATTTCTTCTTATCTTGTTCTTACAACATGTTTTCTGCTATATAATTTAGCATGGCATTTTGCATTTAGGATTATTGCTAAATAAATAAGCAATCAAAATACCTTAAAATCCTTCATATTTTTTGAGAGTTGCTTATTAGGTTTAGTTAATATTCTTCCCCTGTTCACAAAAATTGGGTTATTGATAACTTCCGCTGCTGTAGGACGAGCTTATGGATTGGAACTAAGCATTTTGCTAACTAATTGTTTCATTTCTGGACTGATATGTGACCATTCAGAGCCTTCAAAATTAACTATCCCTCTTTATATTGCCGTTTTTAAGGTTTAGACATCTCTTGCTTAAAATGGCATGTGAGAAGTCAAAAAGAAATACAAGAGACAGCCACATGACCAGATATCTGATTTAGCGGTGGCAAGACCCGATGTTCTTAGGGCTTCAGGGGATTTGAAGGATATCTCTTGAATACCTCCATTGGGTCTCCATTATAAACATTTTGATTTCACAGAATTTGGAATTCCAAAGTCTAGTAGTTTCACATTTTCCATGGATTTCTCCTTAAATACTATGCTTTCCAGCTGAATGTTACTAAAATTTCACAACCTAACATACCCATGTGCAATTCCTTAATTGTGCAAATATAACACTCCAGCCATAATCTAACAGAACACATCGATCATATTGTATTGTTAAAGAGAGCTAAAATGATCCAAACGAGATAATAGATTGCCTCCTTCACAAAATTCACTCACTAAAAGTAATTTGTTGTCATTATAATAGTAGGATAATGTGGTGATCAAGTTTAGATGTTTCTATAATATATATGATAAGATCTACCATTCTTAATAAATGATTCACTACACTTTCTAACTCGTACTTATCCTCGGAGCCAAGATTTAAACAGTTAAAAATTTTTACGATTCGAGTTGCGTTGTTGCTCTTAGAAACTGCTTTTTTTATATAGTTTCTTCGAGCTATTTTAGTTATTTTATAAATAGCTTACTTATGATGGGGTCTAATGCATGAAAAATATAATCTGCTTCAATTTTTTCAGTTTCTTACATCAAATAAACAGAAGAATGTCGAGTTTCCTTTGGTTGACTACAAGGAGAACCCTATTTACTTTGGTTTTTTAAAGGTTTAGCAGCACCACAGCCCATCTTCAATTAAGTAATGATATATTTATTATTTGATATAAATATTCAATAACTGCTTTAAAATGACAAAATTGCCGTTATATCACTAAATATTAATGATATCCCTCCTGTAGTTCTAATTTTTTATTCGTATCTTCGAATAGGCTTCAATATTGCACCTGTCAATATTATTTATAATTGTGGTATTTGTTCACCTAAACTTTAAATTTCTCCATTTTTTAGAATGATCCAATCTGGAATGTAAAAAAATTCGTATCATACCTTCTTGTAAAAATTAAGTATTAAATTAATCTGTATCATGTATATTAAAAATTTTGATTAATTATTTTTATTCAAGAATTCCAATTAAGTCGTTATATTAACAAAACTCCTTAATTAAATTTTGTCAAAGTATTTATTCATTCTTATTTTTACTTTATTCTCATCATTTACCATCTTCCATTTTTTTTGGATCGATTCATTCTATTACTCTTCCCTTATTAATCCATCATAAAGATTTAGATTGCCGAGTTTATGTCATTAATCAATGATTGCTATTTCTCTTTATCAAAATTAAATTATATCGACAATTTAAAGGAAGTCCCACCTAGAAATGGAGTTAGAATCAATAAATTATAAACTATGCCTTCATATCTCATACATAATCAATGATGAAATGAGTATAATTTTAATTGCTAAAATAAGGCTATTCAATATATTATTATATTTTTGGATGAAGGAAGGCTAAAATATAAAAGTTGTTGCTAGATTAAGGCCACTCAACTCGCTTGAAATGTAACAAGGAGGGGAATGCTGTGTTACATATAACGATAAATAAATTACTGTCACAGTATGAGATCTGAGTCTATCAATTAATTTAGGTTGGCACCAATGATAAACAAGATTTTACATTCGATCGCATATTTGGACCAGATTCAGAATAAGCAGATGTATTTGAGGAAGTAGGAAGACCCATTTTAGATAGTGTGATGAATGGCTATAATGGAACTATTTTTGCATATGGCTAAACTTCATCAGGAAAAACATTTACGATGGAAGTATTATACATAATTAAAATATGTAGGGCCCAGATAATCCCAATGAAAGGACTAAAGGATTAATACCAAGAGTCATGACTGAATTATTCGATGTTGTGCATAGCAAATCCGATGATTTGATATATATAGTAAAGGTGTCGTTTTTGGAGATTTACAACGAGAAAATAATGGATTTATTAGATACTAACAAAACAAACTTAAAAATAAAGGAAGATAGACTAAGAGGAATTTTTGTATAGAATCTCACTGAGATTAAAGTTGAATCTCCAGAAGAAATGAAATAAGTGATGTTGACAGGGTCAAACAATAGAACTATAGCTGCTACCAGAATGAATGAAAGATCCTCCAGATCCCATTCTTTATTCCAAATTTAAGTGAGTGAAAAAAATATAAAAACAGATTCTAGTAAACTCAGCAAGTTGTACTTTGTGGATTTGGCAGGATCAGAAAAAGTAGCAAAAACTAATGTTTCTGGTTAACAACTAGAAGAAGCAAAGAATATTAATAAATCATTAACTTGTTTAGGTATGGTTATTAATGCTTTGACTTCTGATAAAAAGGAACATATACCCTATAGAGACTCTAAATTAACCAGAATTTTAAGCGAATCACTTGGAGGGAATGCAAAAACCACTTTAGTAGTGGCTTGTTCAATGTGTTCGTATAATGATAAAGAAACATTGAGTACCTTAAGATTTGGAGCAAGGGCCAAAGCTATCAAAAATAAACCTACTATTAATGCAGAGAAAAGTGCTAAGGAATTGCAAGCCTTGCTAGATATTGCTGAGCAAAAAATATTAGAATAGGATGAAATTATAAATAAATTAATGGAGAAAGTAGAGAACAACAACACTTCAGTTTCCTTTGATAAGGGGAATTCAAATTATGGATCTTAATAAAATATAACTTAATCTAAATAACATTCTTCTCTATAATTATTAAAAGAACATAAATTAGTTGTAAATTTATAAGAAGAATTAGAATTTCAAAAAACAGAAATGGCTGCTCTTTAAATTAATTATTAAAGTAGAATTGATGAGTTATAAGATAAAATTGTAAAATAGAAGTTCAATGATGAACATTTAAAATAATAATTGTCTGAATGCCTAAAAAATAATTAAAAGTTCATTTTTGAAAATGAATAATTAAAAACTCAAATATTAGAGAATGAATAAAAATTGTTTGATTTTCGTAGGGCTCTCTCCTCAACCAAGCAAGATTTGGATTTCTTCCTTGCTAATCTCAATCTCAAGAATTAATTCAATTATTGTCCTTCAGATTCAGAATCAACAAAGGACATATTCATGACTGAACAATATGACAAGGATATTGAGGAAAGAACATTCCAAAGCATAATTAATTTCACAGAAACACTAACAAAATTAGATTCAGTTCTAACAAAGGATCTTAGTTCAGATTAAGTAGTTACTCAATTAGCAAACTCATAGAACAAGAAAAAGAATGTATCATTTCAATTAGATTCCTAACCTCCATCACCAAAATCCAATAAATTATTAGATATTGATAATTTCTCATTTTAAACAGACGAAGATGAATTAAACATTAAATTTGATGAAAATGAATAAACTTTAATAAAATCAACTTAAGAAAATGAGGAGATATCTGACGTTGAAAAATTATTGGCCATGCTTGGGGATAAAATGGAAGATCCACATGTGCTCTATCAAATACAGGAAGTGATGTCCAAATTAAGGAGATAACTTTAAATTGAATAAGAAAAGGTTCAGGAAATATATTAAATCATGGTTACAGTTAAAGATTAGTTTTCCATGTATCAAATAAAAGAAAGAGAGAAATTGTAAAAGTTGAAACTATCTTATACTTAAAAAAAGAGCGAAATGGCTTAATCGAAATAGAATCTTGAAAAATAATTAGTAAATTTTGTTGATTTAAAAATTTTAGGAAGATTTAACTATTGATTTTCAGAAATATAAGTATGACTCAGAGAAATAATAATAATTTCTAACTTAAATTAATCAGCAATTGATGTTTACTTTAGAGACCCAAAAATCTTAGTATTATATCATTCTTATTTTTTATATTGTAACAACAGGAAAGTTCATCTTTTAATCCTCTCTCCAGAGAATACCAACTAGAATGTACTGTCAAGTAGTTGATGCAAGAAAGGAATGAAATGCACAATTCATTATTATAAACGAGATAATAGTTGGAAAATGCCATCAAATAAAAAAACTCCTAGGCTGAAGAAATTATTAAGTTGCAAAAGAAAATCGATACCATCGAACTGTAATAGTAACATAAGAAGCTCTAGGAATAAGATTTCTTTCGACAGTAATTCCAAAGGGGATTCAGTAGAGATACAAAAAAAAGTACCTTAGAGGCTTAAGGATGGAGTTTCGACTAAATTATTAAAGATGATCATGCAAGGAACATTGCAAGATTAGAAACAGTTTTAGGATATTCTGAATTAGAAACAATCTAAACAGGAGCCTGTGTAGGAAAAGCAAGCCTAATAATAGATGAGTTTTAGGTAATTTTCATGCTATAATACAGAAAATATATAACATAAGCAGTCAGTAATAAAGAAATGAATCGGAGTTTGATGATCTCAGTCCAGTCATTGGTACACGCACCATAATTTCAAAAGAAATTGGAGAATGCTAAGGAAAAAATACAGAGATATTCGATTAACCTAAATAATAATCAGAATAAATAAGCATAGCATTAGACGTAATATTTAAATTAATGGAAGGAATTTCACGAATAACTAGTCGATGACATTGGAACGACCCCTTTTAGAAGAATTCTAAGAAAGTTACTCTCCTGATTGAATCAATGTAAATTCAACAATATTGTTTTTAAATTTTAGAGTTTGTTCATTAAATCTATAGTTTTTCTACCCTTCTTAAAATTATTAAATTATAAATATATAATTAAAGAAATATAAATATTATTCTTGTTTTAAAATGGAGTTGTGATTTTTTATGTAATAGATATATAATCAAAAACCTAAAAAATACTCGGTATCAACTCCCCAAATTGGTTATCTAGATTTTTAGCAGCTGTTGTTGTTGCTAGTTGATATTTCAGTTGACGCCTTGCTTACAGGTGAAGTACTTGAATTTTGATCTTCTAATTGTAAACGCAAAATATACTAATTCTTATAGCACTTGATGCCCTTTTATGAAGTTGGCGCAACATTTTATCGCATTTAGGATTTTCGGAATCCTTTAAGATATCTTTGATTTTCACAAACGAAGTCAGATCATGAGACTTGTAGCTAATCAACAGATCAGGATTGAGGAGATTTTTCCGATACCAGTTGTCCATTTCCACACAAGAAAAGGGACCTAAAAATTTTAGAATAGATCTAACCTTAGATATAATTACTATTGTCCAAGTAGTACCAATATCGGCTTGTCAAAGATTGAAAGTGAGAAAATTTTGAAAATGAAAATGGACTCATGTTGGCTTTGTGAACGGGCCATTCTAATTATGGTATTAGATGATAATTACTTTAAGGAAAAAAAGTTCTGATCTTTCCCTTGGAACCTTTAGATTGCACAGACCTTAATTATTGGGCTGACATCTAGGGCGTGTTACTTTAACTTATAGCTGACATAAATATTAATCCATTCTCAAAATCTAGGGTCAGTTGTATAGAAATAATTACATTCTTGAGATTCATTTGTTAGAGGTAATTGTTATTGATCAGTAAAAAAAGCAGTAAAGTTATCAAGTAAAGTTTTTGGAATTGAGCACTTATTGCTTTCATATCCAAGTAGTTCTAAAGTTTCTTTCTTAAAATTCATTAATTAATATAATAGATTATATTTAATTGAATAGTTGTTTTTATAACATAATCTTGATAGTTTAAATATCGTTGTAATAATCTAGTACATAATAAGATAAATTTGAGAAGAGAAAATTGTAACTTTTGTACTTCTTTTTTTAATTTAATAAATGTTTTACTAAAAAAAGAGAATAAAATATTTCTAATTGAAAAAATTAAAATATTTTATTTATTTTAAATATGCTTGAAGTTTCATCAACCGATATTATCTTCGAATTAAAAAATGACGTTTATGTTCCTTACAACATAAGTTTAAAAAATGTCACATCACTATACTTAGCATATAAAGTTTAAGAAAACCATATTTAATAGATTAAATCCACTAAACCAGATCTATTTTCGGTCAAACAAAGTCGAGGATTAATTTCACCTCTCCAATCTGAAAATGTTGAATTCAGCATAACCGATAGAGCTAAAGTAAATTTTAAATAAGAATATAGGAAGAATTTAGATCCAAAGCATATCGTCAATTAAAAATTTTTGATTTATGCTATTAGTGTTCAAGAGAGGAAATCAGTAAATTCAATTATATTGTTAGATTGCTGAAATTGAGAATCTCTTTCAATCCTAATCGTGTTTTAATATTAAATTATTTACAGGAGTATTAAAAGAAGAATTTGGCAAAAAAATACCAATCTTTGGTAATAACTTAGCTTCTAGCCATACATCAGTTCTTGTAAATAAAATGTTAAGCATTTTTCATAGACAAACAGTAGAACAGAACTATAGCCTTCTTATTAGTCGATGATCTAACCTATTCCATTAAATAATTAGGTGTAATGCGTTCAAAGACTCAAGCAAATTGAATTGGATCTAGTATATTTAATTCTTTATAATAAAGGCAGAAGAAAAAAGAAAGAGAGAATAGATATATAATACAATTGAAATCTCAAAATTAAAGAAAGGTTTGATTTTATTAATAATAATTAGGATCCTCGTTATTCAAATACATTTTACCAATAATCCTAGGGATTTTGTTATCAAATATTTACTAATTGAGCCTTAAATAGTATGAATGAGATTAGATATCAATTTTGATACATATTACAATAAATATTATATATCTTAAAAACTTCTATTTCGAATTTAAACATTATAAGAATATGCATTTTATTTATTAAGACATAAAATTCCATTTAATTCATTTTAATTATTCATATTCCATTTGATCTTTGAGTTTAGCAATTTCACTATGAACTTTTGAAAATTATTAATTTAAAACAATTGCATCATTAAGCACATATAGATATGGTTTATTTGATAATTAGATGTCTGAATTCCCTTAAATTAATTAAGCACCTTCCTCGTAGCTTACACATTGATAAGCTACATGTACCCCACATTCCTCACAGCACCAACGGTATTGTTTCTCAACAGCTTAAAATATGACATAATAGTACAATTAGATCGCTTTATATATTTGATTCCTTCCTATTTCAGGAACAATCGGACGAATATTTGTTTTAAATTGATCGCAATACTATTATCTGATCTTCTGGTTGGAAGGGTATCTAAACCAATATTAGCTCCAATAGCCTTCTTTCCACAGAGAGAACAGAAATAAATTTTAATATTCTCTGATTTCAATGTAGTTTCATTTAAGGTTCTTAATTTCACGACAGTCTATAAATCAACATCTCTGTTATAGATTGCAGACTTCAAAGTTTTCAAGGATGCTAAGGTTACCTAGATTAAGTTAGATAAATAGAGTATACAGGATTTTTGTCTTATGCTTTATCAAGTTCTTTTAATTATTCTAATATTTTTTCTTCGTCTTACATTAATATAAAATAAATAATACATATTTAAACAGTTAACCTTAAAATTAAATTTAAAAATAATGTTCAAAAGTGCTACTGCGACTAAGAAACACGATGAATCTGACTATTCAAATGTATAGATTTGATCATTATATGATAGAGAAATGTATCACCTAGTTAAAATCAAGATCGTATTAATGAGTTGAACAGAGTATTGCAAGGGTTATCCACAAATGTTAAAGATGACAAAGTAAATATCATTCCTAATTGATTTAGAGTAGGAGAGATTTGTATTTCCAAAAAATAAAATTGTTAGAGGAGAGAATTCAAAAAGGAGAGATCAATGATAATTAGAAATTCAGAGTATTTATTTATTGTAATTTCTTAGTTACTTTATGAACAATACGAAAAGTTAGAGGAGACTTTATACAGTGAAAGGGATTAAAGATAGGTTAGATATTAGTTAATTGTAGTTAATTTGTGAAAAAAGTTTGAAATCATTAACTTTAATTGAAAAAAACTTTTCATTGTCTTTGAATGAAGAATATTCTAGTAGGAAGGTGAATGAATAAGAGATTTTTGCTGAAATTGATGATAAAATATAAGCAATGAAGGGAGAATTAAAAAAAGATAATGTCTAAAGGACTGAATATGAGGAGAAGCAAATTGAGAACATCGAAAAAGAACTTGAAGAATTAAGATACTATTTTGAATAAGAAAAATAGATCAGGGATCAAAATGCAGAGAAATTAATCAGAGGGTTTGGGGAAGAAATATTAAGGTTACAAGAATAGTTGAGTGAAGAAAAAAGAATCTCAGAAGAATCATACGAAACAACTATTAGATTATTGTAAGACTTAGATTAATCTATTTAAAATGATTTAGAAGTACAATATTATTCTATCCATTTTCTTAGTAAGAGTAATTCTTAAGAGAGAAATAAGAGAAATCTTTGCTAAAATTATTGGAATCGACATGCTAAAAAATTGAATAATCTTTATTATCATGATATATAAATTTATTTATTCATATTAATTAATTAGAATAAGTTTAATGGGAAATTAGATCAATGTAAAGGCTAAGTTTGTCAATTTATTGAAATAAGAGGATGAAAATAGCTTAGCAGAAGAATTGAAGTCCATTTTGCTTCTTGATATCTCTTAAGAAGACTATCTGAATGCTTTTTATCCTTCTGACATTCGGGATATATTGAAATAATCACCAAAGAGGATCTTGGGTATAATCCACTATTTACATAAATTTCTTTGCAACACATAATCTGAATTGCAATCTCATATTCAATATAGGTAATGGAAGAACAGCTTGAGAATATTGACTTCAATAATTCCTGTGCTGTATGAAGAATATTTTAAAGAGCAAATGAAAGAGATACTATGGAATACTAAAATTGCTTAGCCAAACAAGGAAACATAGGAACGAGACCCTCCTCTGATTATTTCATTACTTACAAGACTATTTTAAATGTGCTTCCATTTTGGGTTCACAATAGATTCTTTAGGATATGATGTATTTATACTTACTAATCTTAAAAGGAGTCAGTTGTAAAGAATGATACTCTATTACAATACTTTGCATAATATTATCACAATCTATGGAACTCTTATTAATTTCAATTTGGTCATGTATGGAAGGGTTTCAATCCTCAATGCAAGTATCCAAATGATATTGCAAAATTATTTGAAAATCGATATCTCGTTTTATCCTGCATATTTGCTATAGTGAGTTCTTCCTTATTTTCATCAGAGTTTTTTTTCTAAATAGAAATTGAAGAATTCAGAGATGAAGAAAAATATTAAAAGAAAGAAAACTTAAAATCCAATGAATAGCAATAATCAGATGAAGAAGATGTAGATGAATAATTTAAAGAGAAAAATACTTAAGAATAACAAAGTGGCTAAGATTAAAGATTAACTTAAAAGTTGCTAGTTTAGACTCCTAATGCAGCTTTGTTAATATTACAAAAAATTCCATTATTTCCAGAATTATTAGTCTCGCTGATTGCATTTTCAATATTCCCAACAGATAGAATTAAGTAATTTCTCAGAGGAATTGTCAATATATCGAATTAAATTGAAGATAATCTTTAAAGTGTATCCTTAAAGTTAGCGTCACTTATAATAGGAGGATAAGGTAAAAACATATTTATAAATAATAGGATTTGTTTACAAAGATGTCTTAAATTTAGGGAAAGAGTTTGAGGAGATGCTCAAGACTAAAGAGTACTTTCTGCTATTCAACAACCCATTCCCTTAGTTTATTAATTTGCCTTAATAAATTTAAGAAGGAATAATAGTCTAGTTATCACAGAAATTTTACTCTTATTACAAATCTTAATAGTAATTTATTAGAGGGTCCTTTGAAAAGTAATTATCACAATTTGAAAACAGTTTTATTTTCTTAAGTTATCTCTCATCCAAGACTGCTCATAATAGTATTTATAATTAAAATTAAAATAGTCCCAAATCTAATGATTGTTTTTTTATTGTCTTACTTTAATCCAAAAATATATATTAAAAAAGTTTCATTAAAGATAATCAAATTATTGAGTTCTTAACCTTAATTGAACAAGCAATTATGTGCAAATCAAGAGTTTACTTTGACTTTTACAGATGCTCCTATTATTGTGGGTACTTGGGGTGATTTATTGATTACAGCACTTTGTGATGCAGTTTTAAATGAATTATCATCTATTAAGGAAAGTAAGCTGTTAGAAATATCTCAAATATTATTCAATATATCATCAGAGATTGGAAAATTGAGTAGAGAAAGTTGTGAAATGATTTGTAATCTCATCAAAAAGTTGGCAAATTATGATTTTATATTAAAATCTCCTAATGTCTTAATTAGTTTATTGAATTTGATAGGGGCAGTATCTTAAATAATTTACTTCTTTCCAGATGACAATTTAGAACTTATTAGTAATGTGGTCAAGATCAAGGATAGCATCAAATTTGTACATGAATTATAAATTACATAAAAGAAACTATAAGTTTGGTGGGGTAAGCATGCTCCTCAAAATCCAATTGTTAATTAAAGTTTCATTAAAAGTCATTAGTTTTAAAATGATGTTCATGATATTAGAGAATCATAAGCCAGATCAATCACTCAACAACAGCAAGGCATTTAAATTAAATAATAAAAAGAATCTTAACAGGATGAGATATCAAGCTTAAAATAGATGGAATAGATTCAATCAGATAGATAAAGTAAGCCTAACGTTGAATTTGAGAATTATGTTGAGACTTGGAAAAATTTCAATTTGAGTACTCTAAAGTGCTTTGTTCCTTTGATTAGCTTAGCTAAATTGCTTGAAAACTTGTATAAATTGACTGCAGATCCAACAGATGAAGTACAATTGAAATCAGTAATTTAATCACATAATTTACGATCTTTGATGATTAAACAACTCAGTTTTAAAATTATAGTTGATAAATATAAGATTTTTAAGTACTTGACAAAATAAATTTGGTTGAATTGTTTAAGAAATACTGATAAATTTCCTTATTTTGAAAAATCTGAATGTCCATGCTTCTAACAATCGTATATAAAGAAATGATCTATAAAGTTATAAAGTTTATAAATAATTTTGTGAATTAAGTTTTAGGTTTTGACTTTTATTATAAATTAATATAAAATGAAAAGATAAAAGTAATTTGAACTCAAAATAAACGAAAAAATCTAGTAACCTTATACGCCTTTGAGAATGAGCCCCAGTTTTCGTATTAAATTTTAAAGCCCAACAAAAGTTTAAAAGATAAAATACATTTATTAAAAAGACTTAAAGGAATATGAAAGTCATTATTTTGACTAATTTGTTGACACTTATCGTATCCCAACTATACATACTCAACGAGCGTAATTTTTTTTGTTTTATTAAATTAGAGCAAGTCTAAAATAAACCTAGATGCAATTGAGATAACAAACACCCAATTACATGTATTTGAATCCAAAAGATTCCGAGCAAGAGAGTGATAAATTGTCAGAATTCTTAAGAATTATTAGAGGCAAAAAGCAAGTAAGAATTATTGAACATTAATAATGAATTAAATTTTGCCTTTTAAATTATATATAAACATTTCATCTTGTTGTAGTTTAAAATGAAGGATATCATTAATCAAGGGCTGCCATCTTGTATAAAACATTTTTAATTTAATGATTGATTAAATTATTTAATTGTTTATAATAATTTAATGATTCAAGCGTCTGAAGAACATATTGGATAGGTAGCAGATTTATAATTGATCAATAAAAACATGTTGTAGGAAACCTTTTTAAAGAAGATGCGAAAAAGAGAAAACCTCAAATAAAATTATACTGAAAGAAGAAAAAGTACAAATCACTTAAATAATTTTCTCTTAGAAATTAAATTACAATAACATTCAAGTCCTAAATTTGAAGATTTGATTTGTCCAATTTGTCTGGAAATCTTTCAAAAAGTTACAACTACATAATGCGGCCATGCATTTTGTGAGATGTGCATATTTGATAGTCTAATGAGGAAAGCAGTATATAGTTATTTTAATAACAGGAATGTCCTGTTTGTCGAGTGAAAATTAAAACACACTCATTCCAATATTGCGAAAGTTTTGATAATAGAATCGTCGATTTAGTTAATTAATATGGAGATAGAGCATAAATAGAGCATTTTAAAAACAGACATTAGGAGATGGAATAATGGAATAAATCTAAATTGTATTCAAATATTTCTACATTAGAGTAGATAATTTGGCAATAAACTAAAAAGTTGATATAATGGATTAATAATTTATATGGTGCGTAGCAACAATATAATAAATTGGTAAAAAGGAACTATTTGTTCACTATGAAGGATGGGGAAAGGAGTATGACGAGTTCATTCCATTGCAATCAAATAGAATTGCTCCATTGGGACTATATACAAGTAGAGAAGATATACCGAAATACTAACCTGAACAAAGACAATTTGCAGAAATCCTAGAACTTATTAACCAACATGGAGAACTCTCAACATAAAATATACTGCCTGATTGATTAGATAATGTATTTTTGCTATTAATTAATGGCCTTTCTTATAAAAAGCGGTATTTAGAAAATAAATCCTACATCAAACTATTTCATTATAATAATGTTAATTGATGAAATAAATAGTATAATTTAAAAGTCTAATGATTATATATCATAAATAAATAGCCTAAGATTTTGGTTTGTAGTAGTGGACAAATTAATTAATATTAATTTATCCTCTTTCATCAATATCTTGCAAGATTAACTAAGCCTCCTCAACAGAAACCAAATAGCCAAATTATTCTAGGTATTTATAATTTTATTTTATTACATAACAGTTTAGTGATTTCAAATGCTTTGATCAATCCATCCTTGTCTTAGTCTATGAATTCAAAAATCTGTACTAGATTAATTAGAGATTTATCGATCTTTTGTCTATAGTATTCAAGAGTGGACATCATTTACAGCTTCATTTTAATCAACCTACAAAATATTTCCATTTATTCTTGTGTAGGCTAGTCCTATTGATACTTTAGATCTGCTGGATCAGGCATTTCTTCATACTTAACATAAGGGACGATTAGCTGTAGAAATTACCCATAAGTAATAGATTATGAGCGCTTCCAATTATTTAAATAATTGAACAATAATTCCAGATCGCAAACCTTTACGTCATCTTGGTAGGATTGCAACACTTCCAAAAATTTGAACTTTTCAATTTTCTAGAATGAGAATCAATTCTTACATAATGATTATCGGATGTAAATATAAAAAATAATGACAATAAGTTAGGGTTGAGTTGTTTTAATTTTTTATTGATCTGCACAAATTCTTTTCTGAATTGTATTTCCTCTTAAAATATATATGAGACGAATCTAATATCTGAATCTGTTATTTGATTGTATCTTTCTGAGATAGGAGGCTATTGTTGCTAATTATTGCTTTGTTTATTGCTATATGTTTAATTCATAGAAAGAGGATTCTATTAATGTCCATTGTATTTGTTATAAGTTCTCTCCATATTTTAATATTCTTATTGAGATTAAGCGAAATCTTCTTACTATTGGTTTTAGATCTAGTTTCTGTAATATTTATCTTCTATTTCATATCTTGAGTCATAAATCAACTTAGGTTGTTCCCTTTAAGGAAATTCTGGTAATGTTGGATATTGATTTGGATAATAATGCTACAAAGGTCTGGGTAAATACATTACAGTTAATTAAATATAAATAATGAATATATTTTGATGATGAATATTTTTTCAATATATTAATGCTTATATTATCACGATCGATAATAATTGAAGATAGTTGACTACTGGGGTGTTGGTATTGTTGACTTCTTAAGGAGAACATAACTCACAGGTATTGTTTACTGGATTCCATCGATAAGTATTTAAAGTGTTGATATTACATTCAGAACTTAATAGATTTCGAGGATCAACAGTTTAGCATGAATCATTTAACCATAAACAAGTAGTTACGGTTGAACTGTTGAAATCTTTGATATAATTGCATTGATTGAGAACTCCTTTGGTTTAGCATGTGTGAGCGAGGCATGAGGAAGCTCCATTAGCATACGAGACCCAATTACAAAATTCACTCATTCTTTGACAGGCTACCATATCATTATTAGCATCCGAACAAGATTTCATTAATGTACATTTGGTTCCATCCCAAGCACATTGTCCATCTAATCCTTTATAAGTGCAGGCAAGCTAATTAGGATAATACTCACATTTGACTTAAGGTATACATTTATCTCCATTAGAAACGCAAGTGGAATTAAAGTTTTAACATGTGAAATGATTGGTTCCATCTTTGATGTCAGCGCATTCGAGAGTTCTGCAACCAGCAGTAGAAAATAGGCATTTCCCATCAGTTCCTAATGCAAGATTGCAGGTAATAAGATTAGTATATTAAGAGCAAGGTTGCATGGTAACGCAATTGGTTCCATCTGAAGAGCATCCTTTGAGTTTGGCTTGACATTACTCATGTGTTTCACCACTTAGATCTTCACATAATTGATCCCTACATTTACCATTGACCCAAGCACAATATCCTGTTTAGATTACTTAATTGTTCACTATTTTTTGTGGTTAAGAACTGATTTTGCATTGCTCCTTCTGTGTGTAATTGAAACACTAGTCTAAATTAACACACCCATTCAAAGTATTTGTAGTACACTTAGATGAAGCTTTTTAACACTCCTCGTGAGTTAGAAAAGGTAAATCTGAACATTTGGCAAACAATAGACATTTCTATTAAGATTCAATCCATTAGCAATTTCCATCTAATCCAACTTTGCAAGCCTCTTATAATCTATAATTAGCACATTTCTCCAATCCCACGCATTTGAGTCCATCGGTAGTGCATAAACTATTTGCAGATTTACAAATTCTATCTTAATTGCTTTGAATGCTTGAACAAGAGAGAAAGAGTGAGCAGCCTAGTTCATACCATACGCATGGTCCATCGAGACCTTTAATACATTTTTCTTTGACTAGCATTTAAGAGCAAAGTTTTGGTAAAATACATTAGGTTCCATCACTTACACATCCTTTCTTCTAAGCATCACAAATATCATCATAACTACCATCAAAATCCTCACATCTCTAAGATCTGCAAATACCCTCATTCCAAACGCAAATCTCGCCAGTGATGGAAGTAGTGCATGCTTACTCGACATTCGCATCTGAACAAGTAGTCTTTTATCTACAACCACCAAATAATTTAGTTGTGCAGCCTTATTTATAAAGATTGCATTCCTACTCGGTTGTAAATTCTGGAGCAGTGTAACAGGTTTTTAATACACATTCTTAATTGAACCACTCACATTCATTGAATTAATCATCCATAACACAACCAGCACTATTCAATACATCTTAACATTTCTTTCTGATTACACAGTGAGTACCATTAGTAGTGCATTTACTGTTGTAGTATTTACAATCAAAATCCGTAGTCAATTGAAGGTCTTCGCATTCTTCGAGTCTGCAATATTGCATATTGGAATAGCATTGATTGAAGTGCTACTCGCATAAGGCAGGAGTAAGAGAATTAATAGGTGCATTGAAACAGGTTCTAATCTCACAAACTGGAATTGGCAATTCCTTATTCCAATAGCATAACTAATTTGTGATTGTTCTTACACACTATTTACTTACTTAATAATCAGAGCATTCTGATTTTCTAGATTGACAACCATATCCAGTCTCCACTACTGTACACCCATCCATATAATCTTCACAAGCACTATCATTACTATATGTTATAGTTGGAGGAGCAGTGGAACATGATCTATTAGCACACACTGAGCCATTCCATCCACACAATAAACCACTTGTATTGATTTTGCATTATCTTTCTGATGTGTAGGTATTACAATCATTAAGTGGAACACAGCCACCTATTCCAGTAGCAGCAACTGTACAATTTGGTAGATAATTTTGACATTCTTCATGAGTATCTCTTGTGGTATCCAATGCAGCTGTTGTACAAGACTTGATATTGCAAGTGCCTGATTGCCATTCACAAGTATCTCCTGTATTAGATATTACACAAGAGATAGCAGTTGTGTATAGATTACATGGTACAAGTGGAATACAACCTCCTGGAGTGTTTACTGTGCAAGTATTCAAGAAACTTTAACATTCTGCATGTGTGGTGAGTGTTGATAAAGCATTTGTGCAAATAGCATCAGCACATAAAGAGGTTAAAGTATTCCAATAACATTTAATTCCTGTTGAACTCTAGTAACACTATGATTATTATTTGTATGATGAACAAGCTGATAATTTATCCGTGCATCCTCCAAATCTAGCAACAGTACATGTATTCAAAAAGTTGATACATTTATTATGATCATTGTAAGCAGTTGTTTGTGGAGCATGGTCACATGTTCTAGTAACACAAGTATTATTAACCCAAAAACAAATTGTGCTAGAGTTAGTAAAATTACATTAATCTTAGATGGTATATGAAGAACATGAGGATGATAAAGTTTAACAAGCAGTTGAAGCACCATTAACAGTACAAGTATTTAACCAACTATTGCAATTAGCATGGTTAAATGTACCAGAGTATTATGTACATGTTCTATTTACACAGGAACCTGAAATCCAAGAACACTTGACATTAGAGTTACTGACCACACATTAGTTTTGAGTCACACCTCCTGTAGTGCAATTAGTAGGTTTAGTGACACACCCATTATTAGTTGTATTGACAGTACAACTACTTAACCAATTTTCACAATTAGTATGATTTGCTGTTCCAGTAAAATTGTTGCATGCCCTATCCTTACATGCATTCTGATGCCATACACAAACATCATTATTAGTATCTTTAACACACTGATTATATGTTGCAGATGAGCAATTACTGAGATTATTTTAACAAGTGCTAGGTTTACTTAATTAACAGACACTCAACCAAGATTCACAATTGGCTTGTGACCAAGTGCTGATACCAGTAGTATTTAGACATGTTTTATTAATACACGCACTATTGGTTGAATTGGCTGTACATATGGATAACCAAGCCAAACAATTAGCGTGAGTGTAAACAACTACATTGGCACCATAATTTGAACATGACTTCAATTCACAATCTGTTCCAGTTGCATTAACAGTGCAATCAAACATCCAATTTTGACAATTTACATGAGTGAATTTAGAAATTTAAACTCCATGATTTGTACATGTCATTTCTTCACATGCTGTTCCTGCAGCATTGACAGTACATTTAGTTAGCCAGTATTAACAATTAGCGTGATTAAAAATGGTCACTGCACTTCCATGATTAGTACATGTTCTTGTAGATCCACAGGATGTTGAATCTGCAACAGTGCATTGATCTAAATAGTTATAACAATTAGTGTGATTGAATACACTTACATCATTCTTCCAACAAGTATATGGTTCACATGCATTAGCCAAAGTTGTTGCCTTACAATATTTCCACCATGCAGAACAATTGGTATTATTAAATAAGGTTATATTGTTTCCATAATTTGTACATGATCTAACTTCACAACCAGTTCCGTCCATATTGACTGTACAAGTTGATAACCAATCTTAACAAAGTGCATGACTAAACTTAGTTAAATCATAATTATAACAAGTTTTTTCAGTACATCCATCATTCGTAGTATTCACTGTGCATAATGGAGACCATGAACTGCATGTGCTAACAGTAAATGTACTTAAATTATGATTATAACAATTCCTTAAACTAGAGCATTAAGTTGGAGATCCAGAATCAGCATAACAATATGATAACCATGCCACACAATTATTCTAATTGATTGTACCTGAATAATTTGTGCATGTCTTATTAATGCATGTATTCGTGCCATTCGTACAAGTACTTAACCAAGCTGTGCAATTGGCTTATGTAAATTAAGTGACAGTGCTATTACTGCAAGTCTTAGCAGTACAACCATCATTAGTAATATTTACAGTGCATGAACTTAACCAATTGGAACAACTACTATAATTGTAGTAGGATAGAGATGCATTTTAACATGTTCTATCAATACAACCATTATTAGTAGAATTCACAGTGCAACTGCTCATCCAATTTGAACAATTTTAAAGTGTATACGAAGGCAACCCCTAAGCATTTTTACAAGTTCTATCTAAGCAAGATGATTGAGTTGGATCTGGGACACATGAACTCAGATATTCTGAACATGTCTACAATGTGAAAGTTTATATTAAATTACTGTAACTAGTACATGTTCTACTTGTTTTACAAGCTGTAGATCCATTATTGGTACATTGATATAACCAATATGAACAAGTAGCAGAAGTGAAACTGGTTAATTAACTCCCATAATTTGTGCATGTCCTTATTTCGCATCCAGTGTTGGTGGAATTGGCTTTGCAGGTATTCAACCATTACCCACAAGTTTGATCATTAAACACACTCAAATTAGTATTAAAGCAAGTCTTATTCATACATCCATTATTTGCAGTATTCACTGTACAATAAGATGACCAAGCTTCACAATTGATGTGATTGAATGTTATTATACTAATCCCGTAATTACTGCAAGTACGATCAGTCATACAAGCTGTTCCTGCTGAATTTACTCTACAATATGACAACCAACCCTAACAATTGGCTTAATTGATTGTTCCCAAAGAATGATTTTAGCATGTCTTTAATTCACAATATTATGGCCAAATAGCATTATTCGCTTTGCAATAAGGTAACCAATCACTACAATTTGCCAGTGTAACATCAGTGCCAACCAAACCTGAATTACTGCAAGTCTTATCAACGCAGCTTCCATTAATATAAGCACAAGTAGATTTCCAAGCAGTACATGTAAATAAGTTTATTTATATCACAGCGCTTGTGCTTATATTATTGCAAGTCTTTTCAACACATGCAGTGTTCAAATTATTACTAGTGCAATTGCTATTCCAGCCTTCACAATTTATATGTGTAAATGTTGTAACAGAAGATCCATGATTAGTGCAGGTTCTTCTAGTGACACATTTTGTTTTTGTGGTATTCGCTAAGCAATATGATAAATAAGTTGAACAATTACTATCAGAAACTACACCTGTAAAATTATCACATGTTTTAGGCATACAACCTAAGGTCTTGTAATTAGTGCAAACTGATAACCAAGTTTCACAAGTGCTAGAAGAGTACGTTAATAGATTGGTGGAATAATTATAACATGTTTTATCCTTACAACCTGTGGTACCATTATTTGTGCAAGATTACAACCAAGCTGAACATGTAGTGTCAGTGTAGGATGCTAGTTAAGGATTTGTGCAACTTCTTTTTTCACAATTGGTATTATCACTTTTAACAGAGCACATGGTATCCCAATCTTGACAATTTGCAAAATTAAATGTAGAAATACCAGTCGTTGTAGTACAACTTGCTTCACAACCAGTTCTTGAGGAATTTGCTTTGCAATTAGAATACCATCCTGAACAATTAGAATCATTAAAGACTTGATTAACATATGAATAGTTGGTGCAATTTCTCTTTTCACAACCTGTTGATGTTGAATTAATTGTGCATATAGAATTCCATGCTTGGCAATTTAAAAAGTTTGGTGATGATTAAGAGAAGTTAGAACAAGTTTTATCAACACATATTTAATTTACACTATCATATGTGCATTTTGATAACCAATTATTACAATGGGCATAGGATGAGGGATTAGATTGATTTGCACTGACATAATTTGAACACGATCTTTCTTCACAACCATAATACCCAGAACCTCTGTATGCACAATTGGATTTCCATGAATCACATCCTGCCTAATTGACAACGTTATAACCACTATTATGAGCTGTAACTGCACTAGCACATGTTCTAACAACATTGGTGCAAGTAGAAGTGTTATCATAATTTCCATAATACGTACATCCTGCTAAATAGCTACTACAATTTGCAGCAGATAATGTTCCCCTAAAAGTGGAGCAAGTTTTTTAGACGCAATAAGTATTTGAGGAGTGTAACTCACAAGAAGACATCCAACTGTTTGTACAACTATACCATTAATTAATACTTTGAGAGTATGATGCATTTGAACAAGTCATAGTTTCACAATCTGTTCCTGAATTATCGACGGTGCAAGATGACAGCCATCCATTACAATCGGAATGAGAATAATAGCCCCAATTTGAGTAGTTCCATAAATTACGAGAAGCATTGCTACAAGACATATCCTCACAATTGGTATTAACGTTATTTGATGTGCATGATGATTTATAGGAGTTGCAAGTCGAATGCGAGAATGAGGATAAAGAGTTCGCTGCATTAGAACAAGTGAAATCAGTGCATCCATTATGACTAGAATTCACTGTACATGTGTTCTTGTAATTGTAACAGTTGAAATGAGTAAAACTAACTAATTATGCATTTGCACATGTATATTCGATGCAACTAGTTCCCGTACCAACGGTTCCAGCTTTATTGTATGTGCAAGTGCTTAACCAACCAGAACAGGTGGCCTAAGTAAAACTAGTTAAATTTGTAATAGCATTATTGCATGTTCTAACAGTCTCACAATTATTAGCAGATTAATTAGCAATGCATCCCGATAGCCATGTATTACAATTATTTAAATTGAAATTGCCCGCAGTTATATTACTATTAGTGCAAGTCTTAGGTTCACAGGTGAGTCCATTTCCTGAGACAGTACAATCTGATGACCAAGAATTGCAATTGGCATGATTGAATGTAGTAATGTTAGCTCCATAATTAGTACAGGTACGTGTACTTATACAATTCGTAAGGGCGTCATTTACCTTGCAGTACGAATACCATTTATAACAATTGGCTTCAGTGTAAGATCCGATTCCTGTTGAGGAATTACTGCAAGATCTCGCTTCACATGCACTACCTGTTCCGGTACAACCATCTAACCAAGCATTGCAATTAGTGTAATCAAAAACAGTCACATTACTTCCATAATTTGTGCATGTTTTGTCAATACAAGCTGTGGCACCCGAGTTTACTGTACATGTACTCAACCAATTACTACAATTATCATGAGTAAATTCTTTGATATAAGATCCATAATTAGAACATGTACGTTCACTAACACATCCATCATTTGTTGAATTAACATTGCAACCGTATAACCAATTCGAACAAGTAGCAGTTGTAAATGTAGTTATATAATCTCCATAGTTATAGCATGTTCTATATTAGCATCCAGTGCCATCTGAGTTAGCTGTGCATTCCAAATACCATTCAGTGCATTTTTAATGATTAAATATTACTATACCCTAAGAAGCTAATTAGCAAGTTCTAACAATGCATTTAGAGCTTCCAGAATTTGTGCATGTACTTAAATAGTTTGAGCAATTTGTATGAGTGATAGTTCCTACATAAGATCCACATAAAGTGTTTGTAGAATCCCTGCAAGTAGATCCTCCCCCAACACAACCACTCTTCCAATTGCTGCAATTTGTATTGTCTATCACTGTTACTTGAGTCCCATGGTTGTAACAGGTTTTGGTTTCACAGGCAGTACCTGTAATATTAGTTGTACAAGTTGATAACCAGCCATTGCATGTTGTATGATTTATTGAGGCTAATTAATCCTTATAATTTGTGCAAGTTCTGCTGGTACAAGAAGAATTTGTAGCATCAGTAGTGCAAGTACTGAGCCATTCTGAACAAATAGCATGAGTGTATGTTGAAAATACTAAACTAGCCTTTGAACAAGCCTTTGTCATACAAGTTGTAGATGTATTCTTAGTACAACTTAAGGAATAAGCCTCACAATTGCTATGTTCATATTGATAACCTGTTGGAGCACTTGTACATGTTCTACTTTCTTAACATGTTGTTGAGGCTCCATTACAGGAGGGATGCCATTTATTACAATCTGCATTTGTAAAGGATGTGACACGACTACCATAATTAGTGCATGTCTTTACTGTACATCCTGTATTTGTACTATTGACTGTGCATTAAAATAACCAATTTTCACAGGATTCATGAGTAAAATAAGAGATAAAGCCTTTGTGATTATAGCAATTTCTCCACTCACAAGCACTAGATGCAGAATTACTAGTACACAATTTATAGAAGCTGGTGCATGTTTTGTGATTGTATATTGTTATTCCTGATGGAGACGAGCAATTCTTATTTGTGCAATATGATCCACTTACATATGTACAGGATTCGAGATAATTACTACAATTAGCAGCTGTAGTATATGCCCCAGAAGTACAAGCATTGGTTGACTCACAAGCAGTTCCATTTACATTGGCTTGACATTCAGGTAACCATGCTGAGCAATTAGAATTATTAAAAGTAGTGATTTATTGACCATAATTAGTGCATGTTTTAGTTTCACAACTTTATTAGTCCCAACTGACAGTACATGAAGATAACCAAGTATTGCAAGTACTATGAGTAAAGAATAGAATATTCTAGCCATAATTCGTACAAGTTCTAGCTGTACAAGCTGTGTTTGTATTTGTACATGAAGATAACCAATTTGTACAATTGGTATGATTAAATATAGTAATTTTGCTTCCGTAATTAGCACATGTTCTAGCACTCTTACAAGCAATTGACCCATCATTTGTACATTCACTAAACCATGTTGAGCATGTTGAACTATTAAAAGTGGTCACATTTGAACCATAATTAGTACAAGTTTTATATACACATTATGATCCATTAGTTGTACAATCACTTAACCAAGTATTACAATCAGAATGTGTAAACATAGATCCTGTATAATTGGCACAAGTTCTTGTAGTTTCACAAGCAGAGCTACCTGAATTAACTGAACAGGAGGATAACCAATTATTACAATTAGTTTAATTAAATACTGTAACAGCATAGCCATGATTAATACATGTCTTTTCAATACATGCATCATTATACCAAGTACAAGGATAACCTGAATAATTCTTATAACATTAGTCATAATTAACATAATCAGCGCAATTTGTTGGTTTCTAAATGCAACTTGTGGGAGGACCAACAGTGCATGAAGACAACCAATTATTACAATTTGCATGATTAAAATCAGTGATATTCTATGTTGTCGAACATGTTCTGGTAGAACAGGATGAACCATCCCAAGTACAGTAACCATGAATATTAGAATACTCACAATTATCTTAATTGTTATATTGATAGCAGTAGCTTCTCTAAGTCATACAATTTGTATGAGGTGAGTTGTTATCAACAACACAGCCTGATATCCAATTTTTACAATTCTACTATGTAAAATCATACCCAATCATAAAAGAACAGGATCTAGGCTTACAATTAGGTGTAGCTAGAGTTGTATCCCAAGTACATAGATTATCGTAACTATCAGTAATACATTACTGCTCTGTGAGGTCTTGACAAGAAGTTAATCTAGGTGTACAGCCTAAATTACTGATTCTTTTGACCACGGTGCAAGAACTAAGAAAAGCACTGCATTCAGCATCGGAATCGAATTCATCTGTGTCTGGAGCATATGAACATTATCGATTATAACAATAGTTATATTGCCAAGCACATTTCTAGCCATTTGATGCCAATTAACATGATCGAAATGTTGTATATTGGTTACAAGAGCTCAGTTATGTCATACAACCTCCAAGGCCTGTTGGAACTACAGTACAAGTAGCTAAGAAGGCATAGCATTCTTAGTGAGTATCATAATTAGTAGAGACAGGAGCATTAGCACAAGTTCTATTAACGCAGGTTCCAACCCAAACACATGGTCCTCCGAGTGAGTTGGTTGAGGTTTCTGTGCATTAAAGATTTGTACTCATCAATCCACAACTATTAGGTTTTTAAACACATCCCTATCCACTTGGAGCTACAATGCATCCAACTAAATAGGCCTCACATTCCTCATTTGAGTCATGATCGGCATCTAGAGGAGCTGTTGTACAGGATTTATCATAACAAGCATTGCCAGTCCATTCGCAAAGTTGATTGTAATTATTGAATCTACAACTTCTTTATGCGGTGTAAGTAGTGCATGCATCCAGAGGAATACAACCTCCATTGCCTTCACTTGCAACTGTACAACCAGCTAGATAAGTCTCACATTCTTCATAGGTGTCATAGTCAGATGTGTAAGGTGCTGTAAAGCATGCTTTGTCATAACATGCTCCTTCGAACCATCCACAAATCTAACCAGTCGAGGTTATGTAACACTAATCTTCCAGTACTAATAGATTGCATAGAGCTGGCCTAGTTATGCATCCACGACCACTATTAGCAATTGTGCATGAGCTCAAATAGGTCTTGCATTTTAAATCTGTATCATATTCAAACGGAGCATTAGCACAAGTCTTTTAGTAGCAAAGGCCAGTCCAAAAACAACGATTGCCACTTGAATCAGCCTTACAAGTATTTTGAGATGTGAGAACTTAGCATGTCATTTTGACACATCCAGCTAAGGTTCTTGCTACTGTGCATTCCTTATTAAATTCTTAGCATTGTTCATGAGTATTAAAAGACAAGGGAGCATTTTCACAAGTTCTTAGCGCACATTCATTATTATAAAAGAAACAATTTCTTCCATATTTATCTACAACACAAGCAATTTCAACATCAATATCACTGCATTCGTTTAATTATTTGCATCCTCCTCCAAGTTTAGTGATGCAACCTTCCTTGAATTTATTACAATCATAATTCGTTTATAGAAAGGTTGTTGAAGTAGTAGGAGCATTATCACATGTTCTCTCTGAACAACCTTAGAATGTTGTATTATTAACAGTGCAATCCTCTTTGTAAGCAGCACATTGTTCATGTGTAACATAATCTAAAGGAGCATTTTGACATGTATATTAGATGCATTGACTGCCTGTCCAAAAACATTTATTATTTTAAGTATCTACTAGACAACTCTCCTTTAGATCATATTTTGAGCATTCAGAGATTCTCACACATCCTCCTACAGATTTTGGAACGCAATTTTCTAGGAACTCAGAGCAAATGACATTTTAAGGGGCATTTTCACAGTTCTTGTCATAACATTTACCTTCATTCCAAAAACATATTGATCCATTTGCATTGTAAGTACATGATTCCTTTAATGTTACATCATTACATTGTGTTCTTTATCTACAGCCTCCCTCAGCCTCTAATGTACAACTCTGGAAATATTCTTAGCATGCTGTATCTGTCCTAATTGATTTTGGCGCAGTTTCACATGAGCGATCCTTGCATTTGCCATCAACCCAGGCACATTATCCCAATTTCTAGTTAAAATAGCATTACATCTCGAATTCTTGATCTTCGCAATTGTATCCACTCACTTGACATCCCCCTCTTGGATTTACAGTGCAATAAGTTAGTTATTCACGACATTCTGCGTCTGTCTTGAATGAAACCGGCAGTTTATTGCAATCTGTTGCATCCATGCATTACTGATCCCAATAACAATATTTTCCCTTTGAATTTTTTACACAAGATATAGGGGTTTAATATTAGAAGCAATCTGCAAGTTCTACGCATTTTTCGCCATCAGTGAGACACTTACTCGAAACCATTTAGCAAAGTGCTTGAACGCTAAAAGGATAACTAGAACATGATGTGAATTAGACACATTCATTAAAAACGTAAGCGCATCCGTCTGTTTCCCAACATTTATCGGATCCGAACTTAGTACAATATGAATAATTTTTAGTGGTGGTATTGGTGCTTGATTCTTCAGTAGTCGATTTGATTTCACATCTTAGTTACAATTTATTCCAAACACAATTTTAATTCTTATAGCAATCTTATTCAAATAACTGTGTGCACTAACAGGGTGAACCTAAACTAATGTTTGAAGTGTCACTCTATACCAAATAAATACACATAAACAAAAATAGCATTACTAACTTCATGTATATTATAATATTTTATATTTGTATGAAGTAATTTATAATTTAATTAACAAACAAGCAAAAATGGATAATTAGAGTAATTTTCAAACAGTGAATTAATATAAAACTTCGTCTTCTAAGTGTTTTATTAATCAATCAGTCAACTCAGTTGATAAACCTCCGAAGCAATCTGATCTTGTTCTTTATTAAGCAGCCAAAGAAAAATGCGCCAACAAATTAAATGAAAGATAATCGACTCCCCTTTTTTAAGTCACTAGTTTAATAACCAATGCACCCACACTTCACAAACCCACTGTAAAAACAACTCAATTCAGCAATCAAGCCACAAGTGTCTTCGATGTATTAAAATTCTTCTACTAAAAATTAGTTCTCAGAAAATCGAAAAGAATAAGTCTTCAAACCTCATTGTATCAAAGTTGCTGAACCTGGTAACAATTCAGATTGTGTTTACAAGCAATAGTTAAAAACTTCGGATCTCCCATCCAGAGATAATTTATCTCGAAATCCCATAACCACTGGAGATTCGAAAAGTGAATATCTAAGAACTACAAAAACCCCACTACCAAAAGATTAATTTAGTTTTAATTGAAATTATAATACAACAACCAATAATGATCATCACAGAACCATCACATAACCAAATATTTATTAGTTCTAGCAACATATTAAGCATAAGTGTCTGCCCTTTTCTTTTTCATATGCACTTCAGTTAACGGAGTTGTGAGAAATTCCATTACACAAAACAAAGCAATTGGACCTATCAGAGCACACAAACTTATTGCATCATTAATTGCAGCCAAGGCAAAACAGAACCAAGTAACTAGGTCAAAAAATAAATTAGGATGGCGACTCTTTCTCCAAAGTCCACTTTCCAACAAATCTTCCCTAGGTATCAATCCCTATTGTTTTTACTTCTTAAACTTCTCCAACTGTATATCTAAAAATATATATATCCAATTTACCAGCGATTGCTTCTAGACAAATACTAAAAGGAATTATTGATAAAGCAATGTAATTCAGCACATTCAAACCTGTGAAATTTTCTGGTTTCCAAGTAAGGTCATTGAGAAACAAAAAATATAATGGTATACTAGTTACGAATACGATCAATCCTTAGAACATAAATTACACAAGGACCATTACCTCCTTCTTAAATTTATCTGCGTTGTATTCTCTAAAGATATTATCGTACCTTTCATCTTTAAAACCAGCCAAAACTCTAGTTACACACAAGAACCCACCAAGTCTTAATGACCAAATTGCAACAAGAAGGATATTAATCTTAAAATATTGTAATATTTTTACTATCTTTGCTGGAGTTGATATTGTCGAGAATATAAAGTAGACTATTCCTGCAACTAAATGACTTATGGAGTAGGCTACATCCACTATACATTCATGATTTCCACCAATCTTATAAACCAAGTAGAAGATCAATTTATTAATAAGGATTGCTGGCAGTGCCCAGATTAAAGCAACTTCTACAAAATGAATCATAAGGTTTTTTATATAATTTTATAATTATTTAGAACTTCCTAAACAAATTAAATAATTCCTTTTTAATTTTTAGGCTGAAAAATAAAATAATCTGAATTTTATAATAAAATATTTTATGGCTGATCATTTAAACTGTCCATTCTCATCAATATGTCCCATCTCAGATAACATCAATGTACAAAAATCCTCAAAATCTTTATCATTTTACATGCAAGTGTTTAATTCTTTAAATCTGTACTTGCTATTATCAATATGAATCAATAGTTTTTAAAGACGCTTATTGGAAACGAACTTTCTGATTTTTTAACTTCTTTCTATTGATTTAGATTTGAAATTTACTAAGGATTTCTAATTTCTCTTTGGATAATTTATATTCCTCATCAATGTAATCACTTTTAAAAGGTTCTTGATCTTATATCTATGGTTTCTTTTGGATGGGTTTGCAACTGTGAAGCTTGAAACATGCAGCACTGCAATAGGGCATTTCACATTTAGGACATTTATATTTTTTGGGCTCATTACAACAAATACATAATTAATTAATCATTTAGCAGAAGACAATTAACGATGACGCTCTTGAAGCTTCTTCTTTTCCTCCTCTTAAGCCAATTATTATCCCACTTTCTATATCATATTACTGACCTTCTCAATCCTCACCAACCTTTCAGAATTTCTACTTCGACACCGTTCAACCATGCTGGTGTCGTCCTTGATTAAGAGTGGAATTGAAGATTTGTCCTTCTCTAATAAGAACTATTCAGGATGTAGCATTTCTTTGGTCAAAATGGCCTATTTGGAATTTTATTTAGAGAGTCTATGCGACATTGAAGAAGCTTGATAACTTTTGAAGGAGGAATTAAAGTCAACCTATTAATCTGAATGATTAGATTTATGCAATGAATTAATGAGAGAGACAGGACCTCCCTTGATACTTGATGGGACTGCAGGAGGCAATTTACCACTTTTATGAGAACCATGTTAGGATCTTATATTTATTTATAGGCATACCCAATTCTTTATTGGCTTCCTCTTTATTAACTAGGTCTATGTTCTTATCCAGGGATTTTCAATTAATTGTTGCCATTTCCTTAAAGGTTGGGTATATCGAATTATGGATTTTGTAATTCATTTTTGGGTATTTTTTCGAATAGATTCATGACTTTATCTTTTTCAATTCCCTTTCTATAAATATTGGCTAACCCTGGAAACAAATTAACTAAATTGTCAAATATCTTGAAAATTTGTAGAGTAGTATATTGATTAACTTGCAAGACATCAGCCGAAATTAAAATTTCATTTTTATAACATGCCACTAATGCCTTATCCTAAACCCATTATCTCAATTTATCATCCATAACTTGTTAAGGAGTGAGTTTCCCTATTTTTTCACCATGCCAGACATCATAAATTCTCACCTCTTATTGTGCATCCAAAGCAGCTGCCACTCCAGTATGACTAACACTCATTCCAATTATTCTCCACAATCCTTGCTTCTGTTCTTCCATCTTAACTTTACTTCCCTTCCTAAATTGATGTGTTCGTTTACACAACAACTTCCCTTCCTTTATATCATATATGTTAACACCTCCATCATACGAAGATGATACCAATCTACTATCATCACAGAATTGAATCTGAGTGCAAGTGAACATGTGCTTATCTAAATAGAACCTCTCTTATTCCAAAATCAAATCATATACGAACACACTTCCTTGTTGTAATCCAGCGGCTAAGTACACTGATGATTTGGATATAGCCATGCAACTCAAAGGGTAAAGAATTTAGACCTCTGTAACTGATGCTTATTGTTTAAATAGCTATTAAGTTGGCAATCCAAAAGAAGCACTTAAATATTCTGGAAGTGCTGATCTCTTAGCACTAGTAAAACGATGTAATTCAAGTCTTGTTGTATTAGTCCAACCAACAACTATGCCTGTAACACATTCATGCTACTTGTATGAATTAAATGTTTTGTTTCCATTTTGAACACTAAACCTTTCAATTATAAATTCAACCATTGCTCGATACTTCTGAGTTGGATAAGCATCATCGTTTGGTACTGCTCCATTTTCATTTTCATCATAAAGTACTTCCTCCACCACTACTGGCACAGGTGCTACTTCAACTTGTTTTTTTGCAGGAACGGGAGCTTTCTTTTTAGGATCAACTTTTTCTTCAGGAGGAGGCTCTTTTGGAGTAGTGAAATCTTATTTGATTTTAGCTATTATTCCATTGTAATCTAATGTTTTCTTTATTCCATTGAACTTCACCTAATACACCAAATCGGTTAATTCAGAGCATGTAATATCCATAGGAGATGTTTAAATTTGTTGTTATTATTGCACTGGAACAACTATTGGCTATTCTTTCCCTTTTATTGGTGATGGTTTGAATTGACTTTATAAGTGTCTTGGACTTTATGCTCCAACGCTGTTGCTTGATATTTGACTTGAATTTGATTGTAAATCTATCTTTAAGTCTGGAATTCTAAACACTTTAACACTTCCATTATATTATGTAACAGTTATATATTAAGAATATTAACTTATGTCTACATCGACTGGATATTCACCAATCGCATTCTTGTCCTTTGACATTGTAATCGTATAATGAAGCAATAATTTATTTTCTAATGGCCTGAACCGATAAATGTACACAACTGGATCATTATGTTAAACAACACCAATCCTAAATTAGTAATGACTTTCTACACACAAACATTCTTGTAATCATCCGGCGCTTGATCTCTACTGCTTAAACATACTTTAAGTATTCTTTTCCCATTTGTTTCTTTCTTGGCAATTCTTAGTTTCTTGCTTAAGTCCAATATCATTAAATTTCCCTAAGAGTCCCCAGCTGCTACTAAATTGCTCGAACTATCTCGACTAACACAACTCAATTAAGGAATATCAAAAACACCTTAAGGAGGCAGTGTTCTTAATTGTCCTTCATAGTTTGGATCAGAACGATATTTTTCAATTTCGAAAACTTTGTTATAGACTTCATTAAGTATCATAGTATTTAAGATTTTGTTTATGAACCTAGCGTAGGAAGCAATAAAGTACTTATATGGTTTTGGCAGTTTATCTTCCCAATTAGTTGGATTACAATAACCCCATGAATTCAATTAATCCATTATTATTTTAATTTACAATATTTAGAATTGTCAAAATTTTTGACTTCTTGATTGTTTAGAGTGGATTCTTTAAACAGAATTCTGATTAGAAACAGATCTTGGTTATAAATTCATTTATTCTTTCAATCATAATTTAAAAAATAGATTTATCTTATTACAATTGTGTATCTTATTATGTTTGTGAAATCAATTGAATTTTATAAAAAATGTAACATAACAATCATATAGATAATCAGCAATGCTGAGTTTGAGATCTTTTAAATTTTTCATTTAATTTATTTTATTAGGACTTTTTAAGTGCAGGAAGTTTCCCTTATTCATTCGCAAAAGAGACTAATTGTTATGTGTTTTACTTATGATATTATTCTTTATTTCTCAATTTTTATTATCTTTCAACATCACCTTGTAAATTTATTTCTCTATCTTCGTCTGGCTCCGTCAAGAGAAATTAATAGTTTTATTATTGATACTTTATTTCTCCATCTCTTTGAGAGGAAACCTTAGCCTTAATATTATTAGCAATAGGACTTTTAGTATCTGGAATTTAATCTTCAATATTAGTATGCTATTTATGGAGATTTACAAAAGATTCTGTATAAACAATCTCTGATGTTTCTTCATATTACTTTTTTGTCATTCTTAATGAGGAATCATTTTTTAATAAGTCCAATTTCTCTATTTTGCTGAAGCCATTCATATTTCTCACCAACCCAGATTCAAACCTATTAATTTGGCTTTATCTTAAATCTTCTTCAAATTTAAGCTAACTCATCTATTGAACATCAAGTTTGGTTTGATTCCTAATATAAATATTTTCAACACGACTCTTATTATCCTATTTCTTTTTATCTTATTTTTTCTTTAAAATTTTAGATTACAGATGATAGAGCTTCACTTACATGAAGGGTTTATTGTAAGGTAAAATTGATCCATCATAATCGTAACCACAATTAGCATAGTTTTATTTTTTTTTCAATTATTCTAATTGATTTTTCTATTTGGCCCTATCTTCTTCTTATCTTTTTTCATTTCTTAAAATACTCCTAATATAATTACCTAGCTATTTATTCAAGCATTTTGCATTTTAATTCATGTTGATATCTAAAATATTGTTCCTTTTCATCAATTTATTGATTCGGTTCATCAAGTTTAACAACTTCGATACTTTATTTTTTCGAAGTTTGTTTTTTATAAGTGGATCTATTCATGGTTACAACAACACTGACTGAATTTGATTTCATTCGAGATGATTATCTTAAAAATTTAGTTGATCTTGTAAGTTCTTTTTCACAAATAATTTCTATATCTTTTTTTTATGGATCTACTTGTATTACACCTGAATAAGAATCCTTCAAGGGAGGAAGTGGTTCTTCATCCTAAGTAACATTCATTTCGAATGGAACATCAATGTAATGCTTAATGAGATTGTTCAAAAGCATAATTGTTGCGAATTCTGTATATTTAGGAGTTGAGTTGATTATAAAATGCTCCTATAGTAAAATAGTGCAAGAGCCTATGATTTGATCCAGAATGTAATGAGATATCAAGTGGACATCAACTATAGAGGAACTGTTATTATTGATTTTCTAAAATTTATTTTATTACATATTTAAATAACTTAAAGACTACATTAATTTGTTAAAATACTCTTTGATTAAAGGTTTGATCGACTAAAAAAGCATTTAGACTCTTCATTGAAGATCAATACAACGAATACATTTTAAAATATTAATAAATTCTATAAATAATCATTTTCAAATTAAATGGATTAAATAAATTCTTGGAGTAATTGCACTCTTTCAATTGGAGAAGAAGTCTAACAAAAGGAGAAGAATGAATTGCATGACGCAATCAACAATTATCAAAAGTTAGAAGTGAAAGGCAAGGGAAGTTATGGGGCTGCTTATTTGGCCATACAATTGAATACAAAACTATAATGCATCATCAAGGTTTGATAGCATTTAATTTATATAGGTTATTGATATCTCAAATATGAATAGTAAATAAAAGGAAAATGCTATATGTGAGGCCAAGATTATGAAAGATCTAAAGCATCCCAGCATCATTAAATATTATGAGTCATTTTTTGAAAATGTGTAATTTGAAATTTATAAGATAGTACAAATTTATGTATAGTTATGGAATATGCTGAAAAGGGCAATTTGGAATAAATGTTGCTCGAATATAAATAGAATAATGAATATTTAAATGAAACTGTAATAATTGATTGGTTTACTCAATTGTGTTTGGCTGTTAAATACTTACATGATCAAAATATTATTCACAGAGATATTAAAACATAAAATATCTTCATAACCAAGGATAACTTTATTAAATTGGGCGATTTTGGAATTGCTAAGGAAATGGAATGTAAAGAATAATTATGTAAAACTTCAATTGGAACTCCATATTACATAAGTCCGGAGGCCTTTCAATCTAAACCTTATTCTCAAAAATCTGATATGTGGAGCTTAGGGTGTGTTTTGTATGAAATGATATCACTCAGACATGCATTTGATGCTAAAAGTATTTGAAACAAGATTTTACTCATAGCCATTGAAGGTTTAGGCATTAAGATTCTAAGGGGATAATATCCGCCCATTCCCAAGCACTATTCAGATGAACTCAAAAATTTAGTTACTAAATTATTAGTAGTAGATCCAAATAAAAGATTCAATATTAATGATTTATTAAAATAGGAAATCCTACTTAATGGTGCTAAAAAATACTTGGAAAAATATACGTTACACTTATAAAAGTCAACAATGAATACATCAAACAACTTCAATGCATGTAAACTTGAGGAACTGAGAATGAGTCTAGAAAGCCAATTAGGATTAAAAAGGTTGTAGGAGTACATTTAATAAATTGTAAAAATAATTTATTTATAAGTTTAGGAAAGTGATACGTTAGATTTTAATAATGATTTAAGTGAAAAGACTATCAGAGATATTGAGTTGCTCATACAACTTGAAAAATAAATATTTTGAATTTATTATAATTATAAATTTTATAGATATTCATTCAAAGTCGTCAATTTTAATTTCTTATTTTTGTTACATCTCTTATTTTTTCAAAGCCAAAGGATATTAGTATTTTTAGTCAAAGTATTTAAAGATATTATCCTATTCATAATTTTTCACATTTTATTTTGTTGTTAATTCAACTATTTGATTATAAAACTACATGTAATATTTAGAACACAATTTGTACAATTATTCTTAATAATAAAGATCCTTTTACTTCACCTTTATTAGATAACTAAAATATTAGATTATATTCTTATACTATTGCAAACTCATCAATATATGAGTATTGATTTCAATCGTTCGAGTTATATCTCTGTCCTCATATTAGTTCAAATCGTTTGCTTCTTATTAGTAAGCATCTGCGTAACTCAATAGAGTTTCTTAATATTATTTAATTAATGTGGTCAATTTTTATCTAAATAATTTATGCTATTCATCTCACTTATATTTATCAAATACATTCTATAGTTTTTATTTTGCTAATAGACAAGCATTCAAATTCATTAAACAAATACAAAACCACTCCCTCTCCAGATACTGACAAAGGACTTTGTTTGATATTTTCATAGATTCTTTATAAATGATTATCCAAAATTATTTTTGTATTGGCTTGCATATATTTGGTTTTAACAAATTAAAGATTATGTTTATTGGCTAAATGTTCTGCTTAAAGAGTATGACAGCAGAAGTTTCTTTGCTAAAAAAATTAGTGAGAATTACATGATTATTTATTAATGCAAAAAACTTTAGGGCCGGTTATTGATACTCGATAATATGTACAAAATAAGGATTATGAACGAATTCTCCAACCAATGTGAAATCTGTTAAATCTTTTTGCAATTATTCTACATTCTTTTCACTCATGTCAGAAAACCAAATTTCAGCAATCTACCAAGGTAATCTTTCTGGACAATCAATATCCTTATTGGGACAATTAATCAAGTATTCATCATTGTTTTTACAAAATATAGAAACATTTTTAGATGAAATAACCCAAGTTTATAAAATTGAAGAAAAGGATATTTGGAAATTTTCTCCATTTTCTTATTGTTATTAAACAATAGTTACTGGAATACTTAGTTTCAATGATTAATATGCATTGCGTAGTTAGTTGACATATAAAAACTAATTTTATTATTATTACTCTTTATCTTTCCAAAAGTAACCTCTAATTTTGATAATATTATTTACAAATCGTAAAATTTTGGCAATCCTTTTCTTAAAATTGTGTAACTATTATTAAGATTTAAGATTGTGAGGCCTCTTCTTAATATAAATAATAATTCTGGACTTGTTTCAAAGAACTTTTATTCATCCTTCCCCTTCAATTTAATCCGTACAATATAATAGTTGGCTTTTGCTTAATTCAAGGGGTACTCTTTTATAAACAGAGTATTGTTTGCTTTTTTTGCTTATATGATTAAATTTTCTAAATCTATTTCCTCCTATAACAAATCATAGAAATGTATACCTATTGAAATTATTTGGGATTAAAATTTGGTAATGAATGCTATTTTTGAAAGGCAAGATCATTTTTCTTGTTTTGCATTTTGGTTTCAATTGAAAAATTTTATACTAATTATTAAATTTTAAAATCATCTTACTCAAGTATTAATTCAGGGAATAGGAAAATTATGTAATTTCTCAACCTTAACAAAGAAAATTTGTTTATTCGATTTAAAATCTCAAATGCCTCAATATTTCAATAAGAAGACCATTTAAATAATCAGAAATATCAATACCTTGAAATAAAAAATAATAAGCATTTTAAGTAGAAACATTTTTGTATTAATATTAATTTGCTATAAATAAATATAATTTTATGAAAACTCAAAAAACGGAACTTGTTCTCTTATTGTTAATTTGCACAATCAATTGTGTAAATATTAGTAAACAAGATGGCGTAGAAGAACTGAAAGTAAATAGATAATAATGAAATAGACAAGAAAACTAGTTGGGGTAAGATTGCGTGGAATTTAAGTTAATTGGCATTTTCAGGTGACTCAGCATTGAAAGAACTAGCAGATGTTCTAACATCAGTGGTATAGAAAAAGTTATCATAATCCCTTAGACAGAATAAGTAAAGGATTTGAGGCATGATCATGAATTTGCTAGTGATAAAGCTATTAATGTTTATGATAGCAAAAAGGAAAAATTAGATTTAGGAATAGATGAAACAGTTACTTTTATAGCTAGAAATACAGATTATTTAGATTCATAAATGCACGATTATATAGTGAATATAAATAAGAGATTAGAAAATTTAGATAAGAATGTTTAAGAAAATCGAAAATAATTAGAATATCTAACATTCACTAGATAAAAGCAGAATGAGAAGTTCCTAGATACTTGTAACAAATTTATTCATCCTAGTATCACAATATGAACATATGGTTGCACAAGTTGATATGTGTATTGCCTTACTCTAAGGGATATTTGCAAATGAATAGTTCATCCAAGTTGATAGAGTTAAAATTATTACAAGAAAGATTTTCGCAGCTACAATGCTAATTGGAGGGATCGATATGAAAGAGTTACTAGAAACTACTGAATCAGCTCAATATACTGATACAAGAGTTTAAAAATATGTATTAAATCAATTTATCATTATCTTTTAGATTTTAGAAGCCTTTAATAATCTGAGAAAACAATTTATTGATCACAAAAACTCAGATATCGCCTACGATGCTGAATAATAAAAGGAATATGAAGATTAAAAACATCAATTGGATGGAGAACTTTTGATTTTCAAAAAAGACATTGCTGAGTTGATATACAATCTATCAGTTACAGAGGAAAAAATAAGGCAAATTAAAGATGATATTGAATCAAATAGGAAGGATTAGGAGTTTTATTCAAAAGAGAAAGAATTTATTAATAATGGTAGATAAATTGAAGAAAAATGGAAGGCTAAATTAACTTAGGAATATAATAATCAATTATTATCCATAGAGAAAGCTATGAATTTAATAAGCTAACCTGATTTTTGGGCAAGGAACGAATAAATCAAGTTAAATTATTGAAAATTGATATAGATATAGAAGATAAATATGTAATTTTTTCACTAATAATATGGTTTTAATTTTTTTAGATAAAATTATTTATTTTTAGATCCTTGATGCTCACAAGGTTAAGTTTTTATATGAGTTATTGAGGTATTTTAAGAAAGTTTTTTGAATTCAAAATTTTGTATTTATTGGTTTTTTGTTTAATGCAATTGCAAGTCCTCTATTTCTTTGATACCATTAGATCTTGAAGTATGAATTGAAATTTAAGATTTCAATTAGCTATGTTAAGTATATTAAGATTATTTTGAAGTATTTTCAGTATTTCTCTTTGTTGACAGGAAATATAAATTTAATTCTTTTAATGTTGGTGATTTAATTTTGGGTACTTATTGGTTCGGTGGGGATAAACAAAATTTGTTTCTGACTTACTTTTCTTGAAGGTATTTATTAATAATGTTAAAGGAGGTTTTTCGATGAAATATTGAATATTCATTATTATTAATATATCTTGGAGTTAATTATGGTTTCTCAAGATTCTATGGTTTTGATTTTAAATTGATGGTTTGTTTGAATTATAGAGATTTATTTGGCATAGGTGAAGATTCGCCTGAAGTTTCAAATGCATCTTCATGTTATTTAAATTGTTTTTAAAGAGTTTCTTAAAAATTTAATAGTTTCTCCTTCGGCACAAATAAAGTTTTACGATCTTATATACATGTTTTTCTTCTAAACATCAATAATGTATTCCTCCTTTTTTAGAAACATAAGAGAGCTATTTTTCTTTAGAGTTCAAAATCAATAGGAAGAATAGGTCCTTAATATATTTACTCTGCAATGGATTTGGCTCTCTTATGAGTTATTTTAGGTATTCTTTTGAGGGGGCAGCTCTTACTTTTTTGTTCTCCATAGGTTTTGCGTTGTCTCGATCTCTATAAAAATTCTTATTGTAACATATAATACTGTATTGATTCTTTAATCTGTTGATTTTCTTCTTCTTAACAATAATAGCTTCATGAGAATGTTGATAAACTTGAGTATGAGGCACCAAATTATTCAATCGTTTCTGTTTTTGTCCCTAGTATTCATGAAAGGTCACCCTTCTAATTTTACCTTGTGGCTAAATTTTTTAATCTTAGATATCAAGACTTCTTTATGAAAGAATTTCTAAAATATCTGCTCTTTCCACTTTGGAAACTCTTCTAATTGGAATTCCAAATTGTGTCAGAATAGTTGGGGATCTGATTATTTTTCTTAGTGGTTAATTGGATGTATTTTTAACATCATCAATTAACATACTTTATGAGGCAATTTCAAATGATCTCGCCTTAATCCTTTTCTAAGGAGATATACAATTTATGATAGGTTAAACATTTCTTTGTAGTTCTCTATAGATTTTCCAAAATGAGGTAGTTTATATTGTATTATTAATGTACATTTAATAATTTATCATTTCTTTCCTTTTGCTTTTCCAGCTCCCTTAGCAGCAGCCTTTTGAGCTGCCTTTGTTTCAGCCTTTTAGGCAGCCTTTTGAGTGGTAGTTACACCTTTCCTTTGTTATTTTTAGGTTTCAATTTATTTCTGCTTTCTGTCCTTGATTTCTCTTGCAGCCTATTCAGCTTGAGCCTTTCTAGTTTCTATTTAAAAGTATATAAAATTCAAACTTACTTTCATCTTCCTTTCTTCTTCTTCTGATTTCCTCAAGTGATATACCTACAATAGCTCTTTGGACTTTAAGGTTTCTGATTCTTCTTTTCTTTGCCCCCTCATCAGTCTTAATTTTCTTGTTCAATCTTCTCCAGGCAACAGTCCATTGAATTTCTTGGCTTTTAATCTTGAATGTAAAATTCGTATAATACTTTTCTGGCAGAAAATGCTCTACTCTTTTGATTCAAGTAGTAAAATAATCTACCATCCTTAGCCACGAATCTACGACCATGTCCAGGGTAAATACGCCATTCACTAAAAGAGCACAAATCTGTCTTGATAACCATTTTAAATTAAAATAAAAATCTTTTTTTAATGAATTTAATCGCTAGTATACAAGATAAACTCAAGCAATAAGTCCCTACAGATAAATAGCTTCAAATGAGTCACTTTGCAAGATTGGTTGAGATGTTGAATGAGATTGCAAAAAATTAATAAAATTAAGAATTAATCTAATTAGTCTAGCTACTCATTTAATTTTAGTTTCCTCAACATACATAATAGATGATTTGCAATTCCTTCTCCCTATTGATTGCTAAAACAGGAAATGAATTAATTAAATAAGTTGTGGAAAATCTATTGCAATACATCAACAAGAAGGGATCATTGAAAAGTATTGCTTTGGCTTTGCTTGTTACCTTAATTCAACTAACCAAACATGAAATCCAATCATTTTCATACACCCTAACCTAAGATATTACCACCACACTGATGAAGTTGCTAAAGAGCTCTGATTATCGTTTGTTACTATGCAATGTGCTAAATTTCTTGATTGAATCATAAAAAATTGAAATTCTTAAAATAGCCTTGAAATTTGCATAGAATGAAAAACTCGAGGTTCTCTAATAAGCAGGAATGTAAACACTAATACACTTAATGTAAGAGGAAGTGATATCAGAACAAATGTATTTAATAGCCTATAAATCAGATGACTCCCCCTTATTTTATAAATATTTTTCTAGATACCTCTTCTAATAATAAAATATCGTAGCTCTAACAAAAAAAGATAAATTGAAATCATAGGTGCAACTTTAACCAAGAGAATAAGCCCAAAAAATATTCCAGCTTTTCGATGAAAATTTATCTAAATTTCCTTCAAATATTGTTGGGAACATATTTATAGCATATAAAAAGTAACATTCTCTTATTTATTTAGATACCTAACTCATGAATTTAAAAAATTAGGACTTTCTATTGTGAGAGGATCATTTGAGATTTCATGTTCATATTTAGGAAGCATGGCATTAGAAGATCCTCATCTGCACACAGTTTATCAAAAGTATCTAATTATTTGAATAACGTAGAGCAGTCAATCTATGCATCTTCATGGTTTAACAAGTTCAATTGAATGAGAGAAAAGATTTACTAGAATATTTTTTTGATAAGATTTCTAAAACAAAATCTTAGAAATGGAATGTGTATATCTATAAATTACTCTTAAAAGGAATAAATTTCTTATTTGATACATTGGGTTCAAATGTTTTTGATGATAAAAGATCAAAGCCATCAGAATTTATCGATATTCTAACTCCTATTTTCAAAATTAGCGATATTCTATAGCATCCAATGAGTATTGATAAACCAATTTGTATTAGTGTAAGTAGAAATTTGTTTAATACTTTTGAATCTTTATTTTAAGAGAACAAAAAATGGTAATAGAGTATTTTATCTGCATTACTTAACTATGCTAAAATCACATTAGCAGAAATTAATGTAAAAGAAACTAATTAATTGTTAAATTAATTGAGAGTTTAATGTGCATTGTTATCTAAATTATTCTCTTTGTTAGATTTATAATTACATTCAATATCAAGCGAATTAATAAATCATTTATGGGAAACTGCAAAATCCTTTTTAGATAAATCTTCATCATTAAGAAGAACTGGTTGGATCATTATTGCTGAACTATTGATGGTTCCCTATTTTGGAACAACTAATAAAGTGAAGGAAATTGGAATATTGATTGAAAAAAATCTAACTTCTAAAGAGGAGATTAAGGATGAATAGCAATTATTAAGTTATTGTAGTGTTGGTTTAGTCATTATTTCAATACTAAATAGTAGCACATTATCAAAATAAATTAAGGACACAACTAGAAAATTTTTGGCTTAACAAACTATTTTGATGTTTGCTAAGTTATAATCATGTAAATTCGATAAGCAATCACCATTGGTGATATCTTCAAAATATGTGTTTTATTAGGCAATCAGATAAATACAACCAAAATATTATTCAAATGAATTAAATTCACTTGTATAGTTTTGCCTTGAAGATATAATAAATGGAAATTCACTATGGAATTCAGTAAATGTCCATAAAAATAATCATTATGTTGATGAACTTATGGGAATTCCTCGATCAGAATTTTAGTTAGTACTAGCAGCTAGCAAATTTTTAGGCCACATCATCTCTTCATAATCGTTTACCCTCAAAAATAAAATCAATTTCATTAGATATGTTAATGGAACACTACAAACATAAGTTGTAAATATAAAAGATGTCTAATAGAAGTAATCAAAATAATAGTGTTATTTATTTTGTCTTTATTAGATTGCACTTAAAATTTATTAGGCAAATTCACTTGTATCTCAAGAATTCAATGAGCAAATATTTTAAATTATTAATTTGTGTTAATGTGTTGATAATTAAATCCAATAATTATGTGCCCACCTTTATTGTTCAATGTTATAAATTAAGGATGTTGACCAAGCAGAACAATTAAACTAATTGTTATCCTAAAAGTCACAAGCTAATTTTACCTATTTAGTTTTAGAGATACTGAAAAAGAAACTTACTGGGGTGTAATTACAAGTGCAAAATCTTTTGATGAAAGTGCTATCATAAATGACAACTGATGTTGCCAAAGTTATTCAACTATTTTAGTAGATTGACCCAAGTTTACTCAAAAACGTTTGGGTGTTCCTTGTATTTGCTATAAGTTAAAGTGATAAACCTATCTAAATATGCTAATTTAAAATTCTGTCTGAAATTATATTGAATTATGTCAGAAATGGTGGTATTAAAGACAATTACTTTAATATCATCTATCAGGAATGTAGGTGTAGGCTATAGTCAAAACAATTCTAAATTTTATAATTAGACTTTGCATTAGAATAAGACACAGAATAGACTGTTACAAAAGCTATTAATTTATTATTAAAAAAACCATCACTAAAAATTGCAGTCTTTATAGATTAACTAACTGATAAATATACTATGCCTTCTTTAGTGTAACCTATTTTATTTGTTCTAAATAATTTATTTTCTAATTAGAGAGTTCATTCCACCTAAGAATAAATGGAACTTCGGAATTTGATGAAAAATATTTTCATTAAAGTTTATAATCAACCTATTGCAGAATTACTTCAACTTCTACAACCTTATATCTTAGATGAAGTGATACCTGAACAATAAGAAAGGATACCAATCCATATTAAAACAAGAATCTTCCTTTTAAAAAGATTGTAAAAGATATTTAAATAATGTGATACATCAGATTAAGTATTTGATTTTCTATTCAAAATTACAACTTCTATCTATGAGGAAGCAAAAGAAATATCATTTGATATGTTCCAGCACTTTTTTTACAAGGAGAAGGACTTATTAAGTTTTGCAGCTCAAATAGATTCAATATTATGTGATACTATTAGAAGAGAAAATCAAAACCCTCCTTCTGTAAACCTAACGAACATGAAACTTATTAGTAAATTTGCAAAAATTGTAAAAGATGAATTTTTGGCTACAAAATTAATTTAATTATTATCTAAACCATTGTTAAATGAAGGCAGAAAGAAACTAGTACCTAGCTAATTTTTTAGTGAAAAGTCATAACTCAATATTCTAATCTAAAGAATTGTTTCATTAGGAAGCATCTACAGAAAAATACCTAAATACTTTGATTAAACTCTTATAGAGTAGTTGAACTGTTATGTCGAAGAATTATTGGAGGATATATTTGTGATTCTATGTACACCAAGATCTCATGTAAGGGAATATCAGTCTTATAATTTTGTCTACAATGGAAAGAAGTATAGCTTTGACCAAGGCTTTCTCCATCAATCCTTGCCAAAACTACTACGAATCTCAAACCTCAATAAGCCTATCCATTTTACTTTAATTGGCTACATTATTACATAATATGTAAGATTATTTATCATTTTTAGGGAGCATTTGAACAAAATGAGAATATGTTCAAAAAAACTATAGAGAATCTTACTAAATAACGAATTTTATAATGTAGAGCTTATAGAATAAAGGGAATTCAATTACTGACTGAAGTTATCAATAAAAATCCTCAAAATTCATTGCTGATTAATGGAATTCAAAACTTATTACCTATAATCTCTGCAGAAGCACCTTATTCTTTGGTTATTTGTTAGTAATTTTATCAAACCCTTATTCATCATTAAATTGATTTATAACTAATCCTTGAACCTTTGATTCAAATTTATTAATTGACAGTAGATTAGAACTTAAAATTAAATTGCTTAGCCTCTTTATTAAAAATATCCTAACAAAATCCTTAGGCATCAGATTAAATAAATACTATATTTTGGGATTTTTTACTCACCTAAGAATATGAATTCATGAGATGCACACAATTAATTTAATTTTATAAGGATAAAATATACAGTTTAAAATATAATGGCTATATTTAGACAATATTATCAGCGATATCTAGTACCTAAAAAATGAGATAGGAAGATTATTACATATTATTAAATTTAGATGGTTTAATAAACAATCGTAATGATAATTAAGAATATTATTAATTGATAGATTGTAAGATTATTTCTTATTATGAAAATAGTGCATTTTACAAATCTATTATCGATTGGCTTGGCATTACTAAAACAAATTAAATAGAATTTATAGCCAATATTAAACTGTTTGCTTCCTGCAATATATAGGAAAATCTCAAACAAAGAATCAAATTCATATTTATTGATAGGAAAGTTTTTATTGCTCAGTTATTTATTGAGCAATTAAAAATAACAATAATTTCAGAGTGCCTTCAGAATTATGGATCTTTTCACAGAGGAAAACTTGGATTAGACCATCATAGAAGCCTCAAAACAGAATCTGAAAATCATAGTAATGAATACTTAGTTGAATTAAATAAATTTGCCACATGACTTATCTGAAAAAGTATAATTAATATAGGATGATATTTAAAGAGAAATGTATGTAAAACAATTAAATTTATAGTTAAGAAAAATAATAGAGAGAGGCTAAACAAAGACAACCTTAGCAATCAGGTTAAATAGTACTAAAAATGTTTGGGTGATGTATAAATAATTAAATTAAATAATGTCTCATATCTCTGATCGTTGTAAAACAGATCCGGATGAAGATAACGAGATCAAACGCAAACGAAAATAGGTTCAGCAATTTATCTAAAATTCAAAAGAGGAATAAAAAAGGATTGCTATCCTATTTAAAAAGGACTTGGATTTATAAAGTGAGAAATTAAAAGAAAGAATTCAAAAAAGAATTTTTAATAAAGCAATAGCAAAATCTTCGAGTTGTGGAGTATATAGGTCAAGCAATAATATCAGCGAATCTTAGTCATTAGCTGACACTGATGATTATTAGGAGTCACTTTATGAAAATGCTTTATTGGAGTTAGATAACTAGAGAGATGAAAAAATCTATAGAATAGTTAAGCATTATAACAACCAAATTAATAGTCTCAGGGAGATAGAATATACAACAGAAATATTATAACAAATGCTACTATTTGAAAAATAAAAATGGGAAGAAATTCAAAATATTCAATAATAATATGAAGTAATAAAGACTAATTAAATAAAGCTATGACAATATATAATTTAAAATGTGACTTATAATAATTGTGTGTAATAACTATTTATGAATTTAAAATTATAAAATTGTTTTTAGAGTGTAATATTAATCTCTTTATTTCAATATCAATTATTCTTAAATTTGTATTCGATGGTAATGAATGCTAATTTAAAATGTTCATATTTATATTATTTTAAATATAAAATTAATAAAGTGGATAACACATAAGAAAGAAAATATAATAATAATAGAAAATAATGAGATTTTACTTTTCCTATTCTAGAGATTTGATCTATTAAACTTGTTTACTAATATATAATAATACTAAATTGAATCTAAATTTATAGTGCTTTAATTAAAATCTTAATTAGTTATCTGCTTACCTAACTATTAGTACATAATGTAGTAAATATATCAATTATTTATGATATATTAAAAAAATATTAGAAGCATCATCACTATCAATTAAATTCTCTTAAGATGGAGAAATTTAGAGGATTTTAAAATAATTATTAATTGTTATAATAAATTTATTATAAAAATAATATCATATTTAATGAAGATTTGCTAATTATTACGAAATAGAGTGCTCTTTTTTAATTGTGATATATAAACTGTCTTTAACAATCCAAAACACATGTATAATCCAGGTTAAACAATATAATGTGCTCAATTAATGAATGAAGTATGTTGTCAATGATAATAAATATAGGCAGCAGGCATATTAAATATACCAGTTGTTTATACCGAATAAAATGTCAAGGCTTTTGGGTCAACAATTCCTGAAGTCAAGGCTACAATTCCATCAAATAGTCATTATTATGAAAAACACACATTTTCAATGTATAATGACGACGGAAAGAAGGTTCTATCTTAGTACCCTGACAAGAATTAAGTTGTCATATATGGTTGGGAAGCACATGTCTGCGTTTAACAAACCTGTTTGGATTTAGTTAGAAATGGTAGTAAAATTAAGATATACTCTAGGTTATTAAGTTCATATCTTAACCGATGGAACATCGAGCAATAGACCACTTTATAGATCAACATGTTATTAAAGATTAGCTTAACAGGGAGTGGTAATAGATAATTCACAGTCAGTTTTATATGAATTGTTATAGTCTTACAAAGACGAAAAGTTCAAACCAATTTTAAGTTTATTTAAGAAATATAAATTCGAAGAGGTTTTTACAACATTATGAATAATTATTAAGATTAAAATAAACAAAACAATAATATCAAACTAAATTGGCTTTTTCCATATATTCTTCTTTTAATTTTGATTTTCCCATTTTAAAATATTTTTGTTGGAATATTGAGTATTTCTTGAGCATTTCTAGATGTAAATATCTCATTTATGCTGGTCTAGTTTTATCAATGAATTATGGATCTGCATATTTGTCAATAATAGCCATAGTTTCTGGGAAAAAGTAATCTTATTATTCAGGATCAATTTCTTCTTCTATGTCACCATAAAACATCACATCTAATATAGCATGTCTTTCTACTAAATCTTCGCAAGTTAAGTCTTTGAAAAGTGTTTTTTTAATCTTAGGAATTTCCAATTCATATTTTAAATGAGACGCAGACTTATTGTCTAATAAATTTACAATAGCGTCAGATTGCATGTTGCCTAATATACCGAAAATTCTTTTGTATTATTTCTTTGCTGCCAAATACTCAATTAAAGTAGTCATGAATTCATCCGATCTTTTTAGGAATATATGTGGTAATATTTAATATGCAACATTCATAGGAGTGTTTGGATAGATGTCTGGATTTTAAGGTGTTGCAAGACATGCGATTTTAAAATATTATTACAATTAAGGAAGTGTTAATTAGTTGCAGAGGGTTTCCCTAAAGATGAGTGCTGGAATATCAGCTAACATGATTTTTGCATTAAACTTTTTGGCATAATATGAGATGGTGGCTATTTTATCATAATCGATTCTTTCCTTATTTATGTATGGTTCATAATCTAAAAAGTCTAATTTCTCATATTATAAGGCTTCTGCTATTTTTTCATGATATCCTACAGGCATAACCTCATCAGGTTCTCTGACAATCTAATTTATATAATCCTTTGATGATTTAAATTTATAATCAAAGCCTTTAAGTATTTGATCAGGTTTCATTTAAAGCATAATCAATGAAGGCCTGGAAAATAGCAATAGCTTGTATAGATTTTTTATTGGAACATGCTCCCATTATGATCCAGCCAATGTAAAGTTCACATTTTAGTAATTAAAAATATGGACTTTGCCATGTGGATTTTTATATGCAAATTCCTTGTATTGGTCTTAATTCAAAAAGTAATCTTTTTATCTCCCAATTTTGTTTGGTTGATACTGATATTGAAAATCCAAACCAGTTTAATCTTTCAATTCTTAAGGATTGATATCTTTCTGCTCCTTTAAGACTGGTGACAATAAAAATTTTGAAGGCAATCTTCCTATACGTTCCAAAGTTTTGTTTATTCTAATTGGTTTGACTGCAACGATGAAAAATTGTTTCAATTTCATTTGTGGTGAATTATATAATGAATATTAATATCAATTTTATGTTTATGGTTATTAAGGATTGGGATCTGTATGAGGTCTAGAACCTGCACTGAACAACAATACTATAATCACAACTATCAAAGTGATGATGCCACAAAAGAAGAGCCTAAACTCACTCAAATAGAAATATTACATTCTTCCATTATTTCCTTATTAAACTTAGGAGGCTTTACTCATTTCTGACTTTGCACCCTCCACATTTTCCTTGGCACCTTTCACATTTTACCCTATGATATCAATTTTAAGTCCTTGGATTTTTATCATTTCAGCACCCTCTGCCATCATTTAATTTAGTTAGTATATAACTCTAACATACGTTATAATAATACTATGCTATTTCGTTTATCTATTTATTCCTTCTTTATATAAATTCCTCATCATATTGCAATTCATCTAACAATTATACATTTATTTAATCGTCGCTCTAACGTTCCTTTATGGATTGTTTTGCAGATTATAAACTTGTCTGCTATCTTGATAATAACTAATCGGTTAATTTTTTTAATTTTTCATTTGAATCTGAGAATACTTGAACCAATTTCTATACGGTTTGCTATCTTTGTGACTAATTGTCAATTATAAGGTTATTTACATTCTCTGTCTTTCTGAACAATTGAATGGATTGCATCTCTTAAATTATTTTTAGCATTTCGTCTAAATCATTTTTTGCTTCTTTGACTAAGAGTGGTCTAAATAAAAATCTTTTTCAATTATATACATATCATCCATTCCCTTTAAAGATCTACTATTAATAATCTATTTATAATCTTATAAATACTTCTTCGTCCAAATAATGATAAACCTTTTCAAAATTGCGTATTCTTGCATGTGCCATCTAAGTCAACTTAGCGACCTATGCTTCTCCATCTTTTTAATGTAGGTCCTGAAGCTCCAAAATATCTTGTTATTTCTGAATTTAGGATATTTTTTACTTTCACTTTGTTAAAGTCTTAGAAAAATGACATAAAAAATATATAATATTTTATAATTTGCTTTTTTTATTCACTTAAATGAAGAAAGAAGAATCAAATGAGTAGGACTAGATTCCAATTAATATTGAAAAACGATCCTCTTCCTAACCGATTGGCATTATCAAAATTGAAAATGAGAAGGTTTGGCTCTCTTTCAAAAAAATCCATCATTACAAACCAGATTCTGCCATACTACCTTATCAAATCGTCAAATAAAATTATCCAGATTTAGTAATGTTATCGTTGTTATGAGGTTGCAGAGAGATTACTGTATGAAAAATTGCAATTTGTTGGGTTCACCTAAAACACAGAAAATTAAGAATAAGCATGCATTTTTGATTTTAATGGTAAGGAGTGTTTGGTTAAATGGCTTCCATCTTAACTATTTTCTTGGATACCAGTTGCACAAGCAGATCCATTAAATCTACTTGATTTTTTAGAAACATAAAAGATTTATAAAGTATATTGAATTGTGTCCAAACTTATTAAAATCAATTTATCTTTACTAATTTACAAATGATTTAGCGATTAAATTATTAAATCATTAAATCCCTTCATTTCATATCCAAAAATCAATATATAATTTTTTTTTATAAAATTAAACAAAAATGCAACAGACAAACATCTTTAGCTAGAGCTCTCTCTATATTCCTGAGTAATCGGAACCAATTACATTTTTAGACTTTTCTAAAGAGCCATGTTTGGATCAGTCAAATATCGATACCTATAGAAAGTAAGGACAGCTTGGAAGATTTAATTTGGGCTAGAAAAGTTACTACTATATAATATAATTTAGATAGAGAATCCATATCGATCAAGTTGGGCTAATACAATATTACACAAACACTATAATATTGATATACTTGAAAAAGGGAGTAAAATTATAATTAAAAAATTACCTGGCACAGAAGGTAACTCTCAAACTTAAATAAATCATTTACCCGCAATACAAGCACCACAATAGAGAGTCAAAAAATAAATAATTTCTAGTATCTCTCAATATGCTAAAAACAATTTAGAAAAATTCTTTAAAGAGAAAAGAAAATATCATATATCTACATCAACAGAAAACAATAGTTATAATCTGCACAATTCATCATGTAAGTAAACAGAAATGAATGATGCCGTCTCGCTAATACAAGTAAAAAGTTAAGATAGGATGATGCCAATTTTTGATGTCAATTTTAAAAAAAATCTATTATAATACAATATATGAATTCAATAATTGTATATTTTACGTATAATCTTTATTTATTTTTTATTTGTCTTTTAAGTATATACTTTATAAAATAAGCAGAATAATTGTTCACAAATCCATCACTAAACTAAACAATAAATAACATAACTCAATTTGATCAATCTAAATAACAATGATTATTGTAACTTACACCTTAGTGTAAATATTTCTCTTGATCTTTTATTAAACAAATCAATTTTGTTACAACGTATATATATGGAAAAATTTTTTAAATTCTTTATCAAGCAAATAGTAAGTAAATTCCATTTTTGTAACCATTTTTTAAAATTAAAGTATATGATCTATTGTTTTCAATTCATATAATCTGTTTATTTTTAGTATAATAAATTTCTGAATTATAAAATCATATAAATATATGGTTAAATTAAAATATTTTTAGTATGTTTTTATAAACGAAGATAAGGAGAAATGATATTCGAGAGTATTAGAACAAATGACTATTACTTAGGAGATCATATTTATTTGATAAAATATTATATAATGGATTTATGAGTTTTAATTGGGATCATAATTATTATTATATAAATTAGAAGAAAAAAGTTATTCATTGAATAATTATATCATCCTACTATAGCTTTTCAACAACTTATGTCTCTAATTTTAGTATATTATTTAATGCTGTTTAGTATTTATTCTTAACTTCTTCCAACTCTTATAATTTTTATGGTATTTCTCTATTCTCTTATTATGAAGATATGAATTAAATTGATGGATAAGGAATTCTTTAATTTGGAGAATTATGTTCCTTAAATGATGAAAACTATTATGGTATATTAGATGGCCTGAGATAATCCCGAGGATATCTATCCTATGACTATTTATTTTGGCTAGGCCTCATAGATTAGAAAGGTGATTTCTAAGAGTCTCTCTCTCGAGTTCTTTCTCTTTTCATCTCTGATATTGCCTCCAACACTTCAAGTCGTTATTTTTTTCTATTATCAGATTGAAGTTGGTATTTTAATAGATTGTCTCTAAGCATCTCAATTTCGTCGTTTAGTTCTTAAATATGTTAATTTAAATGTAATTTTTGATTTGATAAGAATGATATCTGATCTTCTAATCCTTGTATTACTTTTCTTTAATACTCTATAGTGTCAAAAAGTTCTTGTTGATCATCATACTAAATTCTACTTTTGAGTTCATTGATTGTATTCTCATAGACTCTTCTCTCCGCATAAAATTCGATGTCCTGAGTTTGTATTTGTGATCTTTATAAAATCTGTAATTATTATTTCAATTCATAAAGTTCATTTTAACGTTATTTCTCATATTTCAGAATAAGTTCTTTCCAATTTTCACCTTCTGGGTATTTTTATACATTGCTAATTAATAATTAATCAATTCTTCTTAAAAACTCTTATATTAATTGTTATTTCTCGTTTTCATGTTATTCTTTTAACTTTTGTAATAAATTGGATTCACTTACAGTTTGTTCTGGTATTTTCTATTTTTCTTGGGATCTGATCTTTGTTAACTCTTCTTTTAATTCATCCTTAAGCATAGATTAAAAGGATTGCATATTCTATTCTAATTGTTTTTCTTTTTCAGTAATTTTTTATATTAATTCTTATCTGCTCTATTCTGCTTGATCATATTTTTATCTCCAATAACTTGCGGAGTTTTAAACATCTCCTTGTTAGCCAATTTCTTTGTCAATATTTTGTTAAACAACATCATTATACTTTTATTACCAAAATTCTTAATTTTGAATTGCTTTTTGTAAATCTCTCTCCATTTATGTAATTTAATACTACCTTGATTATATAGTGTCTTATTAACTTGGCTCAATCTTCTATTACTATTACTCAAGTTCTAATACTCTCTTCTTATAGAGTTTAATTTCATCCTAAGACTTTTAATTTTCCAATCTTAATCTATCAATTAATTCCAAATTCATATTGATTTAAGTCAATTCCTAATCAACAATTAAATTTTGAGCTTCCTCTTCAGCTTATTTTAAAATGGTTTAAGCCTTTTCAGGATTTTCATGATTAATTTTTAAATTATTTTCGTATTTATCTTTCCAGAATTTAATCTATTTTTCATTCACCTCTTACTACTACATCCTTTATTAACTTAACTACTAGCAAATATCTTATTCGCTCATTAATTTTCTTTATAATTAATCATTTTAATCCTACATTATTTCAATTTCTCTTTAAAGTGAATTAATCTAGTTTTCATTCTATTACTTAACTTTATCAGTAGTCTATTGGAGTATAAAAAGAGCTTCTTCCTATTGATGAATTTAAGAAACTTAGTCTATTAACTATTTCTACAAGCTGGTAGGTGAATGTTATTGACTGAAATCATTTAAAACTGTTTGATATTTTTATTTCCAAAAATCTATTTGTTATCCTGCCAATTCAATTTAACTTTATAAATCAGCTATTCTCTATTTATCATCAGGCATATCACTTCTATCTAAAATCTTTATCATTTCACTTGATTGTTATTATTACTAACCCTATTTAAATAATTCCTTTTGATTTGCTTCCAAATCAATTAAAAGTTTAGAGTTTGCTAAACTCAAGAGAGTATTCTTCTAAAGTAGTTCTGATATTTATTACGACTTATCATCTCCACTAAGAGCTTTATTCATTTATTAAAGAATACTAGTATATAAATAAAATAATACTCTTAATTTATTTTTTTCAATTCCTCCACTTATTTAGCCAAAGCTTAATTCTATAATCCAAGATTTTATTTCTCTTAATCCTAAGGGTATTCCTCCTAGAATTGTTCTTTTTATTCTTAAGTTTTTAATTTACTTTATGTATTGATTATTAATTATTAAAGATAGATATTCTATTTTTTCAAATCTTCAATCTCATTAAGAAATGCTTAAGTGTTTTAATCTTAAGGTTATTTAAATTATTAGACTAATTCACCTTCTTTTTATTTTATAATTTAACTTAAATCTCCTTAAGGTTCTTTTTATTTAATCATTTCACTATATTGCTATTTCCAGAATTAAGATTTCTATTTCTCATTTTCAAGTTGGTCCATCATTTATTAATTAGAAAGTGTTTGGTTCTACTAAGAGAGCTAACCTTTATAAAATGTAATCTAGGAATCTTAAACTTAATTAACTTTCTCTTGCATTTCAAGTTTTTGTTTATACTCTTGTAGTTCATCTAAGATTTCATTAGATTGATTTACATTTATAAGTTACCTTTAATATTAATTTTTCAAATCTTCAACTGCTTATAATCTCTCTTCCAAATCATTAATTTATTAAAATGCTTTTAGAAGTTTGGCTTATGCTGAAGATGGAGATAACTAATTTATCTGTTCTTAAAGTAATTGATTAAATTTTAGTTTTTATTATTCAATTTTTTCATCCTTTTCAGCTATCTGTGATTATAGTTTTTCTAATTAATCTTCAGATCTTTCTTATTAAAGTTGTATGACTTCGTTATATTTATTATTCCATAATTAAGCATCTGTTATAGCATCTTTTAACCTTAATTTCAATTCTACTATTTCTCCAGAAAGCTAAGGAATTTGAGTTTCAACTTAATGTTATAGATTTTAAACTTATTCCTCTAAATCATGAATGTATTAAGTTTACTATAATATTTTCTCTTATAAACCATTTGGTGTTAAATTTTCAGATTATAATTATAGTAATTCTTGATATTATTCTTTAATTTTATCCAATTATTTCTTTAGAAGATCGTTCTCATTCTATAGTTATAATTAAACATTTTTAGCTTCATCCAATTAAATCTAATCATGAATATCAATTAACTATTTTGTTTTCTAAGTCAATTAACTTTGCAAAATTAACTATTCTTATTAAAGGTTATCAATTTTATTCTATGAAACTCTTAATTCTGATTGCAATTCTTATTTTTCCTTTTGCAAACTTAAAATTTAATTTTCATTGATTCCATTCTCAATCATATCTTGAAACTTTTAAAGATCTTTCCTTCTCGTTTATTCTAACTCTTCAATTTATTTATTTAAAGACTAATTTTGTTGTCTTAATTAACTTAATTATAAGGCTTTCTAGGGATCATTTTAAAATTAAATGGATTCTTATTATTCAGTAGGTTAAGGAATTTAACTGTTTAATAAATCATTTATTTATCGTTGAGCTTAGAGCAGTTATTCTTAAAATTTTATCTTTGTAAGTTTTAGCTCTTCAGTTTAATCAATTAATTATTACTATAATAAATCATTTTGATTTTTAAGTTCGTTAATACTCTCTACTTAAATATTTTCATCTATTTAATTTAATAGATCCTCTTAGTTTGGAGATTTATTTGATATATCTTCTCCATATTTTAGAGCTAATTTTTAGTATTCATTTTTCCAATATTATTCCTATCTTTATTAATTCTTCAAATCAATCATTTCTAAAGATTATGCTTGATTAGATTTATTTAATTTTTCGATTTAACTATTTTATGTTTCCGTTAATTTATTTAATATAGCGTTTTCTTTTGAGATATCTGAATTTTATTAATGTTATGCTTCTATTTAATTTTCATATTAATTGATTAATTTCTTTTATTCATCTATAATAATTTTAGCTTGTTGCTCTTATTCATTAGCTTTTTAGTAATTCTTTACTAATGTTTAAATATAATCTTAGGATTCTTCTAAATTCATCTATTTTATAATATTGTCATCAATTTATATTTTAGGAATTTCCTATTTAATCTCTAATAAATTCAAATACTTTTCTTTCCAATTTCTAGCTTCATCTAGTGCTTTTTTTAAATTTTAATCTGCTTCTTGTAACTAATGTGTAACCTCTGGTATATCAGTTTAAATTTGATTCTGCAAGGCTAATATTTGCTCTTGTTATTGATGAATAATTTATGTATTCTATAAAATCTTTTCTTATAAACCATTTGGAGTTAAATTAGCTTATAATTGTTCTTAAAGTTAACTATATTATTCTTTTGATTGGTGTAACTATTTGGATAAGAGTTAATTTTAATTCTATAACTCTAGTATTTGATTAGCTAAATTTTATATCGTCTTGCTATCTTACAAATCTTTTTTATCTTTTAATTATGATAATAAATCATCTATTTAATTTTACATTTGTCTCTTAGATTATTGAAGTTGTTGATTTTCAGAAAATAATTAAACAACCGAATTATCCTAAGTACCATCATTCTCTAAAATCTTTTGAAACTTTCTTAAATCTTCTTATCTTTCTGCTTCTATTTCAGCAATTTAATTAATTAATTTCTAATTTTTTTATTGGAGATCAACAATCAAGTATTATTCTGGAGACTCTTAAACTGATGTTTTACTGCTTCTCTTATTTTGAGTTGCTAACTTTGTATACTCCTCTTTCCAAAACTCAGTGTTCCCATCAGCAAGTTTGTTTTTAAGGATCAAAATTTCCTAATCTTTTAAATTTATCTATTTATGTAAATCTTCTAATTCTGATTTGACCTTTTCTTATTATTTATGCATTAATGCAATTTCTTATTCTTGCAAAATAGTTTTCCTATTCATATCATCTTAAAAATCAGATATATTAGTTTAATCATTCTTATCATCATATTTTTATGCAGATAAATTTGTATCTTATAAATTATTAAATTTTGTTGAATAACTTTTTTCGTTACTTTAATTCTATTAGGATCTTTGATTTAAAAGGTTTTGATATCTTTCCATTAGTAAATGGATTTCTGTTTATGAATCGTTATATTTTTATTTATATTCTGTTAAAGCTCCTTGCAATTTTGGAACTTCATTATCCAATTATTGATGCATCAATTAAATTTCCTATTGTTATTCATGTATTTAATTTGCTTATTATAATAACTTTTCTTTTTGTCCATTAGGAGTTAAATTTTAAGAGGTCAACTCCAAAAGTTCTTGGTATTATTACTTAGATTATAAGAGCTTCTCTTATTATTCTTGAATGATTTAGTTTAAATTCTCCAATTATTTTTTGAAGTCTTCATCATTATAATTTGAGCAAAATTCAGAGAATTACTTATTTTTTTCTATTAGTTACCCTTAAATCAAAATTTACTCTTATAATGCATTATCTAATTAATTTTATAGATTTCTCAATTATTATTCTAAATTTTATTTAGATTAGAAGAGTTCAATTATATGTTATTGATCAGCTCCATTCTCATTTATTTCTTTGAATTTTTATAAATCATCCTGTCGTTAATTTTAAATCTCTTACAATTGATTTCTTAATTATTAATTTTGCTATTGTAATTAACTAATAGCTAAAGTTTTTTCTGGGTCAGTCTCAAATGTTAATTATTTATCATTATCCTGTTACTTTGATGGTTTAAAAGACTCTAAATTGTGAATTTAATTTTATAATTGTACAATCTGATAATACAGTTAGGTTTATTGTGCTCTCAGTTCTTCATTTTCAGGTTTTAATTTTGAGAGAACTTGGCATTCATTGTCTTTCAGAATATTCTCATTAATCACTTTATTTAATTCCTCTTATAACTATTTAATTTAAAGAGCAGAATCATAATCTTATATTTAAATGATTTCATCTCTATTATTTTGATCATTCTATTTTGTATTGTCAACATTTATATCTCTTTGTTGATTAATCTTACTTTGTAAATTTGCTATTTCTTACATTAATTGCTGTTCTTTGTCTATCATTTTATTAATTTTTTATTACTAATCCTTTATCTAATCTTATTGAATTTGTTGTATCTACTATGCCAAGTTATATTCTCTAACTTTTTCATTTATTTCTTCTTTCAATTATTCTTATATATCTTATTGAACTTCCAATTTTCTATTATTTTACTACAACTATAGATTGAGTTCTTAATATTTCTCAGTAAGTTTTTTCAAATCATCATTAGGAATTTATGAATCTTGATTCTAGAGATATTACTTATTATTTAATAACTCATTATATCGCTTATCCTAATTAAGAATATCATTCTCAGCAGCCTATATCTTTTGATTTGCAGTTGCTAATTGCCCTTCTAAAATAGGAATTTCCTACTCTATTTTATTGGATAAAGTATTAATTTAATTTTCTTAATCATGAATTAACGCTTATTATTATAATATTTTTTCTTTCAATCCATTTGGACTTGAGTTTTGTTATGAAGTTTCCAATAGTTCTTAATATTATTTTTTAGCCTAAATTAATTACGCTTCCAAATTATTAATTTAATCCATTAAATTCATTTAACCTTATATCTAGGGTTGATTTTATTCGCTCTATAATTATTCTAGTTCTTTTAACTCTTTATTCTTACTTTATAATTCACTTTATAATCTAATTAAATTTTATTATAATGCATCGACTTTATTCTACAAAACTCTAAAGTGCTCTTAGAGTTTCTACTTTTCTGCAATAAGATCTACAACCTTTTATTACGAGATTCCATTTCCTATCATCTCTTAGAATTCTTTAAGATCATCCTTTCTCTATAATTCTTTTTCCTTTAATTAAGCCTATAATTTTTAATTTTCTTATTCTAATTAACTAATTCTAATGGTTTTTTCTGGATCAACAATCTCTTTTTATGTATAATTTCTACGTGGTTTAGTTGATTCTGAATTAATTTTATTTAATTCATCTTAGAGTTCAATAATTTTTTCTTAAAGTTCCAAATTTTTATCTTTTTATTGGTCTTCGCTCTCTAGTTACTTCTTATTTTTTTCAATTAAAAGAGGTTCACAAAGTTAAATTTAATAATTATCCTATTGATAAGGTTTTAAATAGGATTAATTTATAATATTTTTTAATCTCTATATTTCCTTATCATTTAATTGTAATTTATTTAACAGATCCTATTTAATTTTTTCATTTTCTAAATTTTTCTATTAAAGATCCTCAATTTAGTTATTTAAGTATGATTATTATTGCTCTTATTAATCCGACAATTCCATCAATTTATTATTCTCAGCTTATTTCTTTTTTAATTCCATTTCATTATATAATTCTTATTAAAGGAAATCATTTTTCATTAAGTTAATGTGAGATAACAGTTCTTAATTTTCTTTAATTTATTCCATTAACTAATATTCTGCACTGTCTAATGAATACCCTCTTTTCTATTTCTCAATTTCTTCCTCATATTTTTATTTCCAAAATTATTCTTCCTAATTAATTTATTTTTCATTTTCTAATCTGTTAGTATTCTCTTGTCCTTTTCTAACTTTACTTAAAATATTTCTTAAATCATCTCTCTTTGTATCAATAAACCCTTGCCTATGTAAATTTTGACTTGGCTCTTATTTGCTTGAGTGAATTATTGATATCTTTTAAGGAATGCCAACAGTACTATGAAATGTATGACTTCTAATTGGAGAAATCCTTATTGGACTGACATATTTTACTGGAGTCAACACTCTCACACTAGCATTTAATCTTTCAGCAGAGTATCTGATAGGCGAAGATCTCAATTTATTATTAGTTCCAATTAGTTTTAAATCTTGATTCTTCAATCTAACTAAAGAGTTTAATAAAGAAATTTATTTTATGATGGCTGGAATATTATTACCATCTAATTACAGGTGCTCTATGTGACTCATAATTTTTGCAAAAACTTCCCCAGCACTCATGGAAGGAGACAAAGACCTTCCTTTTGTGGGGCTTTAATTATTTAAAATTCTTCTAACAGCTTTTGGGGTTTCATATTATTTTAATGCTTCTACATCTTAATTTAATGAAGTTAAATAAATTTAAATTTATTGCAATTCAACTTCGTTGTTATCTTCGTTATTTTCATATTTTTTAATTAATCTATGATGAGAACTCATTAATTCAGACAGCATCGTTAAGGCATTTGCATATTTATTTTGTAACAAATTGCCCTTTCTAAACTACATTATGTTACTTTGCAAATTCTCAAATCCAGCTTGTAAACTTAAAGGTAATACATTCTCTTTTCCTTTTAACTGTCCTCCTGATTTTTATAATAACATGCTATCATTTTTAAGTTGTTATTGATTCACTTCTAGTAGGTAGGATAGTTTTTATTCTAGCAATATATTTTCTTCTTGTAATTTTTTAAACTCATCGCTCATTAACTGATCCTGAAAATTAATGCAAAATTTACTCTTATTTGATTTTCTTGTTTGCTGAAAGTTCTTTAAAGTGAATTTAATTAATCTCTGCTATTTTTTTCTTTTTGTTATAAATCGTTTATTTATTATTTCTGATTTGATATTTCAAGCAGCAGAATTTGCTCCCTCTCTTACAGTTTTTAACTTAAATCTCATATTTTTTATATACTTCTAGTTTTTCATTGCAATTCTTTTTTTTTCTATATCTAATAAAACAGAATTTAATCTTTGTATTTCAAAACTCATCAAGACTTTTTCCATTTTCAGATTTATAATAATATCCAAATTCATTGATTAAGGGACTGATGGAACAATTTGTATAACAGGGGATATAGCCCTTTGTGGAGACCTCATCTAAAAAGGCTGTGAATTATGAATAGATCTTCCTCTCATTTTAAATTTCAAATTTATTTTAATATTATTAAATGATCGTTACGATAAGTGCTTTTATTGTCTTTTTCATTATTTTGACCAATTATTTTAAGTATTGAATCTCCAAAATTTACCCATAAAATCAATGATTTCATCATTATTACTAATAGTGGATTAATTTCTCTATATTATTTTTGGTAATTATTAAATATCAAAAAAACCTAAAGTAAATTGAGACAACTCCAGCTACAACATTGATTAGCTTATTGGAATGCAAATGATTCTTGCAATGTTTAACTTAAATAATATTCCCCACAATTCAAAAGACACATTGATTGAAATCTTAAAAGTTTACACACTGATTTCTGAAAATGCTAAAAATATTTGAAAGTGTTGAGGATTTTAACCATTGGTCGTGTTTACTAAATAAATTATTCTTATTTTTAGCCAATCCAGTAAATAATTATACTAGCTTTTAAAAGTTGTTGATGATGTCAACACGTATATCTCTAATTATTTATGAGATAATAATATTGCTATACTACATAGTTAAACGCAATTTAATATTATCCAATTGTTAAATTTCTAGTTTTGAGAAAAATATAAATTTAAACATTAATTCTTTGCAATTATGCATTTCAAATCCTGTTTTAAGATCTGAGTAAAATTATAAAATAAATAATGCTGATTTATCTGTAGGGATTAGAAATTTTTACTTATTTCATGTCCTATTAACAATTTTATAACCTATTTAAATAAGCAAGAAGCATAAAAAACAAAAAAGTGGATCACCTAAAGAATTATTAAAATATAAGCAGTACAAATAAATTTTTCATTTTTTATCCTCTAAATGAAAAACATAAATATTTCTCAATTTCATAATTTGCTTAATCACTTATGCAAAATGAGATGTAAATAATATTCAAATGTAGGAGTTAGTTAGTTATTGTGGGAAATATATAGTTGAAATACAATTATAATCTTATTTATTCCAAAAAAAATTAACAATCAATTTTATTATGCTTTAAATACCCTAATCAATTAGAGAATGTTAAAAATAAAAGCATTATTACTTAGATAACGCCAATTTCTACAACCTTATAAATAATAATATCTTGTGATAAGTTTTTGATGATCTATCATAAAGCAACTAAAATTAAATTAGTCATAATTAATTAAATCTACTATTATACTATTTAAATAGAGAAGTGATTATATAGAAAAATACGTTTAAGAATGTGAAAGGAAAGGGATATAGATTTTTATTTATAAAGTGAAAAAGTTACAATATTATGATCATTTTGAAGTAACTGAGGAATAATCAACTTATATAATTATAGTGAGATAATAATGATTAGATTAGAACTAATATCCCTATTAATCTAAAGTAGAAGAATTAGAATATTGAATTTATATTTCTAACTGTTTTAAATTAACTGAAATAATAAATATTAAAAATGAATAACACGTCCATACCCCAACTTCCTTAAGCATCTATCTATGAGCCAACAATATCGGTTTAGAAAATTTAGCCACATTATCGATTTGATTCCAATAATATGCCTAGGATTCAATGTTATTACCATTAGGACAGTCCAAATAATTACATTAAATACTTTTGCAGACAGCCAGAATGCTTAATGCCATTATGCGATAAGTGTGTTCAACAGCATTTGAATTAATACCACACTTAAAGCTAAAGTAAATATAAATTAAATATTCTTTAGGTAATATTGTGCCATTTGAAACCATACTTTCAGAAATCTACTAAAATTTAGCAGCAGATTGCAATGAAATGTGCGATTAAATCAATAAAATTCAGTAGTTGTCAGAAAGAACAACTACTGACAAATTAGTTGGAAAGCAATCATTATAAACAAATCCAACCAAATTGATAGAATCTGCAAGGGATTAAGTTATTGCTATTGTTAATAATTACTTTGAGACTTTGAAGACTTATCTTCTCACATAAATTGAAGAACCATTGCCTGAAATAAATGTAAAACCTGCCATAAAGGACATGAAGTTAAGATGGGAATAAAACATCAAAGATTTAGAGTCCATCAATAATCCATTAGCATCTATTGAAAAAGTTATAGAATACTGTGAGGAGGAATTAAGAAAAAAAAACGATACAATTTTAAATGAAGCTGAAAAATTAATCAAACTATTAGAAGCTACAACACCTCAATATAGATAATACGGAGTTGATATTCCGCAACTGTTTGTTGATCCATCATTTCTACCTCGATTTTTATGGGTTTTAGAAAGATATGCATTTTTTAATCACCCACCCCTGGAACCAGAAATCCTTCCTCCCCCAAGAATAGTTGAACAAATCCCTGTTTATGATCTCCCACCTCCACCTAGATATTATGATCCATATCCCCAAATGGAATAAGTTATTTATAGAGACCCCATTGTTATAAGGGAGCCTGTATTTAGAGATAGTTTAATCAGAGAAAATGAATACCCAGAAGATTATGATGATGCTTATTGGCAGCGAAGAAATAGAGGAAGACAATAATAATATGATTACTATCCTGATAATGATAATGAAACCTATTAAATGAAAAGTGTATCAAAAGAAAAAAAGAGAAAATCAAAAGTTTAAGAAACTTCTCCATAGCCAAGATACAAAATTACTGAGCAATATGAATCACAAAAAAAAAAAAAAACAAACAAGTCAAAAGGTCCAAAAGAAATAGTCATTAGTCATGCATAACCTTCATATATCAATCTGACAACAACCTAATTACCATAATAACAAGTTTATTAGCCTTAACAAACAACAACATACTAGGTTCAACCTACTTATTAAGCTTTGTAAACAGCCAATATCTTATTACCCACAAACACTCAACTAGAATAGTCTCAAAAAGCACCTTCTGGTATGACAAAATCAAAAATTACAAACTAAGCATATAAAAATTTATGATTATTTCTGATATAATAATTATTCAATAAAATTATCAATTTATTTTTATTATCACTTTTAAATTCAAGACTATAAAGATAAGATTTAATTAATAAATCGTAATTAAGAATTTAATAAATACAACATAATTATTGAAGGATAGTTTATCTAATATTTTAACGAGCCCCAATATCAATGAATTAATAAAGTTTCCTTAACTTTATCTTATTTTAACTTAATTTGATAAGGATAATTTTAGGATAATTCTCATCATTATCTTTATATATATCTTATAGAAACTGAATCTGAACTAATAAGTAGGGTTTATTATAAGAGATGGTCTGAGCATAATGTATTTCAGCAATCTCTAAAAATACTCAAGGTATGATTATTCAAATCAAATATAACTTAAAATAAATTAAATTAAAATTTTTATTTAACCTTCAAGGGATTATTTGACAATACTAAAGATCCTTACTAGAGAAGATTTAATAAACCGACGTTTTAGATTTATAATCATAAAAAGCATGACTTACATTTTATATATTTTAAACGATCTCTATAAATTTTCTAAGTCTAGATGTTGATATACTATATCTTGGAAAACCAGAATTAGATTTTGTTCGCTTAATTTTGAACAAAAGTATACAAATTATTTTTATATTCATATTATTTAATAAACTAGGTTTTTGTTATATAAAAATATTAATTAATCAGATAAATCAAATTTAAAAATAAGAAAATAGCAAATTATTAAACAATCTAATAAATGGTAGCTTCACATATTTATTTCTTTCTAGGATGCTTTTTTTTAAATCTGAAAAAAAAAATATTCCTTTTTATATTAATCTACACATTTAGAAAATTAGAAAATTAGAAAATATTCAAAAATTAAGTTTTTTAGTTTTAAATTCTCTATGTATTATTATTTGATGGAGGAAATTATTTATATAAACATTGTGAATGTTCAAATTGCAGTTGGTTATTATTTTTCGGGGTCATTTTCGTAAGCAATTCTAATTGTTTTATTTGTTCTAGAGAAACAATTTGCTATTCTTTTGAGGATGAAATCAATTTTTGCTTCCCAATAGCAAACCATATTGAAAAAGTAATGCGAAAAAATGTATCCTCCTGGTACCTTTTTGATATAGATGATAAATTACATCAATAGTATAATGGATCGCGAATGAAATTACAATGAAGGCTTAAAATATCGAACATATGAAAAAAAAGAGTGCCATATAACTTTTTCCTACTTTTCTCATTTCAAGAGCACAAATAGTTAAAAAGCCAACATGTCCCTAAGATTATTTGAATGAATGTACTGAATAAAAAAAATCTGAATATTTTCCATATTTTACAACTAGGCTTGGCACCAATGGGTCTTCCCAATAGTAGTTGGGTGAATACTCTAATTTGAATATGTTCAAGTGAACTGCCCTTATTGCGTAGAATAAGATAAGAACTGCAAACAATCTAAAATTTCTTTCGTATAAAACCCAATAGAGTGACACATAAAAGAATGCGAAATCTAAAATAAGTGCAGACGATATTTGCATCATGGCAGAGAACCTAAAATAATTCAAAGTTTAATACCATCTGTGTTCTTAATATAATTTATTAACTGGTGTTGTAATTAAGTGTCCCCAATCCCATATACCATTAATGTTATCACTTGGAGTACCAAAAATTTCCCCAAGCTGTGTAACAACAATGTAAGTAAAAAAAATAAAAATTCTGAATCTAAAGTTATAACAAGGATTTCCTGGAACAGCACTTTATCGATGATCAAATTTATTTGGGAAATAAAAAGATTTCAAATCTTCACCATTATATTGCACAGCATCATCAGTTTTCGTTGCCATATTAAATAAATTAAATAAATGTATTTATTTCAATTTTATTCCTTTTTCTTCTTAAGAATTTAAAAAAATTACATGTTGAACATTTAACTCTCAGATGAATATTGAATATATAATAACTGAAATCAATTTATGTTAAATTTGCTATAAATTGCCATATGCGTTGTTTTCTTCTTCCCATAACTCAATTTATCGATCACTCTGATGTATTGAGATTTCTGTTAGAATTCTCGAATTCTTAATGTAATTCTCTACTCATTGAAGTAGCAATTCTTTAATTACTTTTTGGATAAAAATGTCCTAAGTCCATCCTTTTCGTTTACATTTTATCTGATAGATCATAACTGTACTGGAATTACTATTCTGCGTTAGATTTATCATACCCTTATTTTAACTTGTTGTTAATTTGATCTTTCAAGAAGTTCGTTTAATATTCATATTGAAAATATTATGCCTCTTTAATTAGTAAGCTTAATAATTTTTTAATATATATAAAGGATCTATATTTATTATTTAAGTATTTAAAATAAAATCTAAATAATTAATCATAAGATCTGTTAATTTTAGAAAAAATAAACAATTATAATTTGATAGGATATGACTTTATAAATCCTTTTCTTTTTAAAAATGCTTTATTAGGTTCTGGTTTACTTTTGACATATTGTTTATTACATTTATTAACACTTTTATTCAATTTGTAGAATCTATTTTTTGAATTTATTTTAAGCACCTTTCTCTTTTTATGATAGACTATCTTCTTTCTTTTACTTTAGTAAGTAATTGTAAGGCAAATTAACAAACAATAATTATAATACTAAGTTTATGTTAAATGGAATTGTTAGAAATTCTGATTTTCTTTAAAATTAGTTTCTGATCAAATTATTAATAATATAAAATGAATATTTAATTGACTGATATATTGACAGCTTATGAAGCTGAGCATTATATTGAAGCTCTTCAAATATTTGAGATTACTGAATTAGGATGCAAAAAGTAAAAATATTTAATATATAGGTGGTTCGCATAAGATGAGGTTTTATAAAAACTTAATTTTTAAGCACACATAAATGCCATAACTAGATCTGACGAATTCATTATGGAAGCCTTCTGTACCTTTGACAAAATCAAACCATTAATCTATGATTTAATAATGACTGAAATGTGGAAGCAATATGTGTTCCCTTATTTGAAATCTCATTTTACTGAATTGTCATCAATTAGATCTTACACAGTACTTTAACATGAAGCTATTGTCTGCAATTTATTATAAATTTGCTTATTTCACAGAACTTCGATAGATGCATCAGAAGGTTATATTCTTGAGATAGTGGATTATTGCTATCGAAAATTAACAGCTTTACTATAGAAGTACTGAATTGTAAAAAAGATTTAGGCCACCTGCAAAAAAGATTGAGAAAAAAAGCATTGATTATTACAAGAATAGAACGAAAGAAGCTGAAATAGATGAACAATTTTAGAATGTAGAGTTTTAAATTCAAATGATGTGTTTAAGCATCATAAGATTCATAACTGATCATTTAAAGCATTTGCCAATTAATATCTTACACCAAATTATTGTTGAAAATGACTTTTTCTTTTTACTAGTCCCTTTGATTGAAGAGAAACCTTGGTTGAGAATTAATCCTAATAATGAAAGAGAAGTATTTGAATAATCAAAGTGGGTTACTTTAAATAAGGAAGATTATAGTAAACTACCTAAAATTGAAGCTTAATTGTGGATTACAATATATAATTTATTCATGGATCCAGAAAGTAGAAGGAAATATGAATTGAATGATTTTAAAAAGAGTAATTTATTAAGATTAAGGAAATTTATGAATGAATTGCTTTTGGATTAGATTCCCCAACTTGTGGATATGTTGAGGTCTTTGGAAGAATTATCCCTATTGTAAGTACAAACTTAGAGTAAAAATACTATTGTAGTACAGTAATTGCCAGAATTACGTTTAGCAATATGCAAAGATAAGAATTGGAGCTCTATTGCTTAAAAATAAAAAGAAGAGTATTTCCAAATAGATGATCCAAGTATAAAAGAAGGTATTATATATTCATATTTTAATAGATATCAAAAGAATGGCTGAATTATATTCCAATACAGTGTTTGAAGGTATTATTGATGGATTTAAATGTGAGAAATGTACAAAGGAAGCTACAAAGAGATGTTCTCGTTGCAAATAAGTGTGGTATTGTAGCAAAGATTGCTAAGTTGGTGATTGGCCAAAACATAAGGTCAATTGTAAGACAACTACGACATAAAAATAAGAAGACTCTAAGTAAGTAGAGAAGTAATCAGATAAATTATTGGATCAAATTGATTGAGTATATTAATTTAATAAATTCAATAACACTTAGATAATAAAAATATCAAAATTTGATTGCAGTAGATTTCTATTTTATAATGATTATGGACTATGTTGAGGCGTATATTACTATAATAAGAGGATATAATTATATTTCAAATAAGACTTATTATTTTAGAATTAGAAAATTATTTATAAAAGACTTCTAATTAGAATATTAAAAGTAATCCAGCTTAAATGATTCAATAATAAAATTATCCTCCAATATCTCCCTTCAATTATGGTTATTAATAAAAACTTGGTATATGACAATAACAATAGTAAAAATAAATATTACTAATTTCTGTATTAAAAAAAATAATAAAATTTATTTAATATAGCTTATTGCAATGTGGAAAAACAAATTAGCTGAGAAAGGAAATCGAAACTATGGAGAAATCGATTTCTCTTAATTTTCATCAGTAACACAAAGAGAAAAAAATAAAAAAGTATTGGAACCTGCTTCAAGTGTTTACTCAATCAATATTAAGGGAAACAACAAAACTCCATTTCCAAATATTAAATCCAAGTCTCCTGACGTTTTAAAGATTCATCAATATAATTAAGCTATTATCGATGTAAAGTCAAAATCTCCAAAGGCAAAAGTCATGAATATTAATTCTTAAATCTTAAGCAAACAATTTGAAACTTTTATGAAATCAAAACGAGAGCATAAATTATAATAAAAATAATAATTGTGATGCTCAACATTTATACGTATACTAAAAACTCATTATTATTTATTAGTGTTATCATTTGGCTCTACAATTGTTTCTTGTTCTGCTTATTTCTTTTTATATACTTTTTTTGTTTTCTTCTCAACAGGTTTTTCTACCAATAATGGATCATCTATTGATTTTAGCATTGAAATAGAAGTTCTTGATCTTGAACTTCTCTTGCGAATCGGATCATCCTTTCTTCTGACAGGTTTTCCTTTTTTCATAAGAGGAGTAATGAATTGCTACTTAGACAACCGCTTTTTAAATATAGACACTTTATTTCTAATATTACCTGTGCCCTTTTTAAGAATAGTAACCTCTTTTAAATAAGGTGAATTTTGTTTGACATTCATGAAAACGTCCACACCACAATATCTGAAAATAAATTTGAACGAAGCATCTAATGAGTTTGATCTTCTTTTTCCAACGCATAAACCTTAGTAAGTATTCATAGTAGGTTCACTCATATTATGAATCCATTTGACTTGAATCACATCTCCCACTCTAAAATCAGGGAATGTCATAGGCTTTAATTATTGAATGGAATTACTTTGATAATTTGTAGTCTTTCATATTCTTCTTTTTCTAATTATTATAACAACTTTTTTCTTGGCAAAATGGGTGATGGAGGGATGACTGGCCAAATTGTTTATTCATCATCCCATTACGGTAATCTAGGTCTTCTTGATTTTGGGTAAGGAATTTATCTGGGTATGTAATTCTCAATGTAATGAGTCTTATCAAAGGGTGACCTCTTTGGTACATAGCCATAAACTATGTTGAATCTAGGAATGGTGTTTACTAATGATCTGCAAATTCCAATCATATATTTATATTAAATTATATTTATGCAAAAAATTCAAAACTTTATAGAAAAAAACAAAGCAGCTGTTGCCATTGCAGCTGTTGCTGCTGCTATTGGTATTGTTGGTATAAAAGTATTGAATTCAGATAATAGAGGGAGTGGTAATAGTTTTTTGATTTATTAGCTAAGATCTTGGATGCAAGTATATAGAAAGTTCCCTTAATTGAGAGACTGGGAGGAGAGTAAGCAATTTAACCTATGATTTCATTATTATTCGATCGTATTTCTAATAATAAAGATTTAAAGTCCCTTTTCTAGAATGTTGAAAAGAGTGTATATTATTTTGATATAATTATTTAGAAAGTTTCATAGCATTTTAATGCTGTAGTTTTATAATTATTTGGAGGAAAACCAGCAGCGTAATAAAATTATTAAGATCATTGCAAACTAAATATCACAGAAGCTCAATTTAACACAATTCTGAATCTTTTAGATCAAACTCTTAAAATGTTGGGAGTGGATGACAGAGAAATCAATGATGCACGAGAAGCATTTTTAAGCAAGAAATAATAAATTGTTAGTCCAAATCAAGGTGCTTGATACATTTAAAATCAATATATAATACAATATTTAAATAATTATAATAATAAATAATGAATCTCAATCCGACACTCATCCAGCAAGTAGTAAATTTATATTTTGAGGATTGTATAAAATTAATTTTTGAGTTTCCAAAAAATTTCGATTAATTTTGGAATTTAATTAAAAATATTTATATAATTATTAAAATCCTAATAAATATTGAAATTAGAAATCTTTTAAATCATAAGCTGGATGTTTAATTCAACATATCATATTGTGAGGAGATTGCTTAGAATATTATAGTAACACAGTCTACACAATAAAGAATAAGGATTTAGAAGATTTGTGATTTATCAATATCTGCCCGTTATCAATACTTGTATAATTGAATAGTTGTATTTAACGATTGAACTGTATGCGGATTTTAGTTAATCAAATAACATTAATATTGAGAATTAAACTATCATTGACAAATTAATTAAAAATTAATAATTAAATCCATTGATAAACTGATAAAGATTAAGAATCCTTAGATTATAACAAAATATTTCATATTGTAAAACGGAAATCTGAGCGCTACTTTTAGAGTCAAAAATTTAAATCTTAATATCCTTAGTTTAATAGGGGGCTAAGAAGAATATAAGATTATTAATTTTAAATTAAATGCAATCTTTAAAATGGACTGAATTCCTGTAAGAAATAGGAGATTCTAAAGACTTAGACTTAAATGAGGAACAACTTAAGTAAATTGTCAAGTTCCCTAAACAGAAAATGACTTTTTAATAATTAGAACATTATTTAAGCAATGAATTTAAAGTGCATTTTAACTAAGATAGCAATCGAAGCAAATGGCATGAAAAAGATAAATACTTGTTTATTTGGTGTGTTGCTAAATTAGCTGAGAAGAGAAACTTACAATTCTATGAATTGGTATTTATAAAGCATATGTTTACACTCTAGCATCACAAAGGTGTCTTCGCATATTTTGAAAAAGTATTAGATCTTCCAGAGTAATTTCTTCTGGAAAAATGGATGAGTCTTTTAAAGCAAACCTTGAAATAACTACCATGGACTCCAGAAGAAGACTAAATATTGATTCAATTAAGATAGTATTTATAAATATCAATGAAGGAAATATCCAGGCAACAAATGGACTATAATAGCTAAGGAATTTACTTACTTAACAAAAAATTTAAGATATTAAAAGTAGATACGTGAACGGTATAATAATGTGATAAATTCCAAAATCAATAAGTAAATCTGATTAATATTTCAATAGGAAGCCTTTCTCACATTAAGAAAAATATGCACTTATGCTTTACGCTAAGAAAATGAACAAAAATTGGTCTGGTATTGCAAAACTGATGCCAGGGCGGACTGATAATAAAATTAAGAACTGCTATAATTCGATTATGAAAAAAATTGCAAAAAAAATCCATTTAGTATATTTTTCAAATATCTTAGAATGAATTAAATTCTTAAAAAGAGAAGTACATCTTAAAGTTAATCAAAAAATATCATACTTGTGATCCTGACGAATTAGCAAGTCAGATAGAAAAAGTTTAAACAAATTTGAGTTCCTTAAACGAAAGCCTTAACACCTTTAACGAGCAGCATCTTATATCTCCAATTCTTCCAAGCTTTTAACCAATATAACTCATATATCCCTTTTGCTATTTTTAACCAAATATAGGATTTCCAATGTAATTTTTTCAATGAAGCGAAACCAAATACAAAATAAATCTGATCTATTAAATAAAGTTATTTATTTAAAACACTTCGTTAATTTTAACTGATTTCCAATTTATTTCTTAACTGTAGACTTCTTATAATCACTTGTCTATGCTAAAATTATAAGTAATATCTAAGGAGACAGTTTTATCCTCACTTTATTCATTGATATATATATATTTACATATATATACATAAGAACCCTTCGAAAATAAAAGTGTTCATCTATCATTACTTTGATTAATTTAAAAAGTATTTTTTGATTATTTTTTATTCCAAACGAAGTGTAATCTACAAGAATTTTGAAATTGAGTCTTCACTGATTATCTAATTTTTCCCCTATATAATAAATCCAATATTTTTTATTTGATATTCTCTTATTCAAAATTTAAAAAATTTTCGTTCTATTTCTATTATCCTACAATTATGGGACTATTCTCCTAAATTCTATAATTTTTGTCTTTAAATCAAAGTATAACAATTCCATGAAATCATAGGAGAAAAATTCTTAGAGAACTTCATGTATCTCAATCCTTTTAATTTGATTCATGAATCTAATGAATCTAATTTATCTGTATAGTCTTATCTGATAGCAACTTCGGCTGGAGATCATGTGGATAGTTAAGAAACTATGACAAGTAAAAAATGAGATTAGCAAATTTTTAATAAATAATTACTAATATTATTCAACAAAATTTCTACAATAATATTTATCATAAATAATTTCATTCAAACATTAATTTTTTCCATTCCTTTTTTTTCATATATAGAGATGCTGCCCCAACATGACCTCCTCCACCAAAAGACTCAGCTAGAACATCGCATCTAAATCTATTGAGTAGAACTCCATTTTCATCATGATGAGCAGACCTCAAATGAATTTTATACTAAGTAGAATTGCTCTTGTCATCATGATAAACCGCACCTAAATTTTGATCACCTGACCTCATGGCCAAAATGCCTAATGCGTTACCTAAGGGATTCATAATGCTTAAATCATCGCAATAGAGTGCATAACCTACTGCATCTTTCCCAAATACTACTGTTTTACGATTCTTAACTAAATTTTCGACTTTCTTATTCCTTTAGATGGCTAATTGTTACCCTTCCTTAATTAGAAAATCGAAGTCGAATTCTAGTAATTTATAAAAGATTGCTGGATTTTACCGAACATCAAATTACAACCTTCTTCTCATTATGGCCATCTACAAAGGTTCTGTCTCAGGGTATTATAACACAAATAAGTCATTATCTGAAATGTATTTGGTAAATAATGTAAATTTGGTTCCAATATTTGGAGGAAGCAATGATGTGTATTTCGTTTAAAAGATTTACTCATGAAAGTCTTACACTAAGAGACATGCAGCTTTGTCTATGCTTACTAGCATAAATAGATTGTCAATTCCTGACACTTTATTAAGGACTTAATATTTCTCTTTTTTGAAATCTGGAATTGCATTTACACATGTTTAGTGATGATCAACAACAATTACATATTAAAACCTTTTTGTTAACAGTACTAAATTATCCCAAGTTCTTCCGAAATAGTCCACAATAATCAAAATTGAGGATTTAGAATCATCATTTAAAAATTTGATTATTTTCTAAACTTCATTATTATCTTCACTCAATCTAATGGGCATATAACAGAGGTCCTAAATAGTTGGATAGAAGAAGCCCATGTTTTGATTTTCTATTGGTTCATCTTGATAAATAACTTCTTGCTTATACTCCTAGGGTTTTTGGGTTTCTTTGGATATTTTAGGGAGTTCTGATCTGAGCAATTCAAGGTATTATTGGATAGTCCAATTATCCTTTCTGATTTTAACAAGAATGGGCAATATAAGTCCTGACAAGGAGTAAATCCCATCCAAACAAGGGTCATGATAAATGACATATAGTTTGCTTGAGGGTTCTTTCTTTTACATAATTAAATAATGAAATATTATTTGAAGGATTCCTCTTTGAAATTGATTTTGGCAAGGTATTATTTGTTAAATTATTAAATAAATGGAATCGAAACTTAATGAATTTGAAATTTTGAATAAATTAGGCGAGGGTAGCTTTGGATAGGTGTACAAAGTGAGACGCAAAGCTGATAAGCAAACTTATGTGATGAAACAAATCAACATTTCAAAAATGAATGCTAGAATGAAAAATGAAGCTTTAAACGAAGCAAGTATCTTAGCGAAATTGGATAGTTCATATATTGTGAAATATTATGAATCCTTTATAGATAAGTAATTGTTATGTATAGTAATGGAATTTTGTGAGGGGGGAGATTTGCACAAACTATTAAAAATGTAGATGGGAAGACCGTTGCCAGAAAATTAAGTATGGAGATTCCTCATCCAAATAACATTAGGATTGGCATTTCTTCATAAGAATAAAGTTTTACATAGAGACATTAAGTCTATGAATATATTTCTCTCCAAAGATCAAGTTCGAATTGGAGACCTGGGAGTGGCTAAATTATTAAACGATCAAAACAACTTTGCAAGGACTATGGTAGGAACTCCTTATTACTTATCCCCTGAAATGTGTGAGGAGAAACCCTACAACGAGAAAAGCGATATTTGGGCCTTAGGTTGTGTTATATATGAACTCTGCACTTTTAAACATCCATTCGAAGCTAATAGCCAAGGAGCCCTAGTACTCAAAATAATCAGAGGGAGGTATGAACCAATTGGATAAATGTATTCCTCAGCTTTAGGATAATTGATTGATTAATGTTTGCAAAAGGATTATCGACAAAGGCCTGATGCATTCTAATTATTACAATAAGCAAGTAATTATAAATGTGACATTAGACAGGTCTGATTTAATAGGCATAGAACTTGAGGATGCAATTAAATTTAAATTAACCCCATCCTAATTCAAAACAGACCTCACAAATTTAACCCATTCAAACACCAGTTATCAGCAAACCTAAAGAAACTCAGCAGTCCTTTGCCACCCCAGTTCCTGTTTCTGTCAAAAGTACTCCATAAGGAAAACCATTGAAAGCTAGAGTTTCTACATCTTCCCAAAATTTGCAATTAGAAGTAAAAGGAAAGCAGGAACCTGTTAGAGAAACTCCAGTTGTTTAAAAGAAAATTGTGTAAGTTCCACCTACATCTGCTCCGAATCAAGCTTAAAATTAAAATTAAAAAATGGATGACTTTTATAAGGACTGGAGAGATAAGGTTTCTGAATTGCAAAAGTAAAAATAAGATGATCGGATAATTGTGTCTAGACCTGAGTTATTAAAGGCCGAATTTCAGCCAAATTAAATTCCTATAATTTCATCTTAATCAAATAATAATCAATCCAATTAGTAATAAAACATTTTCTCAAGTTAGCAGGTATAACCTACAAAAAAACCAGTGTTATAGGTAAAAGCAAAGGTTTCAAATCCTAATATAGAAGAAATTGATAAAAAGAGAATTCGAAAAGGTGCTCCGAAAGAACCTGCAAGGTAAGTTAAAGAACCTCTGAGAAAGGCTGATAAGATTGAATTAACAAAGGAAACACCTAAATAAAATAAAACTAAGAGCACAAAACAACAAACCTGCTCATAAGAAGAAGTTGATATGGTTTTGAATTTACCTGAGTTTGTTGCTAAAGATGATAGTAACTTCAAAGTGATATAGCCAGAAAGAGAAATCATTGATATAACTTCATTTGCTGATGAGATTCCCACAACTATTGTTGATTCTCAAAGTGAAATGGAATCTAATCAATATGTATAAGTACAATTTAGATCTGAACCGAAAACAGCAGCTTAGCAGGATAGTTAAAATAATGGCGAATATTAAGACGACTCAGACAAAGGAGTATACTATAATTATTTACATTTCTAGGCTTATACAGATCCTGAGGATGGAGATGGTGGAAATGATGAGGAAGGAAGGGATGACACTGCTGATTATGGAGATGAACAACCAATTTAAAATAGAGATATTCATACTATTCAAGAAGAGGCGTTTGAAGAAACAAATCAATGTAATCAGTTTATTGAATTATGCATTGATAATAAGAAGATGGATCTCAATAAGTAACTGTTGGAAGCTGAACAAAGAAAGATGGAATTAGAGTAATTCTTATAAATCAAAAGAAAAGAATGCATTCAGGATCTAGGATAAAGGTTATTTGAAGAAGTCATCAATTTCTTAAGGACAAAACTAAATGTAAATTTAGTATAATAATTCATTAGTCTTAAGAAGAACTGAATGATAAAGATCAAGAAGAAATAGACGATTTAATTTAAAATAAGTTACTTAATACAAAAAATCCTTAAATAATTTATGTAATCTACAAAATTCTACACTTCGAAATAGAAATTACAAAGAGTGTTGATAAAATCAAGGATTTGTCTGAATAATTAATTAACCTATGATAATCATTAAAAAGGATAATCATTTTATTTATCATAAATAATCATGCATATGCTAATCAAAATTAATTATTTTATTTATCCTAAGGGGACTCTTCAAAATAATTAAAATCAATAAATAAAGCAGCAGCTAACAACAATGCTTTCTATCTACTCGATGATTGCATCGGAAATAACAGTCTAAAATTAGTAGCATCAACATCGCATAAGGCATTACAAAATCCTGCAGATTCTTTCCATAATTCAGATATTTTCTAAATCATATTGATCTATACTTACTTATCCTTAAGAATCCATAATATCAAATCTAGCCCTTTAACATGTTTCACAAGGCAGATTTACCAAAAATGGCCATTAACAACAACTTCCTCTTATAGTATAGACAATTTGACCATTCTCATCCAAAATATCCACACCTTTATCACAAAACAAAAATGGATAACAAATAGTTCCTATCTTTACTCCATTCTCCAATTGGACTTCCATCTCAGGTCTAATAAAGTATATTCTCAAAACAAATTACCTCTCAAAACAAAGACAGGTACATCTGTATTCTCTACTCATCCTAAATACTGTGTTAGTATCTTATCGTTCATTATATTATTTAACTTTCAAATCAAATGCTCTACATGCTCCAGGAAGGCAATTCCTCTGCCAACAACTGCTCTCTTCCTTGCATTTAAAAATTGGAGCTTATTGCTTGAAATCTGGTTTATTTCCCATCGAGTCAGATTGATAAACGAAATAGGCATTTTTTTTTTCACAAACACCTAATGTCTCTAAATAATCAGGACGTTATTTTATAAATACACTTGGGCATCTTGATAATGCATCTAAGCCAGAATTAAAGCCAGCCTAAATGTATTTTTTATTATTACATCCATTTGCATAGGAGATACATAGTTTTGCTAAGGATAATATTGAGCTTGAGGGTAATGATATTACATTATTTCTTGGCTTAATAATAAAAATTAATAAATAATCAATTTAATTGAAATAAAAAAAATATAAATAAATATATTTTAAATTTGTAACTTTTAAAACCAATCTCAGGATCCATTAATTAAACACATTTTGTCCAAATTGATATTAAAAAAAATATAATGAAAATAGAGATTAATATCTATTATAGTTAAAGATGAGATATATTTGGTTTTTATCATAGAATTATAATGATAATATCTATGATGTTTGAAGGGTCGAAAATTAGTTTTAAAAACAAAAAGAGTATCCATAATTAAAAGCTTAATTGAAAAGATGAAAAAGCCATCAGAAATAAGTCAACAATAAAATTAAAAATAGAATGGTTTAATTGTGGAAAAAAATTCTGAAAATTCTATCCTTACTTATTAAGTTATTTTCTTTTTAACCTTCAGAGTTTTACAAACTAAATATGCTGAAGTATGTTCTCTATTAGGTATGAAATTATTTAATTTAAGTAACTCTCTTTTCTACATAAATAAATTATAAATAAGAAAATTCTTAAATGTTTTGCATAGGTTTGAAATTTTTAAGGCTTAATCAATGATGAAGTCTCTTTTTAAGTTTGCTTTCTATGTTTATAATTTTTTTGATATTTTTTTTTTAATATCTGATTAAAATTCACAAATATGAATAATTTAGAATTTTATCAACCTTAAATAGTATCAATTAAATTGTTTTAGTGAATCAAAAGCAATTCTTAAAATTATATTGATTTTTTTTATAGGCACTTTATAAAATTCGATATTTAAATCATAAAACCAGATGCATCCAGAATTTTAATAATTCTAAACCTATAATTAAACTCATTTTCTTTAAATGTTTAGAAAAAATTAAATTTTTTATTGTTTTTAATTTAGAAATCAATTTTGTATTATTCTACCAAGTGTCAAGTTCAGCATTTCTAGACTCTCACTTCGTGCCCTTTAGTATAGTTTTTAATTCGAAAATAAGTTGAAAATAAATAAACTTAAGTTGCTCTACATATGCTTAGTTCATACAAAAATATTTCACAGGCTTTAAAATTATCTTCTAAAAACAAATCCAAAAATGTAAAGTTACATATTATGTCAATTATTGTTACAAAATATTCCAAGAACAAATTTATTATAATTAATAAGTAGACCATCTTCTTCTTTAATAAAAAAAAGAGTCAATACAGGTTTGGTTTATCGACTATTCTCTATTTTAATGTATTTCAGAGTATCACTATTAAGCATACTTATCTGATTTCAATTCCTTCACTTCATACAATGATGAACTTCTGTATTATATATAACATTCTTAGTCTTAAGAAATTATTATCATATTAAATATAACATTATCTTTAACATAATTTAAGTATAATAATTATTGTCATCTGTTTCAATTTCTTCTACTTTTGTCAGAAGTGTATTAAATCTTAGTTACATAATAAATGAATATGAACTATTGACAATAATAATAGATAAATGAATACTGATACTTTTTAGTTATATATTAATATTTGGAGACTATTTGTTTTGAGTCTTTTACATATAATTTTATTGTTTACTTTAAAAGTTACGTACAAATTTATTAAAAATATATAAATATATTTATTATTAACGGATACTTTGGAAGCAGAAATGTTGAACCAAAAGACCATACAAATGATTCCGCAAAATTGCAATATGTTAGTTAAAGTCCTATCATTTATTAATAATGAGGAGGGTATTATTTTAAACTAGTATAATAGAAGAATAATCCGAATAGGAAATGGAAAAGAAACAAAAAGGTAAATATTGTCAATAATATTCAGTATTTGAAATCCTTAGAACTAGTATGCAATTACAAGAAGTTGAGGATGAAGAAAATGATTATGAAACTGATTATATTCCTGTTCCTTGTTAGGAAGCTTGTCTTTCCTAATAGAGTACTCAAAAATCTTAGCAATCTCAATATTTAAGATCACCTTTGTAAACATTTACTCAACATTTTTAAAATTAAAATAAAGGGTTCGGAGGAAGATTATTTACTCTTACTGATGAAACAGAATATACAGTTGATGATCGCAAACCTACACACACTAGAGGTCCAAGTAAAATACAAGAAATTTTGTAAGATTTATAAGCAAATGTTGCTGATGATATTATGAAAATGGCAAATGATATCATCAAATTTACTGAAAATAGTTCAAATACAAATGGAAGTGCCTAATTTATTCCCAGTGATTAAAAATAAAAACGACAGTTAAGCGAATAAAAAATTAATTAATAACCAAGAGATCCCAAAGCTGATAATCTAAAGGATGGATTCAAATTGTTTCATAAGCAAAATAGTCAAAAACAACTTTAATCCTCCAACTATGTAACTAAATAAAGTTAGAAAGCTAATAGTGAAAATGAACCTTAGAAATATTAATAGTAAATCCCTAAAGCTAACTATTAACCTAACATATAAAATTATAATTCAAACAATACTAATTATAATTCTAATTATAATACTAATTCATCTATCTAAAAAAATTAATAAAAATCATAGAGGAATTCTGAAGAATACGGTAAAAACAATACAAAACAAAATAGTAATACTAAATCATCCAAATAAATTTAAAATACGAGAACTAGTTAGCAATAAATTAATTACAATGCCTAACAAAATCAAAATTAATAATAATATTCATCAAATAAAGATGAGTATAGTAATTAATTATAGCAGTTTTCCAATCACCGAAACTCAAATAATAATAGCAATAGAGAATCTGTTTTTAGTAAAAAAAGCAAATAGCATGAAATAGATGAATTTGATGATAATTTCCATGTTGATTATGATAGTTTCCAAAATAATGCAAATTACAATCAAATTAGTTAAAATTTCTATGACATTGTTTAGAAGTAATTCAACTTCTCTTAAAATTCCGATGAAGAATACTAAGATTAATAATCAATAGAAAATTAAACGCCAAATTTAAACATTAGTAAGAAACTAGAGAAAGACAATTTAAGTATAAATAATAGCGGTACAATTAATTAATAGAGCGATAAAAAATCATATCAAGAATTTTGCGAACCTTGTTAAAAAACATAAGAAAGTGAGAAAAAGCAAAGCAATTCTGTTTAGAAAAAGAAAGTGAAAAGAAGAAAAAGATCTAGAATTCCAAAAAATATCAAATATTTTTTAGATATCATAGAGGAATAATCAAATGATTATTACACTCCAGATAAATCATTATTGGAATCGAGTGAATGTCTTGATACAATATAATCAGTACCTAATTTTGGGGAGAGTGAACATCAAAATATGGACTATAGATCTGATCGAAAACACTTTACAATTAGTGAAGGTAATAAAATATAAATGAAAACTCCAAACACCTAACACATTAGGGAAGAATTATTATCCTCAGATTCCTATGATCGTCCAAATAGCACTTTAATAAATCAGACTTTAGTGAATTTTGAGGATATCGATTAAATCTTGAACTAAGTGCAAGGATATAAGACTTTCCGATAGAAGAATTAAGAAGAAGAAGCAATACTGGCCTCTTGGAATAGAGTGTGCAATGAAATCATAAGAAAAAATTTATTGCCTGTTACTTTGAATCTAGAGAGAGTATATTATTTTATATAATATTTAGATACAAAATTAATTGGAAATTTAACAATAAAATCAGTATTGTTAGAAAAGATATCAACTATTTAATGTTTTAAATAGAAATTATTTGAATCATACTTAAAAAACTGAATAGAATTCTTTCGCAGAGAATTCTGGTTTCATTGGAAGTGATTAATAACAGTTTGATAAGATAGAAGCTGAAATTCAAGTGGATGATAATGATGACACAGCAGTTGGATTACTAAACAAATAATTCAGTCCCAATTTTAGTGATATCTGCAAAAGGATCTAATTCTCTTCTGCTCCTGAGGAACCCAAAATACTGTAAGGAAAGGGTCTGAATAACAAAGATTTGCCAAATGCCTAATTGTACAATAAAAATTATGAATAACAATTGAATTATTAATTTTGAGTAATTAACTTAAATAAAAATTTGATTTCTAGAGTTGGATGCTTATGGGATAGAATGAAATGTTTTGCATATCCTAATAAGCTCAAAAAAAACAATGATAGAGCAGAACATAAATTTTCTATATTTGTAATGATGTCCTTTATGATATTTATAATAATATTTCATATTTTCTCAACCAATCAATCGAAAGTAGTTTCTCCATTAGCTGACTAATTGCATTAGATAAGATAATTACTTTCAATCTTAATGCATTGAAATAATATCTAGCTACTGCATAGACTCCAATCAATGTGTTCAATCCAACGTACTTCATTCTTACTCCAAATGAATGGCTGTAATTGTGGTTGTTTTGGATCAAGAAATATGCTTAAGTGTAGACCTTCTTTCTCATTGAATATAAATTAATTAAATTATTAAAAATATTTAGAAGATAAAAATATTATGATATCACATTTTATACTAAATTAAAGTGATTCATTATTATCCATTAATGATTGGATTGTCTATATTGTTTTCATTTATTTATTCCTAATCATTCTATTAGTCATTCATCTAAAACTTAAAGGAAATGAAAGGTTTTTTCGGAGTCTAGGTTAAATGCTTATAAGAAACGTCAGCATCTTTCGTTTCTTGAATCATCAATTCAATTAACTTTTGGTTGATTTTCAACGAGCAATTGCTCTATTATTCAACTGGGATTTCATCCTTAACTAAAACATAAGCCTATTATAATTAAAGATAGTACATTCAAAAGCATACACGAAATTTTATCTTATTCTTTGATGTCTAAATTATTTTATCTCTTTAAATTGCTGATTTTGGAATCATGTATCAACAAGCGAGAAGGAACTCTACTATTGCTATTTAAAGATATCTGCGGTTTTGGTGTAAAATTAAATAAGATCATCTGCTATTCATTGAACAGTAATTTCTTAATTTTGCTTATTTCTTGAATTCTATATAAGATACTATGTAGATCTAAATCCTAATTCATTCTATCGATCGCTTTCTCTAGAAGTATGGCATTCCTATCTTTGAACATGAAGCCACATGTAAGTTTGTTTAGAAACAATTTAAATGAAAATCTGATAGGATTAGATTCATCTAAGATCTTATCGATAGCATTTTTGATATTAGTTGTACTTGGACACAAGGATACGTCATTCCTAACATCTAAGATAACATCTGGGTCTGGAGAATTCAATTAATCTTCAATATATTTAGACCTTGCAGTATCTTATGGTATACTCCCTGTGATTTAGGGAGGAGAGAGTTGTTCAGCTCTTTTTTGCTTGATTTCTTTAAAATCATACAGTTTATTAGACAGTTCAATTAACACTAACTAAGATGAATATAATACTTAATTATCGATTGCAAAACACTATAACGATACCAAATAACAATCTCATTATCTATACTACTCCTCCAAGATATGATAACAATTCTCCTAATTTTAGAAACTTCCTATAGACTATTTGAGTGAATTAGCTTCTTCTCATATATACAATAGCGTATTGATCATCTGTATCTCTTCCTAATTCTGTTAAGTCACGAAAATCTTCGTTCTTCCTAACAATTGCTGTTGTTTCTGCATAGTCTCTTGATGATATATATAATTGTTACTTGTAGGGTAAAAGACTATTATCATTGATAATTTTAGATTCTCTGAAATAAATATTAGCTTATCTAGAAAGTTTTTTTGGAACAAAAGTAAAGTACATGTCGCTATCTAAAAATTGTGTTAAGTAGTTTTAAGGTTTGTTCAGATTGATTATTGTATTAATCTAGTAAAGTTAGAGTTTAAATTATCCTTCTTTATTCAGGTATTACTGTTTGACTTATTCGTTAGCACAGATGGGATTCCAGGCTTAATTTTGTGAATTTGAATTTTCGCATTCTTTTACAACAAGTTTGATAAATGAAAATTAATCGCTCGAATATGTTCCTTTGAGCAGGATCTTAAAATCATCTCTAAAGTAGAAATTTTGATTATTACTTAGGGCATAACCAATTTTTTAATCCAAGAGTATTGAATTATTCCGTGAAATTAATTCCTTGTTTTGAGAACACTTTATCAAATTAATCAAATCTACATTCTTAAAGTTAAATATAAGTTATCGTCTTCTTTAATTCTCCATTTGCATCTCTGTCATATTATCTTGAATAACTAAACCAGTTACCTTTACTCTATTGAAATATTAAAGAAAGGATTCTAAGAATAATTAGTCTACTCTATGGAGACAGCTAACATATAATTGTCTGAATTAAGTTCAAGCAATTACGGATCATTTGAAATTAAGGTTTCATCATCTGTAAATACTTGAGACTTAGCAAAAAAGTCCAAAATGTTAGAAAAGAAGAATAAAATTACTACAACAATAATAAACAAAGATGAAATTCCTCCAAATTCTGTTGTGTACTAAGCTTCCTGATTCATATTTAATGTAATGTTTTATCCAAAAATATCAATTTTATGTAAACCTAAACCTTAATGTTTTCTTACTTCTTCTGAATATATGCAACATAATAAATTAAATTATAGAAATACAAAAACTACCAATCATAATTTTATATTTAATTCTAATTTGTTTTTTTATTAATATACTAGATAAGCAGTAAGTTTTGAAGTCATTCATTCCATCATTAGGTAAAAAATTAAATATATAAATATTAGAATAAAATATAAACTTTTTATTATCAATAAGAATGATTAAACTAATAATTTTTGCCTTCTTGATGCATTAATGTTTGACTGTTGATATAGACCCAAATACATTCAGTAATTATCTAGATGTGAGAATGAATCATCTTCATGTGGAGTGGTTGTTAGACCTCGACAAAAAAATCGTTAATGGCACAGCTCAAATTTCATTCAAATTTCTAAAACACACCAATTATGTATGATATTACTTTAGAATCTAGATTGATTTGGATGTATATCAACTGAGCATCTTAAATGTGTACCTACTCAATGGAAACACACTTAAACATGAAATCCAAGTCGTCAAAGAATAATCTTTAATTCAAGGCGATAGATTGCATATACAGTTGGATAGAGATTACAACCCTTTGGAAAACATAATATTAAAAATCAAATATGCATATGATGAAAGAGCCAGAGCAGTTGGTTTCCTTACTAAAGAATAAACTTACAGCAAGAAAGTTCCTTACATGTTTACTCAATGCGAAAGCAACAATTGCCGTTCAATCATACCTCTACAGGATACTCCCAGTGTGAAATTTACTTTCACTGCAACGGTGATAAGCACCAACCCTTTAATCAAGGCATTTATGACAGGAGAATAAATTGCATCATTGCCTTTAATCGGACAATACGGATTAGAATCCACATTTTATACATATTCATTTTAATTGAATATTCCAATCCCAGCATACTTGATAGGTATAGTGGCAGGAGAGATCGAATAGAAGCATATTGGAGCTAATTGCTATGTGATTTCTGAACCTTTTTATTTGGACGATTATGCTAAAGAATTAGAAGAATTACCATTCTTTATTGAAAAAATGACAGATTACATAGGTCCTTACATTTGGGGAGATTACAAAATAGTCATATTGCCTTCATCATTTCCATTTGGCGGAATGGAACATCCCTTATTAACCTTTGCTAGTCCAGTCATCATAGTTGGAGATAAAAGTGGAGTTGGCACTGCTGTTCATGAAATAGCTCATTCTTGGATGGGCAATACAGTCACAGGAAACAATTGGTCTAATATGTGGATCATGGAAGGATTTTGTGTCTTTTTAGAAAGGAAAACATACAAATATGTGAGACCCTAAGATTATGACATCATTGAAGCCATCAACGGAAACTTCAATTTAATATCAGCTATTCAAGGTTTCACTGATCCTGATGAAAAATCATATTAAACATTGCATCCCATCACCAGTTGGAAGAACCCTGATGATTCCACTTCCTCAGTCCCTTATGAAAGAGGATATCAACTATTGTATTATTTAGAATAATTGATTGGAGAAGAAAACTTCAAATTTATGTTAAGGCAATATTTGGATCACTTTAAGTTTTAGAGCATTGATGAAGATGACTTCTATAAATTCTTATTAGATTGGGTTAGGACAAATGTGAAAGTCAATACTTAAAAAATAATAGATGAAATTGTCGCTGTCTACAAACCTTGGGTTTATCAATAAGGTATTTTCTTATTTAAGACTAAGGATTGCCTCCTAAAACTATTGAATTCAAAACTCCAAAGTATGACGAAGCTGTAGCCTTGGCCAATAAGTGGATTACTCAAGGTAAACCAAACAATGCAGATGACTACATCGATTATATGCCCAACTAAAAAATGATCTTCATGCAACAAATCTTAGATAACTATGCTAAATTGACTCATCAAAGATTAAAAGAATTAGATGACTATTATAAGTTATCAGGAACCAAATCTGGTCCTAAAATAGCCTTTAAGTGGTATAAGACTGTCATTCTTTGCAAATATGATCCTGGGCTTGATGCAGTCCATGCATTTTTATAAAGTTTAGGAGTGAGATCCTATGTTGTTGGTACATATGAAGTACTGATCCCAAATTATCCGTAAATAATAAATTTATCATAGAAACTAAGCTGAAGCCTGGTTTGCTTAAGATAAATGGTTATATCATCCACTGGTTGCCAATAGAGTTGAGGATATGCTGAAAAAAAAAATTAAAAGCGCTCATATAACATAATGATATATATATATATCAATACAATATATATATATCCTATTTAAATTTATTTTATTGCAATTACTCAAATATAATTGAGGAAATATCATAGATATCTTTTTTTAATTCATATTAAAGATAACAACTAAATATTTTTTGAAATAAAATTCTTGAAATCATCTTTGAAATGGATAGTTAGAACTTTATTCATGATGGAAAATGAAATCTCAATTGAATAGTCGTTTCATTTACAAATATTGAGAGGGATTTACCCTCTCATTTATTAATATGCTATTTAATTAGTATTTTTAAACAAAGAATTCAATTTAATGTATATATATAAATTCAACTCTGTTGTCTCTGAGGATGGCAAAAGAAGCATTAAACATTCTCATTTATACCATCATCAAAATCTACCCCTGGAAATTGTCGTTTTTTCTCTAACATATCGGTTTTCATCAACTCAAAAAATTGATCAAATGTTAATGTTTCTCTATCCCCAATCTTATTATTTAACTATGGTGCATCATATGAGTCTCTGTAAAGTTTTCGAAGTGTTCCTGTCTGTATTAAGCCATCCTAACATTTTGAATTTTTGATAATACTTTTGGATCCAAAGAATCAAAAACGTTTTTAATTCCTTCGACTTCTTTTATGGATAAACCTGAATTCTGTTAATAGTGTTGAGCATTGAATTCATTTTAAGATGTGCTGTTACCCATTCAAATTATTAATATTAAAAATAATATAATACTTGTTATTACATTTTAAATGTTTGAAACATAAGAATCTCTATATTATGATAATAGTGTATATAATTAAAATAAACCAACCAAAACTTTATTTTTAATCATCTAGAAATTTCGTTATTTGTTCTCTTTAATTATCGAATTTTTATAAGACTTTTTTTTAATTTTATCACTTATATTTTTAATGTTGTGTATTTTAATTTTATAATCTTATTTCATTAGTAAAATTAAGATCAAATGGATGTAAAGGGGGAGTTTTTATTATAATCTCTGCAAATCATAAATACTTCTATTAACTTAACTTAAATAATATTATATTCATATTTTGATAACATTTATAAATATAATTCTTTTGCACGCTATTCTTTATATTCAATAGGATGTTGAATTAAAAAATATTTCTTAATTTAAATCATAATCTACTGAGTTGGAATCAACGATATATGACCCAGATTAACAATTATCATACATAATATTTCTTATGGTTCCTATCATTTAACAAAGAAGAGCTCTATTTTATTATATCGAAATCAAGAATGCACACTTTAATTATTCTAAGAACTTTGCAGTTATTTAAGATGATTAGATCGATATTTTATTTTGTTTAATCAACATAATGAAGCAATTCTAAACCAATTATGGAACTTCAGATAATGATACAGTTAATGATTTAGAAATCAAAAAATCTCCAATCTCCTCATCTGTGACATTATTTTCAAATTATTCTAAAATCATATGCAGTTCTTCATAAAATTTCTCATTAAGTAAAAATTTAATATGCTTTAACATAGTAGTCCATTATTCATTTTTAAGAGTTAGTGTTTTATACTTATTTTTGAAGTGATTATTATTCCTAAAGAAATACACAACATTCCTTTTCGAGCAAACCCACTCAAACAAAAATTTAGCTGCAATCTCTATTTTATCATACAGTTCCTTTTCGTCTATTGAGACGTTAGCTTTATCTGCTTTTTCGATAGAATTTACTTTCTTCTTAATTGAGTCCTTTTTTAAAACTGCTTAGTGTAGGCAAACATGCCTTCCATAATTGGCTAAAAAGGTAATTAATTGAACCTCTTTTTACGAAACAGACCAAATATCTGGAGGTCTTATATTAATTTTTAACAGCCCAATCGGTTTGCCTACATCCTTCTTGATTTTTTTTTGAATTATAGTTTTTTCTATTTAATCGACCTTCTGCTTATTCTTCATAGTTGCTTTAAAAAATTATACTTTGATTGGGGGGGTATTACTACTATATTTATTTTCTAATTCTATTATTTATTTTCTATTATTTATTATCTATTAATTTTAATATAAAAAAAAAATGAAAGTTCATATATTCATATTTATCTCTTTTAAATTGCAAATTTTTTTCAATCCTCTGGTTTGATGACTAAATTTTGTGTCTTAAATACTAATTATAATTTTTATTTTATTTTTTTATGGAAGATTTTAATGATGATGAGATCCGTATATATGTAGGGAAATTTTAGGATGAAAATTAGACTTCAATTCTAGACTAAACTATGAATCAAAAAGAATCACAAGGATAAAACCGTAATTCTATATTGAAATATTTTAGAGTTGATTATATTATAATAAGCAATCAGAACGAAGGAATAATTAAATAAGCAAATAATTCCAATATTAAGTAAGCACATTCAAAATCATTATAGAATATCTGTATAATAAAAATTTGCGATATAGAGATTTAGAAAAATAAAATCAACAGCTAATATCACAATAAGAATAATTTAAGTTGGATATCTCACAATAATAAGTAAAATAGATATATCTAGATTAGGATTAAATTAAATAGAGAAATTAGAAAAAATATGATCTAATGGATTAAATGCAATAGTTAAAAAGTTAGATTTAAGTCGAGTAAGTAATGTCTGAGCAAACAGAGAAAACAAACACTCAAGAGGTAATAGAGAAACAATAAAAAATATTTTAAAAATAAGATAGCTTATAATCATAAAATTCAATTGTAAATGTGTAGATTGTTATGGAATAAGAATAAAAAATAGTAGATTTAGAAAAATTAAAAATATAGCTTGAACAGAAAATAACAGAACTGGAATATGAAATCAATGGAATGAAGTCTGTAGATAAAAAAATCTCATTATAAATTTCTAAACTTGAAAAGGCAATTGAATTTGAAAAATAATGTATAAATATCATCTATACATTGTAAAGAAAATGCAATTCTGTAAGAGGAATTGAGAGCTGCGAAAGAAAATAATGGAGTTGAAAGCGGAGTTAATTAAATGAATGTAGATGAATTGAGTTTAAGAGAAAAAAACCTTTAATTGACAAGAGGTAATTTCAATCAAATATATAGATTAAATTAGATTTGCAAGTCGCTAAGCAATAACTAGATATTACAAAAAACACATTTGAAAAATAAATAACTCAATAAAGAATTTAAATTGAAAATTATGCAAAAACAAACTTAATGAAGGAAGATTAAGTTCTTTAGCTATAAAAAAAGTTGTAATCGACTCTTGAAGAAAAGGACAACTATAGAAAACAATTAGAAAAAATGGCTGATAGTAAGAATTTAGATGGAGAGTCCACATTAAAGGAGTGTAAAATAAAATTAAGGAAATATGAAAGCCTGTTATAATAGGCTAATGCAGAAATAGAAATAAAAGATATATAAATTCAAGAATAGCATTCTAATTAGCTAATAGATATCATCAATATCATTGAAAGTTATAATAAAGAGAATCTTTAAATTAATTAATAATTAGAATAATAAATTTAATTAGTTGAACAATTAAGAAATTAGAAAGGAAATTAAAATGAGATTTCTGATTAAAATAAATGTAAAGAATTAGAAGAGTAAATTAATAAATAGAAAATGACAATATAGAGATAAAAAAAATAAATTGAGTAGCTCGAAAAGTAGAAGTAAGAATATTTAGTAATTTAGTAATTCAAAAGTTGAATCTGAATAACAGACACAAAAAGAGAAGAAGACTCAAAGTTAGGAGGATGAAAATGTTATTGATAACCTGAAGAACTTGCTTCAATAGTTATACATAAAGATAAAATATCAGGAATAAATTTCATAATAAGATGACATTCAAATAAAAGAATAACAATAATAAATTTTGGAGAGAGATGAATGGAGGAAACACTTTGAAGAATCAAATAGAATGATATAAAACACATCTTCTAAGATACTTTTGTATAAATAAGAAGTTGCTCAATTAAATATGTAATTAGATAAATTAAAACTAGAAGATAATTAAAATAAATAAACATTATCTTAATATTAAGCTTAAATATCAAATGAATAATAAAGTGTGGCTAAATTAAAAGAAGAAAAATAGTAATTATAAATACAAAATGATGATCTAAAAATACAATTACAAATTAAAAATAATAATAATAATAATAATAAATAAGAATTATAATAATAACTATTAGTTTAATAACTTTAATAAAAATTTGAAATAGAAAGAAATGACTTTAATAAATAGAAAAAATAATTATAATAAGAATTGGATAACTTAAAATAATAATATTAATTATTAGCATAAAATCATAAGGAGTATTAGGATTAATAGATGAAATTAAACGATAAATAAAAGTTCGAAATTAAGAACTTGATAAATCTTAATGATTAGTTAAACATGCAAAAATAAGATTAAGACAAAGACATATCTTAATTGAAATAAAATATAAATTAGCTTAAAACTGAACTTGAAAAACTGTAAAAAGAAAATCAATCTTTGAAATAAGGAAAAGTAGACAATGAAGCGAAGAAACTAGAATATATGAATCGCCTTAAATCTCTGCAGAATTAAAATGAATAAGCTGAAAATGAATCATAATAATAATAAATGAGTTAAGCTTAAAAGGTTGCTTAATTTGAATAAAAAGACTCATAAATTGCATCACTTTAAGAAAAGATAGAATAGTAAAATCGTAGAATTCGTTAATTAGAAATTGATGAAAAGAATTATCAATAACAAATAAGAGAACTTAAAGAATAAATTTAAAATCTTGGGCAATCCACTTCAGATAGTCAAATTTCTGAAAAGTAAACAGTTGAGATTAAGAACTTGCATCAAGAAATAAAAAAGTATTAAGAAAAGGAGAACCAAAACCGAATTTAAAAAGAAAGATTAGAAAAGAAATATTTAGAACAAGTGACTGAATTATCAAATAATTAAGATGAAATGTATTTATAAATAAAGGAGTTGAGATCAAAAGCTTAAATGAGCGATGATAACTTCAAAAGGAATAAGGACCTTGAAATTATACTTAAAGTTAAATAGGATTAATTAATGAGCTTATCTTAAAAAATACAGGAATAAACTGCGTATATAGAGAAGCTTGAGCGGAAAATTTAAGAACTAAAATGAAGAAGTGAGTTTATCTTAACAATATGATATTTATCGAAATCAAGCATTCATATAATATTTCTTGTTCTTTTAATTTTCTGTTTACATTTGTACAACAATATTGATTGCTATTACCTGCTTAATTTATAGGTAGTGCATTTTATTACATTCTGATATATCAATTATTCAATATATTAAAAACCAAATATTTATTTTATTGTAAAATATGAATACAAAGTCATTTGAGGTTTTGATCCACTCATAGTTTGCTTTCCATAAATGCAGATCAGAAGTACATTAATATGAAGATTGCAGACAAACTACATAACCTATTCCAAAAGATCCAAGGTTGTGTAAGGAAAAAGCCAGAGAGTTGGTGGGATGTTACAAAGAGGCGTAAAAATTAGTAAAATAAAATTAGCGAAAGGATGCATCCTCTATGCTTGGCACCATTTAATGATGTAAGGGAATGTGTTTTTAAGGCAGATGGCAATATCTTTAATTGTAAAAAAGAGGCACAGTAATTTGTTGATTGTTAAATGGATTAAGAAAAATATTAAGATTTCTTATCTGTAATTAAAATAATCAATCAAACTAGCTTTCAACTGATAAATAGAAAGAAGCCTTATAATTTGATTTCTTTAACTACAGAGGACATTTTGACAAATATAGTTGAAGATGCATTGATTATTAAATAAAATACATAATACCTAATATAATTAAAACATAACTATTACAAAGCAGAAAGAACTTAGGTAATATTCTAGTCTTTAATTATACTATCAAATCTTTTATAGAATGATATTTTAATAATTTAGAACTGAATTAAAACTTTTAAGGTTTATAATTGTTAATTTAAGAGAATTAAAAGATAATTTATATAAACCATTGAGCTTGAATTCTTATTACTATTTTTAATGGAATATTTACTTTATAATGAAATACATTTGTGATTTAAAGAATTTTAGGTAATTTATGAATTACTATGTACTTAATAAACTTTACTCTGAATTGAAATATATATTAAAATTGAATCAGTACAACAATTTATTTATATATCTCATTTATTTGCTTGTTTCCAAATTCAAAATCTATCGTAGTAATTTAATTCAATATCTTAATGAGCTATTTATTATTTGTTAATCTACTTTGATGTTTTTCGGTTATGAGAAATGAGTGAATGTGTCAAAAAGCCAAGTAACTAGAAAGTTTGGCTTAATATTTTGTTGAGTTTTTTATATATATTATTTGGAATTTAATATTCTAATAAATTTATATTATATTATTACTGTTATGAAAAGTTTAAATTACCGATTTCCTCATTCAAGGCAAGATTCTGGATAAATGAATATAGCGAGATCATAAATACCTTAAGGATAATAGGTGATTAATGTGTTGAATAAGTAATGAAGTATGTAAATCAAAAGCCGCTCAAATGAATAGAATTGTGATAGATCACCTGCTCCTATGGTACATGGTTTACAAAAATTCGCAGTACCATCTAGCTAATAATCATCAGCAAATCATTCGAAGAAGTCTTCGATTTCAAAATAATAGTAACCAAAATAAATTGGTTTTCTTAACTACTTGATTCTGAAGGATAAATCCTAAATAATACAGGATGAAGAGAAAGAAAGTTAAGCTCTATTGTTTATATTTAGATATTAATGAGCCTGTAGTATAAAAGAACATGTTCAATTTTTAATTCGTAATTGGGATTGGTGGATTTGGCAAGGTTTGGAAGGTGGAATATAAAAAGACTGGTTAGATATATGCGATGAAAGAAATGTCCAAAGCTTTGTATGTTATGTGTCTATATTGTAGGATTATAGCCAAAAAAAGTGTTAATTCAGTTATGAATGAAAGAAACATTCTAAGTAATCTCAAGCATCCGTAATTATTTAATCAAATATAGATTTTTAGTTAACATCTATTATGCATTTTAAGACCGGGAAAACCTTTTCTTGGTGTTGGATTACATGCAGGGAGGAGACCTAAGATATCATATTGGAAAGATGAGAAGATTCTCGGAGGATCAAACAAGTAAGAATCCATTTGAATATTCAGGATTTTTTATGGCTTGCATATTTTTAGGATTAGAATACATGCATTCTAAGAATAGTCTTCATAGAGATATCAAACCTGAAAATTTGGTGCTTGATAAAAATGGTAATACATCAAAATACAATTTAGGTTATATTAGAATAACTGATCTTGGGATAGCCAGAATTTTAAGGCCTGATAATTCTTAAGACACTTCAGGAACTCCAGGATACATGGGTAAATTCTTAGTTGAATTTGTTAGCTCCTGAAGTCATGTGTAGATAGAACCATTCTTTTGCTGTAGATTACTTTGCTTTGGGAGTGATTGGATATGAGTTTATGTTAGGAAGAGTAATTATTGTTTCATTAATAAACTTAGAGACCTTACACTGGTAGATCAAGAAAGGAAATTCGAGATTAGATTCTGGCCAAATAGGTGCAAATAAAAAGATCTGAGATTCCCGATAATTGGTCATTAGAATCTGCAGATTTTATAAATAGAGTATAATTCATTATACATTATATAGCTAATACAACGAAAGCCTGCAAATCGATTAGGATTTAATGGTCCTCATGAACTGAGACAACACTCTTGGTTTAAGAATTTTCCATGGTAGAAATTAATGAATAAGGAATTGAAATCTCCTTATATCCCAAATGTATTATGCCTAAATAATTTAGTAAAATGAGGATAATTTTGATGCTAGATAAATTTCGATTGAAGATGATGAAAACAATGAGCTTATTCAATAGCATTCAATAATGCTAAGGAGAAATTCGATATAATGTATATCTTTGAATCTAAAATAGCTTAATTTTCTGGATATGAAATGGATAATTTTAGTGATAAACAGAACACATAGTTTAATAATTTTTGATAATCATTACATTATAAATCTTATTGTAAAAAATTCAATCGAAATCATCGTGAGGGAGTAATTAATAATATAAAATTATAAATTTTATTTATATAATGTCATTAAGTTTAAGTGATTTGATCAATCAGTCATTAGACAAAATCAAAAAGGGGATCACAAAAAAATAGTTTGAATTGGAATAGCTCATAGATGAAACTCTATGTAAATATAATTACAATTTAAAAAGAGATCAAGGATTACTATAATGCAACTCACTTGCTCAAGGTGTATTAATAGTGTATTGAATCAAAATAGGTTAAATTGATAGAGTTGGCATTATTTGATATCAAAGTAAATCCCTACAGTATTTTAGAATATTGTAGATTAGGGTTTTCTGGCTGGAGAGTAAATAATAGGAGAAAAGAGAACAATTGAAATAGTCTTGGACTTGGTGATGTAAACTCAATTGGAGAAGGAAGAAACAATTTAAATCCTCATGATAAAAGCAATTTAAGCTATAATGACTAATAAGAAGCATCACATTTATGGTGAGTCTGTGACCAGAGTCTTTTAACTTTTAATCAATTTGCATTCAGGTAAATGATGCTAGCAAAGAGGCTTTCCAAAAGATGGTTTGTACTTATTTTGCAAGACTTGAAGATAATGGCATACTTGCAGAAGATGAATACTAATTAGCTATTTAACAACAAGGTAATTCTGGATAATTAGTTTTTGGAAAATCCAAAGTTTTAGTTAATGCTGAACAGTATATGAAATCATTAATGACCTCTATAGTTGATGAAGTTTAAATTTATTGTGAAAGAAGCTAAATTTATGAGTAACAATTAGAAGATTTAAATAAATCAAAGGTAATTGATACTACTTTAGACGAACCTAGTTTAAGAAATGTAACGATTGATAATAATTAAATATAAGTTAACATTGTGAATGAATTGAAAATCAAAAATGGTAAGTTTGGTTGGTGCACTGTTTGTAGAAGACAAGCATCGTAATATTGTAAAGATACGAAGGTACCAGTCTGTAGTAAGGAATGCAAAAATATTCATTTAAATCAGATGTTGAACTTCTCTTAATCTCATTAGCATTCTACTTTTAGTGAATAGTACGAAAAGGATGCTTATGAAATTTTAGAAATGCTTTGTGAATTGAGTCAGAGAGATCCTTAGAATCCATAATTAGCCTAAGTGATCATAAAGTGTAAGGTTCTCTCTTTGGAATTAATATATGAGGCTTTGACTCAAAGTGACACTATATTGTAAAATAAACCTAAATTAATATCAGTATTGAAAGAATAATTGTTGGAATCATTGCTTAAGAATTCTCTTTCAGCTGAGAAACAATTATTAATATTGACATTAAATATTTTCATCTAATTGATTTGGAGAGTAAGAAGTCGTCTCAAAAAGGAATTAGAAGCTTTGATTGAAAATGTGTATTTTAAATTTCTGGAGAGCAGCAACAGTTCTTTTGATCATAAACAATATACTTTAAAGGTTTTGAATAAAATTCTTACTCGTCCAAAAGTTCTAATTGAAATATTTGTAAATTATGATTGTTCAGTTGGATAGAATAACTTACTTAAGAAACTCCTGGATATGCAGTGTCGAATTATTTAAGGAAGATACAACAAGTAAGAATTCTAGACTTCGATATCTTAGAACCAAGAGATATATCTAAAATCTTTATGCTTGGATAATTATTGCGGATATGTTAGAAGTTTAAAGGAATATTGTGAATAATATGAAGATGCCCAGACTGTAGTTTAAGTCTAATCGTTTGATGAATAGGAGGAGGCCATTGTATAGTAACAATAATTGTCATAGGATCCACTTGAGAAATAGAAACAGATGAAATTAGAAATGAATAAGGCAGTTGAGAAATTTAATTTTAAACCTGAGCATTGTATAAAGCATTTAATTGCTGTTTAATATATGGAGAACAGAGATCCCAAGTTATTTGCTTAATTTCTATGGGAAAATAGGGATTTAAATAAAGATAAATTAGGAGAATTGTTTGGTAGTTCCAAAGAGTTTGATTAGAAAGTATTTTCATTGTATGTTGATTTCATGAAATTTAAAGGATTGTAAGTAGATGAGGGATTGAAATATATGTTAGAATTCTTTACCTTGCCAGGAGAGTCTTAACAAGTAGATAGGATAATGGAAAAATTTGCATCAAAGTACTGCATCGACAACCCTGGAATTTATTAGTCAGCCGCATATACAATATCATATTTGCTGATTATGTTACAAACTGATTTGCACAATGAGAAAAACTTAGATAAGATGACTCTAGCTCAATTCACCAATTTGGCTGGAGGGATCAATGATGGAGAAAATCTTCCTTAAGAATTGTTGTAAGGACTCTATTCAAGGATTTAAAAGACACCTTTGGTTTTGCATGCAAAAGAATGGGCTAGAAGAGCATTGGAATAAGCAAATTAGGTTGATTAAAGAAGGAGACATGCAATGCTGGCTAAAGAGGCTGAAGATTCATTAAAAAAGTGGTTTAAGGAACGTCCAAATTCAGATGCATTCTATTATGTCAATTCAATAGAACATATGAAGTCATTATTACAATAAACTTGGAGTGTGATATTTGCATCAATAAGTGTATTTCTAGAATAGAGTGAAGACTAATAATAGATCCTCTTATGTTTTGAAACAATTCAAGCATTTATTTAATTGATGGGCAGATTCGATTTAGATGAGGAGAAGGATACATTTATTAGATTTCTATATAGATATTGTACAAATATTCCAAGCACTTATAAATAAATATTGGGAGTACAGACTTTGATTAAGGTTATTCTTTAATCTGGATAATATTTGCGTAAAAGTTGGAAGGTAGCTTTGCAATTAATATCAAGATTGGAATAATTACATCAGGTAGTTAAGAAAATCAAGGTAGACTCACCCTACAAAGAGAATTATAGTTAAGAGGATATCATTAGTATTGAGAGATTGTTTTAATAAATACAATATGATCAGATAGATAAAATATTTAACAGTTCGATCAATCTAGATTCTAACTCTATTTTAGAGTTTATTCGAGCCTTATGTGAGTTGTCTGAAGAGGAGATTAAATAAAATAGGCTATTCTTATTGAGTAGAGTGATTGAAATTGCTGACTTTAATATGAATAGAATTAAAATTGTTTGGTCGAGAATGTGGGAAATAATGAGGGAACACTTTCTTGAAGTTGGATGTCTCTAGAATGTTTTTGTTGCAGTCTATGCTATCGATTTATTAAAATAATTAAGTTGCAAATTCTTGTAATAACCTGAATTGACAAATTATCATTTTCAGAAGGAATTCTTATTGCCATTTGAGTAAATATTTAATCACACTCAAACTTAATAGTAAAATAAGATATAATTGAGGGAGTATGTATTATCTTGCATGTGTATGATTACAAACATCTGTTTCAACTCAATTAAAAGTGGATGGAAGATTATTATGAGTATAGTCAATCAAGCTCTGCAGGATGATTAATAGTAAATGGTTAGATTGTGTGTTTAGATAACCGACAAAATAATGGAAGATGTGAGTAATTAATAGGTCTACTCTGAAATTTATATGGAGCTTATTTAAGCACTAATTAAATTGACCAAGAATAAGGATGTTAACATAGTTTCAAATTCAATAAAATAATTGAAAATTTTGGTTGATCACATAGCTTAGATAAAATAAGATGACACAAAATATTTAGATTAGTTATGGATTCCTGTTTTATCAGCTCTATCTGTTTTATATAGTGATGAAAGAGCAGTTGTGCAACAATAAAGCGTCAACACCTTATTTGAATTATTAAAAGTCCATGGAGAATAATAGTCTAATGAATTTTGGAAGATGATTTTGAGAGGAGTGATTAGACCATTATTTGATGAGATCTAGTTTTCTAAATTGCAATTTGCAAAGTAGTCACAAAGTAAGTAATAGGTAATCCAAAATTTTAAGATGAGCTTTTGTCTATTCACAGATCTAGTGGTTCATTACATTTAACCAATGCAACCTTGCTTAAATGATTTAATTCATATATATATTTAGTTGGTGTTGTAAGCTTAGGATGTAATACTTTTAATTTATTTTTAAGTTTCTTTCAACATTATGTCTAGACTCACTTAAAACTATAGTTAAACAAGTTGGAAACTCATTTACAGAAGAAAACTGGACAGTTTTGATAGAATAAATATAGCATCTTTTGTAATAATGCTCTCCTAATGAATTACTTGAGGCATATGATTTGGATGAAGATTTTCAGAAGCCTTTGGATGAACTTTTGAAGGAGGAAATACAACCTAAAAAGTTTAGTTTTAAGATTAATGCTCATGAATGCACTTCAAAACAATCTATACAGTAGAAATGTCTGGAGATTCTAGAGGTGTAAGCTATTCGATTTAATAAATAAATATCTGAATAACATAGACTATAAATTTTAGCAATTTTCAGTGAGTAATATAAAATAAGCAAGAAGTTTAATACTAATTTATACATGAGATATTTTTTAGAATAGTGGGCTATGTAATGGAATATGGTAAATACTGGGCCAGAAGATTTCGATGATATGTCTTATAATTAGAATGCCCTTAAGTAATTGAATTTTATCAATTAAGAATTTATTTCAGCAACAGTTATAATTAAGCTAACAGCCAATCCTCTAGAATTTATTGAGCAGTTAATTTAGAGATTTAGTGATGCATACAATGGATTTCAGTAACCTGTACATAAACTGGAAACTTTGAATGGTAGTTTAGAACAACGAAGATATTCTGAATCCTAAACTATAATAAGCATGTCTTAAATTTTATTTATGGAAAGTGTATTTCCAATTTTGAAGGTCAATTTATAATGGAAGATAGTTAGCTAATGGCTTATTTAATTATTAAAATTGGGATTGAATGCTTAAAATGTAGAGAATAGAGAATATAACAAAATTTTAATTAATTTATTAGAAGAAATAATAAATTGTGAGAATAATTAATTTTGAATCTATTAAATAAAATGGTATATATGTATTGAATGTTAATCTACCTTTTTAGTAAGGAAATGACCAATAAATTTGTAACCTCTTATTGCATAGAACCTTAAAATTCAGGTCTTATAACAATTATTTATATTTAATATTATAAATCAATGAATGTTTACGTAGTTGGCGTTGGAATGACGAAGTTTATAAAACCTGGTCGAGATGGAAACCCTGATTATCCAGAAATGGCAGCTTAAGCTGCTAAAAGAGCTCTAAGAGATGCCAATATTCCTTACTCCTCCGTCTAAGTTGCTTCTATAGGCTATGTGTATGGTGACTCAACATGTGGACAGAGAGCATTGTATGAAGTGGGAATGAGTGGAATTCCTGTGTACAATGTTAATAACAATTGTTCAACAGGCTCCAGTGCCTTACATATGGTGACTTAACTACTAAAGGGCGGACTTTATGATTGTGCATTGGCACTTGGATTTGAAAAGATGGAAAAAGGATCATTGAATATGAAATTCCCAGATAGAACTTAACCACTCGATAAGATAGTTCTAAAGACAATGGAAATGGGAGAACAAAGCACAGCCCCATTTGCACCCTAAATTTTTGGAAATGCAGGAATTGAACACATGAAAAAATATGGTACAAAACCAGAACACTTTGCCCTAATTGCTTATAAAAATCATCTTCATTCAACTCGAAACCCATATAGTTAATTCAGAGACAAATACACTCTCTAAGAAATCATTACATCACCTAAGATACATGGTCCCTTAACTAAACTTTAATGTTGTCCAACATCTGATGGAGCAGCTGCAGCCATTGTTTGTACCGAAAAGTTTGTGCTTGAACACAATTTACAAGACTAGGCTGTATAAATATTAGGAATTACTATGACTACAGATAGTGAAAAGACATTCACTGATTAGAGTTTGATGAATTTGGCTGGATATGAAATGAGCAAAAGAGCTGCCTAATAAATCTATCAATAAACTGGAGTTAAGCCATCTTAGGTCGGAGTTTGTGAATTGCATGATTGTTTCTCTGCAAATGAATTGATTACATATGAAGCCTTGGGTCTATGTGAGGAAGGGAAAGCTGGAGATTTTATTGATAAAGGATACAACACTTATGGTGGACGTGTAGTAGTGAATGTAAATATATAATCTAATTGTTTAAGCCTTCTGGGGGACTGATATCGAAAGGACATCCATTAGGTGCAACTGGTTTAGCTTAATGTGCAGAATTATGCTGGCAGTTAAGAGGAATGGCTGAGGAAAGATAGGTTCCTGGATTGTAATATGCTTTATAACATAACATTGGTTTGGGAGGGGCTTGCATTGTTGCTCTCTATAAGAAATACAATACAAAATCAGGAAGACCCAGGAAGGATCAAACATCCAATCCTGAAATCCTTGAAAAATTAGAAAAGGAATAACCAAAATTGTGATGTTATACATTAAAAACACAGAATAAATTAAATTAGTTTAGTAATTTTCAACTTTAATTGATTTCTTAGAAAGTCGAAAATGTGATTTTCTTCATTTAAATTATTTATTTGATCACCTTTTGATCTGGATTGCTTTTTAATTATTATGAAAGTTCTAAGTCCTTAAATCACATATATATCATACCAATAAATTAGATCTAGTAATAATGTTTCTCAAGTTAAGTTGATAAAACTCTTTTTACTTTTTCTGATATTCAGAAATCATCTCAAATCTTAATCTTACTGATTCCTTGTTCTCTTGTCTCCCTTGATTTTATTGATTTAATAAACTCTAAAATGCCAGATTAAGTCTCCCTATAGTGTTTGAATCTGAGAAGTTTATCTTCTTCTGCTTTATGGTTTTAGTATTTTTTTCTAGTAAATTTGTGTGATAAAGTAAATTTTAAAGCGGCTACTGTAGTATTAAAGTATTAATCAAAAAGGATACAAAAAATAATGAAATTGAAAATCCAATCACACCAAAAAATATAATCAGTGATAATCTTTTCTTATCCTCAATTTCAAACACTAAACTGTTGATATCTTCTATGTATAAATCTGGGTCAAATTCTGATATTAACACATAACTCAATTTTGTTAAGCTAAATAAACTTATAAATTTTATTTTTTATTCCTATTTATTAAACAAACAAAATGTATTATCAATACTTATTGGACATTAATCTTCATAGATCTCTCCATTCAGAAAATGCAAAAGGTTTTCAAAGTCACTCTCATTGAAACCTGTTTTAGATACATTGTAAAAATAGTATATCTCCTTCTACTCCTTCAAATAAATATGATTCAATAGAATCTACCCTGTCAAGTCGATTAGCATGAACTTAACTGGAAGTATTTGATCATATAATGTGAACTAATTCATCGTCAAATCATTTGCCATTATTGCAATAGGAAGATTCTCCTTATTGAAGAGACTCTTCGTTTACGTAAAGCAAACTCCTATATCTATTTCCAAATACATGTCGGTTATTTAAAGCTTTGATGAGGATTGATTGTGAGATGTATACCATGGTCGCTCTTTGGGTATCCACTCTTTTGGTATAGGTTGACAAGGGTCAATTGAGTAAAATTAATCGTCGCTTGTAGCTGCATAATACAATTGGTAATGGGATCTTTGCATCGAAGCAGTTTAACTAAGAAAATTAGATAAAATTAATTTATCATGATATTATTCCTACTGTGCAGATTAAATTGGTTCTCCATAACAAAAACAAAAGGAGTTTTCAATTTATAACAAAGTGTCAGACACATTTTCATCAAAAATAGAACAATCATCCAAATTTTCTTAAAAACTTACATCTAACTCGGCAGCGTATTAATATAAATCATTTATTGAATTAATAGACTACTCTCCTGAGAAGAACCCATTGTTTAACTGTTCTATAAACAGTGATTAATATATTGAAGATTGTCGACTCATGATCTTTTGTTGTAAAACATCTATTGAATCATTTGCTATAGTATAAATAATTTTATATTATATGGCCAATATGCTACACCCTACCATCGTAGTAATCAAAATTAAAAAGCAAATTTAGACCATAAATATTTATGATCGTAGTCTCCAATCAGAAATTCTCCACATATTTGTGTTTATGCAGCAATCTCTTTTAATTTTCATTTGAATAATATATTTATCAATAATTCATTTGTAACATTTTAAACAAATTCTTAATATAGACTCGAAAATAAAAGTACTTCGTAATACTATTATTATGAGATTGAATATAAATTATTCTATAAATTGAGCATCATTACTATGATTTTTTGAAATAATACTTAATTTTAAGTATTGCTTTGAATATCAAAACAAACTTCTTAAGAAACTAATATTTATTATGAATTTATTTATTAATATAAGTGATCATTTTATTAATTAAGAGTTTAATTTTAAGTTTTATTCTCTGTAAATGAATCGAATTCATTAAGCTCAAATTTCCAATTTGGTAATCTTAATTCCATTTTGAAACAACGAAAGTATTTTAATATCAAGACTTTCTTAAATTCTCATCTCTATGTAGACCAAAAGTACCTACCTTACCTCCCATCTCACATTAAATAATTATAGAATGCTAGTGTTGTTCCTTTTATTATTATCGTTTATAGATTTAATCTACTATTGCTTTAAGATGTTCTTATAAATTCCTTATATTTTCCATTTAGGTATATATTAATAACCTAAAATCCCCAACATTGATTAATTCTATACTGGATTTTCACTCTTAAATAGAAATTGTATAAGTGGTTTAACAAAATTCTTTACGTAATTTGAATCATCTACTATTATATTTTTTATAATCAATAAAATTAAGTATTATTACTTTATGAATAAACCTATATTAATCAGAATTTTCATCAATTTAACCTCAAAATTTACAAACAAATTTCTATTCTGTTGGAACTACCAATCTTAAATGAGAAATTTAGAAACTTTAAAATTGGAAATGTGAAAATTCATGGGTAAGTATAAATTTAATTTTAAATCCAATTTGAAACAAAATGTATTGTTGTTGATTCCTATTATACCTAAAATTGAAAAATCAAACATTTAATGATTGATATTCAAATGAAAAGTTATCTTATTTGAATTATATTAGTAAAATTTTAATATTTTAGAATACATAATTGCTCTAAATATATGTTAAATATATTTAGCAACCCAAAATAAATAATCATAAATAATGATTTAATAACAGCTATATGATAGATTGAAAAATCAGAAATTATAGAAAATATGAAACCCTTGTTTTTATATTGTATAGTTTTAATTGTTAAGTAATATTCATCTATTGAAAACTGTCAGATTTAATAATATTTAAATTAATATCATATATAGAAATTATAATACATTTAAAATCAATTTATTCTTGGGGATCTTTATGGAAGGTCAGTCAGATGAAAGTCTTAAATCTCAAAATTATAATTTGAAATCTCCTGCAGATTTTGAATAAGCCTAAAAGCATGGGGTATTTTAATAAGTGTTAAAATGAAAAGAAATCAATAACAATTTATCAAAGCATCGTTGAAGACACTGAAAGATGCGTCTGCTGCAATAATCCGATCCAAACTGTTCCATACTCAGTTTCATGCAATTTAAAAGTATTTAGCCAACATGGCTATTCATACAAATATTTTAACTATATCAAATTAAACTTTATATTATTAGTCATAGCATTGTATGATATTACTTATAAATAGCCTTATTTTTGGAGTATATAATATTCAAGAGAATCTCAAAGGGGATTAATGTTAACAACATCAAGATTGCAAGAAAAATTTAAATAATTATTTATCTCTTCTAAATAGAATGGATGGTGATGAGTATATAATTATATAAGATTTATCAGGTTTCAAGATATCTATCTAGATGTCTTGTATTTTATAGCAGTATTAGTTTAAATTTGTTTTATTGGATACATTACTTATTATAAAAATTATTGTCTAAATGTAGACAATGAATAAGATTTAGAGAAGGTCATAAAGTATTGTTCTGTCAAAGTGTCCTAAATACCAATCAATTGGAATAGGGAAAAGATTTAAGAGTTTTTTAGTAAAGGAATTTTGGACAAAAAACCAATAACATATAATATTTTGGATATATGTTTGATATATGATCAATACTAATTAGAATATTAATTAAAAGATAAGATTAGATCATTATACACAATATAAAATTATAGCACGTATATTACTTATGTGAAATAGATCTTTAAAAGAGGTGATATGCAAAACAGTTAACCTTCAAAGTGTTATTTTAGATCAAACTTTATTAAAGTTTAATGGGACAGCATTTATTACATTTTCTAATCAAGTACTTATTTACTTTAGCATGAAAAATAGGCTGAGTTAATAAAATTTGTAAGATATTTCAGATGGGTCTTTATACCTAATTCATTCAAATTTGAATCTCCTCCTAGACCATCAGATGTAATTTGGCATAATGAATCCTCATTTTCAAATTTAGAATATATAAAATTAATGTTCATATGTTTAGGTTGGCTTCCAATTATTGGAATTTAAGTGGCAAAATAAATTATCTTGCAGAAAATGGTACAACATCATATCAAAACACCTTACTAAGTTTAACGGTTTCGTTGTTATTATATATCTTAACTAAATTCTGTGAAAAGTCAATACAATAATTCTTTAATTTGAAAGACTTTAATTCTAATCGCCAGAAGAGGAGAGTATTTGTACTGTTTTATGAAACTATTGTAATTTAATATTTTTATTTAATTCCTCCAATCTTTGTTGGGGTGTATTCAGGAAGTGGAACTAGGCAACAAAAGCTTTGGAGACCAGGAGGATTAAGTGAAGATTTATTATTCATCTAACTATCAAACGCAATCTTTCCAATCATCTTCAGCATAATAGATGAGACTTATGTATTACAACTAATAAAAAGATATTGGTTTAGAAGAATTAAGAAGGATTCAGACTTAACCTAAATAGAGGCAGATTAATTATATGAACGTCAACTTGATTATTAGAAAAAAAGACTATCAATTACTTAACTGGTTTCAATATGCTGTTACTATGGGTATATTTATCCAATCTGTTATTTTATTACAATCTTAGCTCTCATTGTTATCTATTGGATGGAAAAATATAATTTTGTAAGGAATGGCGTAGGTTCTAGAACTTCAGCTAAATTTCACATCTCAAGATACAATTTATTAGCATTTTTATTATTTGAATTGCTTTCCAAATAGATTTTTCACATAGCATTTTGGCAATTTGATTATAAAAGTGCTACCAATTACATCTATGCTTTATAATATATGTTTCTAACTTATGTAATTATAACAAAAAAAGAATGTATTATTAAAAAAAGAACCCATAGAAATTATGACGAAAAGTTACTTTAAGAATCACTCAAATACTATGACACTTATTCAAAACAAAATCCAATTATAAACCAGTTGTTTGAATAAAATTAGGAAGCAATTTCATAATAGTACAAATATTCAAGATAAGAGAAGTTCTACGCATAACTTCAATTAAAATTGTATAGGGAATTATAATAAGAATATGTATTTAAAGATATATTTATTAAGAGTTCTAAAGATTCAGTCAGAATACACCCTACGGAGATCGTTTCCCTTAGATTTTAAGAATAATGATATATTAATTTATAGATCATTTGCTTTAGTTTTTATAGACAATTTAATAATTTAATACAATGTAGTTATTTAAATTGAATAAAAGTTTATTGTGATTCAATTAGATGTATTAATGAAACAATTAATATAAATATGAAAACTCTTTAGATATACTAATGTATTTCAATCAGAGGCGTTTTTTAGTAATTTAATAAAAACATCAAGTATCGGATCAATAGGACCTGATTCATTATTTGAGATTATTTTTTTTATTTAATTACTAACATCTTCTATTTCCTTTTATTCAAATAAAGGTTTTTTATATGAAAGCACAGATTACAAATGATCTTAGTCCTTTGTCAATAACAATTGATCTAACCATACTTAAGTTTTGTTACATAAAAAATCATCCTCATCTCCTCTTGTGGCCCTTATAAAATGCTCTTTAGTTAAAAATCCATAATTTCTGCATTCTATGCATTTGCATTAATCTGAGCAGGGTACTTTGGCTTAGAAGCATTCGCAGTATTTCTTCATACAGCCACTCTTTTTACATTGACAACCTTTGTTGTGCTTTCCAAAATTTAATGGATCTGGTTTTGAATCAGAAGTAGTTATCTTAGGCTGAAAGGCACTAGGGTTTTTTTCTAATGTGTATTACATGGCCTTTTATCTTTATTTCTATTTTATAATTTGGATGATACAGCATTGGAGGAATTATTGAAGCAATTATGGCAATGGCAATTATGATCACAAAATACTTTGTTCTGATAGCATTCACAATAGAGTTTTATACATTTGGAGTTTTTACAATTGCATTTCTTTGATGGTCCCTCCTCAAAAACTTAATCAGATTCCTCCTCTAACATTCTACTTAATAAATTATATGTATAAAATTGATATTTAAGACACAATAATTTGAAAAAGGTTAGAACCTAATAATACAAGCACTGCCAATCTGTTAGTTGATCAGTGACACCAAAGAACCCTCAATTCAAATCAATTATGTTTCTATAAATAAGAATCAAACTCTTATATTTTATTTTATATATTCTTTCTAGCCCTATTGGTTTCCTTCATTTTTTACTTCACCTATAAATGAAACTGCTAGATATAAGTGTCCTCAATAGGCTTAGCACTGAACTCTTCCAATGGATTCATCGATTGAGGATTAGATATAAGGGACTAATTAACTTCCCTTGTAATTTGATTCTAAATGATGCTATACATTTTCTCTAAGGTGTTATCCTTCTTGGAAACAGTAGTCTGAGGTTGTTTGCCTGCATCCTTGTCTAACTGATTTTTTCTTATGAATTCTTAGATTTGTTGAGAATAAGAAGGTTTCTCACTAGGTTTAATGAGAATTGATATCGATTTAGGGAGGATTGCTTAGTAATTAGGTTCATAATTAGGGAGAGATGGCTGCAATTTCTACACTTTGCGATTGTGCCTTCTTAATTTAGATTCGTGAAACAAATAACCCAGATTTTTACCCTTGTCTACGTTACTCATCTTCCAAACAAACTTATCTTGTGTGATGCTTGAATTGAGTTTTTCAATCATCTATTCCAAGACAGGACTCATAACTTTAGTATCTTTTTTCCTTTCATACATTTCCAAAAGAGCTTTCTTTTCCATCATCTCCTTGTATTACTTGGCTTTGACCTGTTCTTCTGGAGAGGGAGGCTATAAGTTCACAAGAAGAGACAAGTCCAAATTATGAGTACTGCGTTCTTTTTTGTGTTTCTAAAGAGCATTCTATTTCATTGATTAAGATGGTTATTGTTTGGTGATCGATGCCAAACTATAAACATGTTTGATTCGAGCCCCAGGGATCAATTAGTTAGTCGATTTAGATTTTCTCTTGGTATTCAATAGTAATCCAACATGATCCCTTTCTTATTTATACGGAAGAAATTTATCATCCTCTTCAGTCTGCAGTTCGTTTATATATCTGATAGCCTTTTGTCTTACTGACTCTGAATGCATATAATCAAATCACTATATTATTATTTTAATATTATAACAAGAAAATGGAGTAAATTCATTTTAGTTAAAATCAACGTTATAGGCTACAGTCTATGCAATTCCCACTTCTAATCCCAAAACAGAATAATGATCTGAATGCTGTTCCTAGATCTATTAGAATCAAATTATCAAGAAAGCATATCAGTGTGCCAATCAATCTTAATAGATAATTAAGATTGATTGGCATTCAATAATAAATTTTAATTTGTTTCTAAAATATAAATTATGTTTGAGAATCTTACATAGAAATTAAATATTCTTTAACCAATTTTAAAGGTGTATTTAGATTAATTAATTTAGCCATTAGATTTTATACATATCTCACAATATTCGATTGATCTCCATTTTAATAACAGCTAGGATTACAAACTTAAGGACCCTACTATAATAAATTTGTATAAACTTTTAATTGATTATTTATAGAAGTAGGTTGATATATTTTAATTATTCAATTTTTCTTCTGTGTTCTGTGATAATTTTATTTTGTATCTTTTAAATATAAAAAAAATTAAATTTAAAAAAATAAGAGTTGTAAAAAAAAATTATATCCAGAATAACTTTGTAGATTTATTGGAATTTTCTAATTTATGAAAATCTTTAACCATTTTGTAGAATCTCGAAAAAGGATAATTGGACGTAAAACAATTTGAGAGTGTAATTCCCATGTTTATGCATTTAATTATAAAAACATAGATATTTTCATTAAATATTATTGGTAAGTTCTTCATTTGTTAGACACAATTATTCTGGCTACTTGAATTCGTCCTGGAGATAGAGTTTGTTATGGCTTGTTAGAAACTTCTACAGAGTTTTGTTGTCTTTTATAACCTTATGATTTCTTTCCAGAAGTGAGGAGCATAGATTGTGTAAGTAATCACATTTTTTGGAGAGCTAGAATTAATTAATAATTTATAGTTGTTACCTGATTGAGTTAATCTGATGAATCTTATTGAACAGGTTAATTTATTGGTACAAGTTCATTATGTGCTTTTCGTTTAATTTAATGGAGCAGATCCCTAATTAATTATGCTAATACTTTCTGCCTTTTTGGAAATATTCATTTTTGAATTCATTGACACTTCCTCCTCTTGTTTTATGAAAATCATACATGTTTAACTTAATTAATTAACAAGAACTACCTATCTAATAAAGGAAGAGAAATTTTAATGCTTGAAGTGGATGGGTAGAACAATCGATGAGAATTGACTTATATTTTTGACTGTAAAAGATAGCCCATCTTCATTCCAACTAACTATATCTTCATACATATTGTTCTAATTTAGTGATCTGGGATACTTCTAAAATGTTGTAAGTCTTGAGTATAAAACTAGAAATTTAATTCTTCATTTATAATATATATATTAATCACATAATTCTTGCTGTTTTCAATTTATATTCCGCATACATAACAGGGGATTTACTTGGTTTCGACATGTGAGTTTTTCTTTAAGAATTTTCTTTTGTCTCATACTAAGTTTTGATACGTTCCCATCTGTCATTTTCTGTACATATTCTTCTTTCAGTAGACTTAGGTCTTTCTGAAATGCGATTATCATATCCTCTGTTCATAATCATAGCTGTAGTATAATTATTTTCATATGATTTAGTTTTGTTATGATAGACACTTGAATTAGGTCTACGATCATTTGAACTGCTGGGTTTATCAACAACAGATTTAATACTCTGATGAGTTCTTACTCTCTAGGTCGGCATGGCTGGTTTCTGATATTTATTCAAAAGATGATAGGTAGTAGTTATTGGATTGTGCTTGTTATTCATGATCATTTCTCTGCATTTTTAACTATCAATTCCGATTGCTTGTAACTATTTGATAATGTTTGAATTGATAGCTAAGGTGCGATGAATTTGAACGGAATAGGAGTATTTGCTTATAAAATTACAAAGTTGAATTACCTAACAAAGGGATGCATCTTAATTTTGGCTATGCTCAACCGACTTTAAGGGTTCTTATTCAATAATCCCTACAACAAATCGATCACTTGAGGACTCAAGTGGGAAGGTCTTTGGAAATCAGAATACTTGATCTTCTCATATAGTTTTCGTGTATTCGAATCTTCAAAGGGTACGTAGCCACAAAGCATGGCATACAGGATTATGCCACTAGCCCAGATGTCAGTCTTGATGCCCGAATATTGGATTCCCGAGACCATTTCTGGAGCAGCGTAACAGGGAGAGCCACAAGGGGTCGAAAGTAGATCGGTATAGACGTTGCTGAGACCAAAGTCAACTACTTTGAGGTTGTTATTTTCTAGGAGTAGGTTTTCAGGTTTAAGATCTCGATGTGCGATTTTGAGAGAGTGCAGATATTCTATGGCTTCAATGATTTAGGAAAAGAGGGCTGCAGCTTCATTTTCAGAGAGACGCTTATTTTTTACGATGTGTTGGAATAGTTCACCTCCACTTACGAACTCCATGATGAGATAAATTTTAGTGTCTGATTCAAGGATTTCATATAATTAAACAATGTTGGGATGGCGAAGTTTGCGAAGAATATGGATTTCCCTTTGGATTCTAGTGAAATCTGCAGGTTGCTCGATTCTGCTCTTCTCGAGAATCTTGATGGCTACAAATTATTGAGTAGGTTTATGGAGACCTCTATAGACTTTGCCAAAGGTTCCCTTGCCAATGGACTGCTCTATATAGTTTAGTTTATGCACCTATGATGTAATTATCAAGTGGGTTGGAAGTGTTGTGATTGAGGCATTGAAGATTATTCATGTTCGTTAATTAATTAATGGGAAATAATAATATGTGTTGTACTTAGGAAGAGTAATAGAAATAATAATAAACGATTGGTTCAGAATGTATAACAACAAATCCAGATATTAGTGAAGCTATTCCACTCCTGCAGTTGGTATCCTCGAGTTGAACAGATCATAAACAGTGATGGCTACAATCATATGCCATTATAAAATGAATTCAGAGTCTAACCCACAATTAAAACCATTCAGTAGCATCTGCATATCAGGAAACAAATGATAAGTGACATCTTTTATAGCTTTGTCCAGAACCCCAAGGACTTGATGTTTCACTCTCAGATGAAGATTTCATTCGTTTAAAAATCCATTATTATTGCAGATAACAGTTAACAATCACAGTTGGCTATGAGTTTCATCAAAGCAACTGACTTGTAAATTTATCCTCTCTATGATGTAGTCATATTGATTTGAAATTGGAGATCAATCAATTCATTAACTATTTTTCTAATCTGATCCTAAAATTTTACAAGGCCTCTTTGCTGATTGACGAGATAAAGATGCTGGTTTTGGATGAGTTGTTTGGAAATGAAGTATTTTATAACTTTGTCAAACAACAATATGACAAGGGATTACACAGTTAGATAATTGCCTATAGAACCAATATACAAAGGATCGAACGATCTCAAAAAAAACAGGATAAAATAGTTGCCACTCTATCAAATATGGTTAATAAACGATCTCCAAGGGAAAAACTACAAATATTAGATATGGTGGCTCAAAAATTGACTTAGGAGAGTAAGAATACAGATGCGGATAAATTTAATGAACTCATCTATGATTTGATTGTTTAAGCCAATATACCTTCGTTTGTGACCGAAATTAAATTGATTAATGATTTTGCTGGAGAGATGTACATTATTATATTTGAATTTTACTAGAGATTCATTGGGAAGATATGGCTATGTTCTTACTGTCTTTATGGGGATCTTAATGCTAATAATTTAAAATTATTGAAATGATAAATAATAGTTTAGGATTTTTGAGTCATTTAGGATAGATTCTTTATTTCTTCATTAGATATATAGCAATTTGATATATATGAATATGTCTCAATCATAAGTTCAAACTCTTTGTATCAACATGATAACTTCAGTAACCAGTATTCCCAACAAGATTGAGTAATAAATCCGAATCAATAATCAGATATATAAGTGCCATCATACAATTTTAAAAAAACTTATATTATTTTATTAATGAAAATTAGTGAAGTCATACTTTTGGTTTGTATCTCCTTGGTGTCTGCTGGAACTCTAACAAAAACGGATGCATGTGTTTGCAATCAAATTTTGAGTTAAGTAGATTGTGCAACATACGATGATTGCCAATGGAACAGCGTATCTGCTGTGTGTGAAGTTCGTAAGTCAACTGATATTGAATCCTACTGTTCTCAGAGCACTACTTGTCCTATTTCAGGATGCGCATTCTATAATAAAAAGTGTAAACCATATAGCGGTTGTACAGTTTATATAGCTACAACCCATGCTGATTGTCAGGCTATCTCGCCCTTATGTACAAGTAATGGAGAAAAATGCATTAATATAAGCACAACTTGTGATGATTATCTTGTTTAAATAGCCTGTCAAATTAATACTTAACAGTATCCTTGTTTTTGGGATAGTTAGAATAGTAAATGCTAAGAGATAGCAGCATGTGATTAGTTCCCAACCACTTACGACTCCCATCAACAATGTTAATCAATGGGATTACTTAAATCAATTAAGTGCACAGTCAAAGAAACAGGTGGTTGTATCAACATTGAAGATGATTGTACTAAGCATACAGAAAAGGGTTGTGTTGTAAATTCTTTAGGGAATCAATGTTTTTGGGATAATGCTGCATGCAAAGAGAAAACATGTGTCAATGCTCCGACCACTTATACTACTTAAGCATAATGTTAACAATATATGAATACATGCTCAGTCAATGAGAATATGGCAGGCTGTATAGATAGTCCTGCATCATGTGAAAATTACACTAAGGAAGGTTAATGTATTGCTGTGAATGGATAGATCTGTTTTTGGTTTTCAATAACATGTACTGAAGGATAGTAAAATTGCACTGCAAGTTCAGGATGCAAGGTTTGGTCATGTGAAAATGCATTGAGCACTACTAATACAGATATATTATGCTCATAATTTAAGAGTGAATGTACTGTGAATGCAACGAATACAGGATGTATTAAAAGAGAAACTGCTTGTAATTTGTATAAAACAGAAAATTAGTGTATAAAAACATTGGATGAATCTTAGAGATGTTATTGGAATGGTACAGGTTGTGTTAATAAGAGTTGTGCCAATGCTATTTTAACAACTTATAATGAATCTAATTGCAATAGATTTATGCCAACATGTACATTAATCAACGATAAATGTGGAGTCAGAACTTGTAATACATACCAAACAGAAAGACTGTGCAGTATAGATTATTAAAATCAATAATGTGTTTGGAGTGGATCTTGTCTTCTAAGGACATGTCAAAATGCAGGAGATGAATACAATACTCATAATGAATGTCAGTCTTGGTTGAGTAGTTGCACAGTGCAGAAAGATCTAATTGGTTGTTAGACCCAAGAACTCACTTGTACCAATTATTTGACACAAGAACAATGTTATATGGCTAATAATAATACAATTAAATGTTTGTGGATTGACAATAAATGTGTTTAAAAGACATGTAGTACTGCTAGTACATTAACGTCAACCGATGATGAATGCAATATTTATTTAGGAGGATGTATGATAAACAGTAATCAAGCTGGATGTGTTGCTAGGAAAACTAATTGTGCCGATTTGCTATAATTTTAATGTACATTCACAACTTCAGGCTAGTTATGTTTTTGGGATGGAACCAAATGCGTAGACAGAATATGTACATAAGCCAAATATAATACTTATAGGGCTTGCACAACCTTTTTATCATCATGTACTGTTAGTTACACAGGTACAAGCTTTGATGGATGCACTAGTAAATAATAAAAGTGTTCTGATTATCAATATGAATAGAATTGTATAGATAGTTTAGCAGAAGGCAAATGCATTTGGAATAAAAAGGCATCTCCTAATGCATGTTAAGTGAGAAGTTGTGCCAACTCAGATTAAACATCAACCGATGCAGCTTGCAATAGTCATCTTAATACTTGCACAGTAAACGCTGCAAAAACTGGTTGCTTAGAGAGATATGATAAATGTTCCTCATTTACAAGTCAAATTAATTGTATCAAAAATTTAACAGGAGGAGAATGTTTATGGTACAATAACGCATGTACAGATAAAACTTGTGATAAAGCAGATAAAACATTCACAACTCATGAGGATTGTTATTCATACAGTAGTAAATGCACAACTAATGGGAAGGGTTGCATAAACATTGATATATGTACTGCTTATACTTTAAAGTCTGGATGTGTACTAGATAAGAATAATAACAATTGTGCATTCCAACCTAGTTGCAATATATTATAATGTTCAGATGCTCCCTAATCATATTCCACTGACTAGGATTGCAGAAACTTCAAAAAAGAATGTACTACAAATGGAAGTGGCTGTGTTCTTAGAACAACTTGTACTGATGCATATATCGAAGAGGCTTGTGTTACAGACTCAACTAATAATTAGTGTGCATGGATCAATAATAAATGTGTTAATTTTGGATGTAGCAGTGCTCCAAGTAAATATGTTACAGAGAAGGAATGCAGACTTTATAAGTTGGGTTGTACAGTAAATTAATCAGGGGGATGCATTGAAAAGGCAACTTGTAAAGATGCTAAAATATAAGCAGCATGTACAACTGATAAGGATGGCAACGAATGTGAATTTTCTGCTGCTGGATGTAGAGATAAGGTTTGTAGTGATTACACTTTTACGACTCATAAAGAATGTTAAGCAGCCAAAAGTACATGTACAACTGATGGAACCAAATGTGTCAATTAATAAAATTGTAGTCTAAAAACAAAGAATGGATGTTTCTATGGAAGTGATGGACCATGTTTATGGATTAACAATGCATGTTATGCTTATTCATCATGTTAATCACTTGTATTTAGTGATCATACTTCATGTTATTCTTTCAGTAATGAATGCACAACTGATGGAGTATCATGTATTGCTATTGACAAATGTGCCAATTTAGCTGAGTAAAGTTGCTATCATGGTACAGATGGCAGATGTGTCTATTCTCCTGATGCTTTGAATGGATAAAGTAAATGCAAAGTATATGATGGATGCAAATCTGCCTTTTTCAATACTCATGTATAATGTTAACTTGTTGACCCTACTTGCACTACTGATGAAGCCAGTTGCATTGATCTATAAGATTGTACTTCATATACAAAATAAAGTACTTGTAACATCGATCAAAAAAAGAATAAATGCTATTATGATGACTAAGAAAAGAAATGTGTTCTATTAGAATGTAAATATTTGACTTTAACAACTCATCAAGAATGCAATGATCAATTATCCACTTGCACTTCAGACAATACGAAATGTATGAGTATGGGTAAGTGTGAAACATATGCTAAGGAATACTGCAACACTTCTTTAGGAACTGATGGCAAATGCATATTTGATCCAAACCTCATCAAATGTCGTCTAGCATCATGCACAGAATTAAATACTAACTGTTCTTTAATAACAAATTGCATTGACAGTGGTGTAGGGTGTGTCATTAAAGCAAATTGCAGTAAATATGAAACTGAAATTGCATGTAAGTAAGGAGGTAGTGATGGATTCTGTGTATGGTATTTAAACAATGGAGAAGGTGCTTGTAAACTAATGACATCTTGTTCCGATGGCTCATCCAACAAATAAGCTTGCGCATACAAATCATGGAATTGCTAATGGACTGAAACATCAACTTAAACTGCTTGTGCTTAACACACTTGTTCCTCCAAATATAAAGAAACCGGAGTTTGTCAACCTATATTAGATTTCGATGAAAAGAACTATGAATTATGTGCCCTAACAAGTTCATAATGCATTTCCATGGAATTTCCATCGCTGATTCAAGCCAATTGTTTTTCAGCCACAGCTTATACCTATACCTGGGATTCTGCTAATTCTAAATGCTTAAAATGCGGATCAACTTATACAAACAACTCTAATAATCAAACCAACAATTCTGACAACTCAACTGATTAAACCGATATAAGCGACAAATCGCTTACATTATTTACATCCATCATAATGATTATTAGTATATATATATGAATTTCATAAATCTTCCAAATTGAGTACATCGAAGTTCTCCTTTTACACATCCTATTAATTATCAAACCATTTCAATAGTTTCCCTTCTTGCCATTCACCAAACCTTGTTTATCCATTTTCTAACATAACCTTCCCTTTCCCATTAGGCTTGGATAACTTAAAACTACCCTCGTAGCTCCTTCCATCTAATATATCTTGAATCTTATACTTCCCCACTTGAATATTCCATATCCATTTGGAGCATCTTTATTGAACAACCCTACATAGTGACATCCATTAGCCCATTTCATTGATCCTTGTCCACACATAAAATCCTCAAACCACTCTCCCTGATATTCCTTCCCATTCTTCCAAATTTACACTCCCTAACCATGTCGCTTGTTATTTATCCATAATCCAGTATACTGAGAGCCGTCATTCCATATGTAAGTACCCTACCCTTGCTTTATCCCTTCATAGAAATATCCCTCATATCGACTCCCATCCTCCCATGTTTCAATACCGAAACCTTATTATAGATCATCTTTCCATTCACCCTCATATTTTCCTCCGTTTTGAGATTAGAAACTCCCCTTGCCATTTTGTTTATCGTTTTCCCATTGTCCTTCATAAAAATCGCCATCAGCATATATAAATTTGCCCTATCCGTTTGCTTTGTTATTTTTCCACTCACCCTAATATTCAGAACCATCAGGCCATTTCAAAATTCCATAGCCTTCCCTCTTATTCCCTATCCAATCACCTTAGTACACACCTCCGCTCTTGAGAGCCACAGCCGACTGCTTAGTTCTCTCTTGAGTTTTTGTAGTTTGACTGGAATTCATGACTTTTTACTTCTTCTTGTAATTGTACTTGATATTGATTTATCGAGGATCAAGACGTTACATTTCTGCATCTTCACATGGTTCCATATCTTCTGGGTATTAGTAATTATTACAGCATTAAGCTCCCATTAATATATTAAAAATTAAATGAATAAGGATGGATTTGATAAATTTGATGAAGGTACAAGAATAAAGATAATATTTTAGATATTTCAACTAGTAGACCATTGGAACATTTTCACTAATAGAATGAAGTGCCTCAATCTAAGAATTACAATTTTCTTGTCGTTTAAAAAATGAATGTAGAAGGACCAAATATTATACAAAAGTGCATAGTCAAGCCACTTCAACAAGTCGGCTAGACAGCAGTCGAAGTTTCATTTTATAAAAATAATCTAGAACACAAAGAATGCCGTCTTGTAAATCCCATCATTTTTTAAATGGGGAGCTATGGAATTGTTCAATAAATTGCACTCTACATTTCATAAATCTCCTGAGGAAACACAACCTCAAATTGAGTAGTAATAGCAATAATAGCAAAACATACCTGAAGACTCCAGCATAGATGATATTCCAGTTGTGTTTGTTGTGCCAAAAGAGATTATGGAAGGACCAGTTAACGAAAGATTATTGTGGATTGAGAAACATAGAAACGACTGCGAAGTTTTCATTCCTCTAGAAAAACCATTAAAGTACCCACATTATAATAAATAAGATTGAATAATTTTAATGGTATTGGCAGCTCATCATCCTCTTCAAATGGACCTGATGATTTTGAATGTGAAGTCAGAAGAATTTCATAAGAATTTAAAGGGTAAGACACTGAATCAGAATTATTCCCATCTACATAATTGATGAAAACAAAGCTAATGTAATCAAAAAAAAGATTTATGATGTCTGAAGAGGATTATTAACAAATAAATTAATAGAATAACGAAAATAAAAATCTCAACGAACCTTAAAATATAATTCTTTATCCATTTTTAGGTGAACTCATCCCCAAAGAGACTATTTTAGAATAAATTAAAAAATACTAATTAGAATAATCATCTTTTACAGTAATTTAACCTAATGTGGAATAAATATAAACCTAATAAATTCCATAATAAAATCAAAATCAATTTCTTCCACTTTAATTGAATGGAGAATCATTTGAAAATAATTAATAATAGTAATAACAATAGCAATAATAATAACAATAACAATAACAATAATAATAACAATATTAATAATAACAAGTAGTTTACGAATAATAATTAGAAGAACTTTTAGAAGTTTGATCAATCATATATGTAACTCTAAATCATTTAAATTTATTAACTGTTTTCATTTTGTTTTAAAATATCAATTCGTATTATCATTTAAGCTAATAGAATTTTAATTAACAAGATTATAAAGATCAGTCAATTTAAACTCAGAGTGCCCTTTTATTTTATTAGAAGATCATTAAAATATTATATCGATTATAATTTAATATTTCATTCATTTTCCACATCCATTTCTTAATCAATCAAATTTAGGGCAAATTTTTAGGCATCAATTACTTCTTATAACGACCATGGGATTTTGCATTTGGAATTTTTGACTATTGACTGCTCCATTTTCAATCTTACATAATTTCTAAAATATTCTTCATCGTCATTTTTAGCGCTATACATATAAAATTCTCTTAGAGCTTCTTCATACATTCTGGAACAATATTTTATAAATTTTTGCAACTTGAAACCCATTTCTTCTTGAACTTCTTAGATAAAATGATTTAGAATGTAGTCTTTGATCTCTTAGCGAAATGATTTAGATTTCAATAAAGTTCTGATATAAGGTTAGTTGAATGATTTAAAACCAGACTTATAAATGATCTTTCCTGTTTTCATTTTTCTCTAATAGTAATTGAAACTTACTTTTGAGGGTGGATAAAATATGTTAAATGCTTATGCATTTTCAAAGAGAGTTCTTTGAAATGAGTCTCATAGAATTCAATTTATTACTGATTTTACTTCGTTTTTTTGTGTGTTTTCATATAATTTTAAGAGAACCTGTGCTCGACAAACTTGAAGCCCTTCTTGAAAATGAATTTTTGTTTCTCTTCCACCCTTTTGTGGTTTAAGACAGATTTCTTGATGCACATCTCAAAAGTCAATCTTTCCTCATCATTCAACTTTTATATTTCTTAATCTGTAGAGGGAAGTCCCTGGAGAGCATTATTGAGCTGCTAGAAAAGAGGATCATTTTTGATTTATTCAACTACATCTGGATTCAGGCCATCATTCTACAGTTAAGATAAGATTTCTTAAGATTGTTCATCTGGTGTATCTAAAAATTAAGGAGTTTTTCCTGATTTGTCATCCATCTTTATTAAATATAATAATATGTTTAAATTTAGCAGGCTTAAGTTTTTAAAGAGCCTTGATATTCTTTAAGAAGACAATCCAATACTAAAGAAACATTACCCAGTTATGCACAAGGAAATATTAGAAAGGGTCTTGGCTTTTTAAAAAAAGACGCTTAAAAATAGTATCGATATGGTGGATTGCACAATAGGGACGGGAGCTCATAGTCAGATTCTATTAGAACATGTTAAAAATCTTAAAATGTAAGCAATAATCATATCTAGATTAGGATTGGACATTGATGAAAGGATGATAAAAAATTTACCACAGAATATCACTGCTAAATAGGATAATTTTATTAATTTTTATAAGCACAGAACATTGAGTGATACCAAATATTTTGATATAATATTTGCTGATCTTGGATATAACATGTAAGATACTTGAATTTATTTGGCAGAAATTAGGTTTACGATGAATCTTATGGTCTTAGTTACAAAAAGAATTCTCTACTTGACATGCGATATTCACAATCCATTTAATATACTGCTGCTGATCTGCTCAATAATCGATCACAATAAGAGTTAAGAGAAATCTTTTATAATTATGGTAATATACACAAGGCGAATCAATTAGCCAAGATTATTATTGATAATAGATAAGTAAAATTATATAAATAAAAAAGAAAGAAAAGTTTGAAAGGGCTAATCAAATGATAGATATTTTGAATGAATTATCAATGGGTGATTAGATTATGAAGACTTTTCAGGCATTGAGAATAGCTGTCAATCAAGAAATTAATAATCTTAATTTATTTCTAGAAAAAGTATAAAGCTAACAAATAGTTGATAAATAATTAATTTTAATAATCACTTTCCATTCATTAGAAGCTGAATCTGTCTAAAAATTTATCATGAAATTTAAAAAGTAATTTTCCATGAAAACTATTAAACCTTCAGAAGATGAAATAAAAGAAAATCCTCGTTCCAGATCTGCTTTGTTGTTTGAAATAATTAATAAGAGTATTTGATTTGTATTTAATTGAAATGAATATGAATAACTTGCAATCAAAATGATTATTGCTGAATATATTTGTACCTTTCAATATCTGTTAATTTACGCTCTATTGGTCTTTGTATTTGTAGTTCCTTTGTTAATGCTAATTGTATATTATTGGAATCCATCAAATTGACAATCTTCGAAGTTATTTTCTTAAAGAGAAGACATGAATCAACAGGATTGTTTTCTAATCTTGGTTGACTAAGATATTAGTTGAGTGAAACATTTTCAAATTTATGATTAAATTATTATTCAAAAGGTCTATTATGATCTCTAAGAGGCGAAACATAACTCATATAATTCTCCATCTTAATCGGATCTATACGTAAAGTTGGCTTTTATTGATCAGCACTATTTTTTAATACTTTGAGGTAACTTTGTATTCTATTTAAATCAATGCTAGATGATGACAAAAGAGATTTGAAATAATTCCATTCTCTCTTAGGATTTGCAAAATTACTTATATATTTCTCAATTACTAAGTCGAAAAACTCAATTATTGCATTGCTTAATTCTTGCATTATTAATATTATTTAACAGTTAATATATATAAAATCATAGCATTTATCTAATTTCACAAAGTTGTCCCCTAAAATCTTCACTCATTTTATCAAGTGCATTTTTGATAGTTTAATTCACCACAATCAACAATTAGTCATTGAATTCTGCATTTGGATCAGTTCCCAATCTATCATCAATGCTACGAACTATTTATTAAGATCCTTCTCTTAGCTTTGCTTCATACCACCTACATTTACAATTTAATTTTACCTGTATAAACAATTAATCGAAGATTCCAAATCCTTGATTCTCTAGTCTACCTATTAAACCTCTAATTATGGTTTTTGGGGCATTGATTCTATTTCTCTTAATTTTCTTTCAGCACATCTTTCCTATATAATTTTAGTATATTGGATACGAGTCTTCCTTATTTCTATTCATTCACTTCTTGTTTTTTCTAAACTTGTTTGACATTGGCTTCGGTTCTTTGAATTGATGGAATGTACTCAATCATCTGCAATAATGGGAGAAGAGCATCCTATTGTAAACTCACTCTATTTAAATCGGCTATTAAATAATGATGAGAATGAATACATTCAAATTTATCTATTCTTGCTTCTATTGATTAGTCTAGATCAGTCATTTTAACGGATTAATTGATATTTTTTATTTTTTTATATAAATATTTAAAATCACTTGAATTTGAGAACGCCTATTAATAATAATAACACTATTATGATGACTACTCCTATTTTAATGAATCTGTCATTCTTTTCTTCTAATATTGGAGCAAAACTCTAAACATTAGTTTATTCCTATAATTTAGGTTTGGATTCTATTGCAACAGGTCTTTAGATTAATTGATCTGTTTAAAAGTGTAATGGTTTATCGAATTCTGAGACTCCTATTGTTGAATGCAGATTTGAATTTGACAACTTTGATGATTTAAGGTCAAACAATGAGTTTTTTTGAATGCTAACAGGGATTTTTTTTTATTGAAATATCCTCTCCTTTTATCTGCTCTAGGTTCTAGATACTCGCTATTAATATGTACAATGAATTGTAGGAAGAGTATTGCAATGAACTTGAATTAAAATTTGTCTAAGTATTGGTTATTGGACTCACTGATTTGGATAGCTATGACATATAATTATTTGACTGAGGGTAGTAATCATCAAACTATTCATTGTAATACTTACAATTGGTTTTTTCATTTGCACTCTTTGTGAGTAATTCATTGGAAAATTAATAAAATTTATTAATATTTTATATACTAACATCCCCTGAATTTACATAACTATTTGAATAAATTTTATATATATTCGGGTGATTTAATATTAATTTTTAGCATTACTAAATAAAGAAGATAATTACAATGAACAAATAAGACAAACCAGAATCCAGAGCTCAGCGCAACATTCGTATTGTTATGGCTAATATAAAGGACGATCTAAAATATAAAGGTATTTTGACTTCTAATTTATTCCTTAGTTGTCAAATATTTTGGACATCAAAAAGAAGAATAGGAATTAGCTAAACCAAGATATGCCCATTCATAATTTCCTAAATAACAGCTTTTTAGTTAAGAAGCCGAGTCTAATCTAATTGACTTTTGTCTAGATAATCAAGGTTTAAAAGTCAGCAAAGTAGGGACTCTTGTAGAACCAATGATAACCACAGAAGAAATACCCTAAAGACCTTCTATAAGGAAGATGAAGGCCATTAAATAGCCTGTTTTTTTTACGGAAGTCACTACTACCCATTTTCAACCTAGCGAAAGACCAAAGGAATTACCTGCTTCACTTAAAAGAAGCACTAAATAATAAATGATGAATAAGGAAATTTTAAGAAGATTGGGCCTATTAAGTATTTAAGCAAAGAGGGAACTTGAAATTGAGAAGCTCTGCAACAGAGCCTTAAAAGTGGCAAGAATTAAAGACTCTCCTGAATTAAATAAAAGATAACTAGAAGTTATTCAAAAATAAATGAGAGATGCTGAAAAATAATCATAAGAATTGGAAATTCAAAGATGCACTACTTCTGCTTCAGCTGCATCAAGAAAAGCCTTCGATTATTAAGATGACTATCTTTTAGAATGCCTTTCTGAAAGACCTTAACTAGTTTACAGTGTCTAATCTTTTCGAAATAGACCTTAAACTTAGTAAACTAAATCTAGAATTCACAACTTCTTTAAAACTGTTACTTTGGCTCACTTAGATAATAAAGATGAAATTAAAAAAGATGATTTTAGCATGCAATAGCAAATGCAATCCATAAAAGAGAGTTTGCAATTATGCAAAAAAAAACTCTTAGACTACAATGACGAAATAGAAATTGCATTGACAGAAGATATAAAAGGACAAGTGATAGAATATAAAAATATTATTAAAAATAATAATATAAAATGAATGAAATAAAAAAACTTTATTGCCGATTTGTTACAGGAATGACTGTAGAAGTGGACCTAAGGCAAGAAACAAGAACTGTGCTGTAATTAAAATAGCAACTTTCTGAAATTATTAATTTAACTGCAGATAGATTATATATAGGATTTGAAACATCGCTTTTGGATGATAATGATTACTTGACATAGAAAGGAATATCTGATTAAGATACTGTCCATGTGATTACATCCTAATTGACCGAAAAAATTTGTTATAGAAATAAAAAGTGATAATTATAAGCCATATTAAAACTCATAATGTTTATTTCACAAATTAGAATCTAATTTGATGAGCTTTTTTTCTTCAAAATTTTTAAATTATAATTTTTGCATTAGCAGTATGTATCAGATTAGGATTTCTAAATGTCTATTAAAAAATTATCGTTGATAATAATTACATAAATATATAATATATATATATATGGATCTAAAGGCATTAAAATTTCAAATTGAAACTAGTTAAGAAATATCTACAAATAATCTCTATAATTATGAAATATTTAAAAGAACTTCATGGTTTTTGAGTTTGGAAGATGTATTAATATTAGGAGCCACCTGCCGCATTTTAAATGAATATGTCTAAGTTTTAAATTATTTCTATATAGACAGAAACATTATTAATTCTTTGCCGAGAAATACTATAAATAATTTCTAAATGATTAACTTGAAATGACACTTGAAATTAATTATCCAGATATAACTTAAAGAGGTCAGATTCGTTAGGCAAATTTTGATATAAACCCTTTAGATTGGAAATTTCAATATAAAAGAATGAAATAATTGAAGTAAGATTAGTAAATATGAATGGTAGAAAAACAATAAAAATTCCATTCTCTCTTTGTGAATCAGTGTTTCCGAAACCTATTTTAAAAAGAGAGACGATAGGTTTATATTGCGAATCAGAATTCTAAATTATGCTTGCTTAACGTTTGGAATTAGAATAAAAAGGGTTCGATAGATTGTTCGACTTTTAATTGATATCAAATGAGGTATTTAAAACATGATTTAAATTAAAGCTAATGAATAATTTAAAACAAAATAAGCAATTAGTAATAAATTAAATGTGCGAAAAATTAGAGAATAGTGAAGCATTTAAATCAAAATTTTTAATATATAGATGGAATTTAATAGATGAATCTTCTGGATTACAATAATTTCCTCAGGTCGACTCCTAAAGCATTCAGATAGAGGAGTAAGAAGAAGCACTTACTGATGAATTTTGTATAATGAATCTCTTCGAACAATTGTATAGTTCTGTTGAATGCTATCTAGAAGGTTTGTCAATGTACTTTTCTACCTTTATAAATGCAAATTCAACAAATAGTATTGATTTATTAAGTGAATACATTATGTATTGGGAAGCATATAGTAATTCTATGGTTGAATTAAATGGAGAAATATATCCCTTCGAAAATATTGTGAATGAAATACATTAGAAAATATTTCCTTAATATCCTCAATATCCTCGGTTCTCAGTTTGGAGAACAATGTGTAAATTGTGGATCAAATATGTATTAAATTTTTTAACTCAAGATAATTAGAAACGATTAATTTTAGTAACTGCTTATAGAATGCTTCATCAGAACTTTATAGGCAGAAAGATAAGCTAAGTTTCTCAAGGAATTTGATCAAGGTGTTAATGATAATCTGGGTTTTACTCCTTCTTTTTAAATTACATATGAAATTTATGATAATTTCTTACTAAAATAAAAAAATAGTATAAAGGATTAATTTTAAATTGAATATAGTCATAAATATTATACAGAGATAGTGGAGTTAATGAGAAATTTTAATAAATCTATATAGGATATTTCAATCAATGAAGTATTCTTGTTATTAATCATTAGGTATCTGTTCATTGGATTGGACATGTGGATTGCTGTTATGAAGAATTCTATGATTTGTTAAGTGAGAGAGTTCAACATGAAACAAGTTTGTACTATGATGAAACTAAATAGGTTTTTGGTTCCAATGTAGCTTCTTTCATAGAATTTATGAAATTTGATAAGGAGTAAAATAAAGCTATTATATCATTTAGGTTTATTTCTCAATTCTTACCAGAGCCTATTATATTTAAAATAGACAACCTATAACGTGAACACATCTACACATACTTATTTTATTATTTAGAGCATTCATATCTTTCAAGATTTATTTATACTCATAAGGATATGATTGCTTTGGCCTATAATACAAAAACACCAAAATAGGAAAGAACTTCGATTACTTCGTCAAACAATAATGAGTATTTAGATACTTAAGGGGATGCTACTTTAAACGATGCTTAAAGATTTCTTAATTTTGCTTTAGAGAATAGTAATTTTGATTTGGATGAACTTTTGATTAATAAAAAAAATTAAAATCAACAGGAACCCTTATTAGAGATTATTAAAGTTGCTCTTTCTTAAAAAAATCTTGAATAATTGGTGGGAACTAATGACTAAGAAGATTAATAACAATCTCAATTTTAATTTGAATAGAATAGGCAGTAAAAATTTCCAAGAACTTACTCCAATAATAAATGTAAATTTACTTTAGATTATCTTAGTAAACTCTGATTCAACAGAAGTTCCAGAAGAAGTAGTCAAATCTGCCAAGTAATTCCTATTAAACGATCCAGAATTTACTAAACTTTATCAAATTTTCATTGATTATACAAAAAATTTTGATAGAAATTGGGTTTAAACGAGTTAAAAAAACCAAGACATTGAAATATTGAATAATGATAGAGAAATTCCAAGAGTATTGTTTATGGTATATTAAAATTAGGTCCTATAAGATTATCTTTAATATTTTTATTTTGTATCTAAACATTTAACATTAACAATTTTAGAGGACAATAAAATTGTGAATGAAGAAGATCTAGATGATCTTGAAATGCCTCCTAGCCTCTCAAAAAATTCATCAAAATTTAAAAGTATTTATGTTATTTAATATTTAGAAAACTCTGTTTGCATGGAAGTTTATTACTCAGAGGAAGAAGATGAGAATTAAGGATGAATTCTAATAACAATGAATTTATTAATTTAATTTTACCCAATCATATTCTCCTTTTAAATATAGCAAATCTTTTAATTCTTTTAATGAATTTGTAGGTCAAGAATTAAGAAAATATTAATTATTTTACAACGAATTTATTTATCTAAATAATAATATTCAAGTATTAAAACAAAAGGAATTAAATATAGAATCTAAAGAGATTTAATTATATTTGTAAGTTTAATAGATATATTAGAGCTAAAACTCTCTCAATAATATAAATAGATAATCTTGTTAAAGTAATAACTAATTTATTTCATGATATTGAATTCTAAATGCCCGTCATATTAATTGCTAATTGCGAAATCGTTTCATTTTTAGACTCTGCTAAAATTTCTAATAAGACCTTTTGTTTCCTACTTAATTTATAAATATTTTAATCAAGTAAATTCCAAATATTTGTTAAAGTCTCTATGATTTCATCAGTTAAATGCTACTCATTTAAATGTAACAGAATTTCAAATTGTAATGATATAATATGACCTGATTCTTCCTAATCCAATTACTCACATAGAATAACAAGTATAAAACTACACAAAACTAGCAATGAATTTTGAACTTTAGATTCAATTAAGTCTTATATCTCTTTCAAGAATTGTAAGAAACAAAATCTAATCTCCACACCTGAGAATTGCAGGGTTTTATAAATAAACTAGATTATTATTGAATTTAATACTTCTAAACCAACTTCAAGCAAAAATATTTATTATTCTTAAATTCTTTCAAAAATCTTTTTTAGCAATGAGGTAATTTTTGAATTTTTCACTATTCCTAAAATCTTTTAATCACAGTATGAAAAGGCAACTAGTGTATTTAATGCTGTTAAAATCCAATATGTAATATCATATTATCTATTTTATAATGAATAAATTGCACAATCGACTATTGAATTTAATTTTTGATCATCTATCAAATCAACTAACCCTTCTATATCTGAACATATCAATATAATATTTTCACAAGATACTTAAATATTTTTTTCGAACCAATTAATATTCATAATAAATAAGTCTATGAGTTATGGCTTTGATACATAATTTTATAGTTGATAAGTTTGAATTTTAATCAAAATACTAAGGCATAAATAAAGCATACTATCTTTATCTATCAATTAATTTTCATCTATTTATTCTCTTAATTTAATAATAGAAGTAATTAGGTCCTAATTAAGCAAATCTATTAATTCTGATTATATATTAATTTTCGAATTCAGAAGATTAGTTAAACCTTCACAAGCATATTGTAGTTAATAGATATTACTCTATTTTGATTAGATAATTTCAAGAAATGTCAAATGCAAGTATTATTCTTTTATCAATCTATCGACACTATTTGATGATTCTGAAGCTGAAATATTCGACAAAAGTAATAAAGCATGTTTATTTTATTAATTCTTATAAACTTTCATCATTAGTTCATCATTGTTCAATATCATTTTACTTGATTACTCTATTGAAGTGTGAAAACTCAATAAAATTGATGAAATTTTTCCTTTTTAGCAAAAATTTGGTAAGAAACGACTTATTCTAAATTCATTCTCATTTCTTTATTTTCTTAGAGCTTCTCTATATTTTTCTTTTTTAAATAAAAAAATACTTTAATTCATAAATATATTATTTATAGTCATTTAATTCCTTATTTTATAATTTTTAACATTTTTGGTTCAAATTCTTGCATTCCATTTTATAATTGTTAAATTTGTTTCTTAATCTAATCAAGATTTAATTGCACATCTTTTTCATTATAAATAAAGGCCTCCCATATTTTGCACATTTCGCACTTCTTTCCTTACCTTTCTGATAAGACTTAAGAGAAATTGAGGATTTTGTTTTATAGAGTGGTTAAGGCATCTGACTTATGTTAATGGTTATGAATCATTTTAAATATTTCACTATTAACATTATTGCCCTGCGATAATGTATACTTTTTAATAATTGAATTAAATTATTTTAAAGGCTTAAATACTATTAATAATACAAAGATTTAAAGTATTATGGCTATAAACCCTAAAAATATTTATCCGAAAAACGAGATTGTAAAATTAAGGAATGATGTTTCTCTTATTGCTGAAGATTTGTTCTACTAATCTACTTTTGTAGTGATATTAGTGTAACTTACATAAGTAATAATAAATACACAATAAGCGTGAAGTTATTCTTTAACACTTCAAGAGAATAAACATTGACTTTTTCTTATTATAATTTATTCTCTAAAACCAAAATTACTTTTTCCTTTTAATTTGAAAACTGTATCATTTCTTCCCAATCACTAGTATTAAAACCAGTAACATTTTAATCATAAATGTAAAAATAATCTGTCTTATTTCTGAGTTATTCAATGTTAAAATATACGACTAAACCTTCTTAATCTAACAATAAAACATTATATGGCACATAAGGTATCAAGTATTCACTGATTATTAAGCCTTCTCTAATAATTCCGATCATTTGACCATCATGATAAAGAGAACTTGTAATTGACATTTCCTTAATCTTGGTAATGAAAAAATCGTTTAAAGGTGAGAAAATAAAACCTTCTTTTTAATTTTCTTAAGTTATTTACAAATGATTTTAATACCTAATAAAACTGGAATAATACCATGAAAATGAAGTAATATCAAACCAGGGTAGTAAAAAACAAAAAGGAAATTGACTAAAATATTTTGTTTTTGATACTGACGATATTTATATCATCCCACTATAAGAAATATCCAAAGCCAAACTATAATGATTTAAAAGAGAGATAAAATCATGAAGAATTAAAACTCCTGCTTCATTTTAAGGTAGAGTAACATAATCAGGAACTCCAATTGCTTAATAACAAAATTTAGGAGTGTAGAGGGTAAAATTATTTTTCATAAAATCTTCGATTGTTACGCAAGGATCCATTTTTTAATTATTTACTATATTATTTTTTTCTTTTTCAAAAAAAATATAAAATTGCTTCATTTATTCCATTTATGAAAGAACTAATTAATTAAATTAAATTGAAACTTGACATAAATTTCAGTTCTATGATTAACGCTACATTTTATGCGATAAAGCCAATCTTATCTTTATCTTATTCCTAAAGTATATGATAAATTGAACTAAGGGATATTGAAGAAAAAATTTCTGTTTATATATAGTAATTTATCCATACAACTGAAAGGACTATCACAAGAGTAAGCACATTGAATAAAATGATTTTACTTTTCATAGTTAATTAGCGAAGCTTTTAAGCAATTTTGCCAATCATTACAATTCCTTGATATTAAATATTTTAATTAATATCTACAATTTATTTACGATAATTAATGTTCATAATTTATATATATAATAAATTAATATCATAGTAAATTTTTGAGTAAAAAATGATTAAATTATTTGGAAAGATTAATTTTATTATGAATTGGAGAGGAAAAGCAAATTCGCTCATTAATATTTATTCAGTTGTGTTTAAGTAAGATCGTTTGTAAATATGGCCTTAAAAGTATGAAAGTGAAGGCTGTAAAAAAGAATTAAACTATTTAATATAAGTAAAGCTGATATTAAATCTCGTTTGTAAATTAGCTCACTTTTGATTCCAAATTTATATTGTATCCGATTTAAAATATGTCAGAATATACTAAGACACTATTTCCATTAAAAGATATTTTAATTTAGAATTTATGAGTTGTAATATTCCTTAATTTTATTAGTTTGGGGTAATTATATTATTCTTACAATAAATTCAAATATACAAATTCTATAAATATAATTGTTTCTAAATTCTTGCAAGAAGTTTTTATTGATAAGTAATTACATCATAAACATTTTGGTTGTGTAAACCTTAATTTTCATCATGGACATAATAATATTTCACATCAGCTTTCTATATTATTGTTAAAATTAAATTTCGAAGAGTTCTAATTTATTGGATATTTTATATCAAAATTATTAAAGCTAACATTTTTGATTTTTGTTAAGATGCTTTTTTCTTTCCTAATGATTGAGTTTAAACCTGTAAAGGGATGAAAATTGTAAAACGAATTTTTTAAATATTTTATCATTTTTTTTTCTTATTTACCAAATAATTATCCTAATGTTTTACCGAAACATTCAAATCCTTAAATCTAATTTTTCTGATTCAAACCCTTTATGGCATATTCGAAGTATTTTTGCTTTTCATTTTTATTATTCCATAGAAATGAAACAACCTTTTATCTAACAAATTTATCTTAAAAATAATATATTTACTTAAAGTTCAACATTTTTTGTAAAGTCCTCAATCAGGTTTGATTTAAATTTTAAGATGAAATCCTGTCCAATATATTGAGGAAAAATGGTTTCTTTAATAAAATAAAAATCACATCATTAAATATGGAGTAAAGTAATTTCAAATAAAAGAAGCTATTAAACAAGTTGTTCAAGAAAAAATTCAATAATAATATATTTTTATGAATAAAATAATCATAAAGAAACTAACTGCAAGCCAACTTAAGAAATGTATTAATTAGAGAATTTTTCAACTTACATTTTAGTCTCTTTTAATATTTAATTTAAGTTTACTAAAGTTTCTATTTGTATTGAGAAGACCTAAGCAAAGATCAGTTTCAAAGAACTTCCCTTTGGGAGAGGTATTGGATCAATTTTTTATTATTTTTATAATTGATTAATCTACACAAAGAATTCTAAAGGAAGTGCTTATTTGTTAACTAAATATTAGTTGATTTCAGATAGCTTTTAAATGAAATATTTTGTATCCTCTATTTTATTTTTAGTTTCTTGACTTTTTGAATAAAAGATTTCAAATTATTCCTACAATTCTCTTAACCATTTAGAATCATCTTTTTTCTGGTGTTTTAATTATTCGTTTTCCAAAATAAGGGTCTACATAGTTGATTCCATTTCTTTTATTCTAAAATCGTTATTTTAATTTTTTTCTATGTTTTATTCTAAAAATTTGATTTATTCCTAAAGTGCTTACTCAACATTATTTGCATTTTTCTTACCAACTTCTATATCCTTCGTTATACGATTAATGGTATTTTAATATTGTTAAATCATCAGATTCTTTTCTTTTTTTAACGCAATAATTGTTTTGTCCAATTAATCAATATACTTCTCTTTAGAATTCATTTACTCCTTTAAAGCAGCATTTTCCATTCTAATTCTAGTCAAATCATCCCTATTTGGACTGAGTGAGGCGACATGATCTAAATGTGACTATTTTATAGAGATTGGAGAGGACTTGAAGGTCAAATAGTATTCTTACCGAATCGATAAGACGAGAGAGTTCAGATTTATTGGGAACTACAGAATTTTATTTTGTTGATTTTTTTGTACTTACATAACTTCTTTCCATACTACTGTTCTTAAAATGACCATGCCCGTAAATTATAGTCTATTAATTTTTAATCCAATACTAATGCACAAGCATCTTTTGCTTAGGCAGACAGCTTTTGGTTATGTTATTCAAGTTTTTGTTAATTTTTCTCGATTACTTTAATTAGATCAATATTCATTAATAATATGATAAAAAAGTCATAAATTAAAGAATAGAATTGCGTTTTAAGGGAATTCTTGCATGTATTTTGATTAAGAATGAATATAATATAATTAAAAAAGGCTAAGATCTAAACTTATTTTATTAATTTTTTTTTGCCCATCCAAATGTAAATAAACACTACTGAAAAAATAAAATACTCATATGGATTTTGTGAAATTGTAGATTAATAAGGGATTAAATCGAAAAAAGATGAAACTTAGATTTTGAATGAATTTATTTATTATTTATAATGGAATTATATGTGTAATTCATTCAAAGTTAGAAGAAAGATGTCTTGTCAAAAAGATAATATAAATTCTTAGCGGATGAAGCAATTACTAGTGGATCTGATTATGATTAAGATGCTAATCCATTAGAAGGTTACAAAATTAAAGAGAGACGACGCTAAGGTCAAAATCGTTATAAAAGAAGATTGCTGTCTGCAAAGCATACTATGAAGAGAAAATTTAATTTTAATTGGGATCGCATGGTCATTCGATTTCGTAGATTTTACAACAAAATAAAATAATTAGTAACACTCAAATAACCTTACACTTTTAGTCCAGATGGGTCAATGAAAATGTTATGGGATCTATTATGCTTATTATTAGTGATTTATGAGATGATAACAATACCTTTATTGATTAGTTTTGAAATAGAGATAAGTTAAGCATTTTCACGAGTAAGTACAGCTATGTTTGTATTTGATATTCTACTCAATTTTAATACAGGTGTTTATTTAGAGGGCAAATTAAATATGGAAAGGAAGGAAATATTTAAAGACTATATAAGTTTTTGGTTTTGGATAGATTTCATTTCTACATTTCCTTATGATATAATAATGGATGAATCGTCTTCTTTAGTTTAAAGTGCTAAATTAATAAGGTTACTGAAGTTTTTGAGGTTTGTGAAAGTGTTAAAATTAATAAGATTGGCAAAGTTAAAAAAAATAATAGATAAATTTGATGAAGTATTGTCAATGAGACCTGGAGTGGCAGCAATAGTCAATTTTTGTAAGTTATTTTTTTTTGTGTTATTTTTTGCTCATGTTCTTGGTTGCATATTTCATTATCTTGCATAATAGGAGCCAAGTGATGATTCATGGCTTGGAGATATCTATTTTGCTGATTGGTCAATTCGTTATGTTAATTCTTTGTATTGGGGAATAGCCACAATGACTACAGTGGGTTATGGAGACATAAGTCCTTAAACTCCTCAAGAAAGATTCATTGGAATTGTGCTTTTACTGATTGCATGTGGTGGCTTTGCTTTTACTATGAATTCGATAGGATTTGCTCTCCAAGAAATTGATGGACAGAGTAAGTTGAAAAAAGAGAAGATTAATGGCATAAATAGGTTTATGAAAAAGGCAGGCATATCTAATCAATTATAGAATAGAATTAGAAGATATATTGAATTCGTTATGGAATCGAAATCTTTAGTATTATAAGATTTAACTAATTAAGTTTAAATTGAATTAGCTAATGATTTAAGGAAATAAGTAAATGGAAAATTGCTAGGGTATTGCGATATCTTGTTGAAGAACAATTCTTAATAATTTCTAATTGAGGTTGTCTTGCCAAGTATGAAGGAAAGAGTATACAATCCAGAAGAAGTTATTTTTGATGAATTTGATTTCTAATAAAATTATGATATGTTCATTATCAAATCAGGATTAGTTGATATTTTTTATAAAAAAACTGGTATCGTTGTAGATCAAAAGAGGAGGAATGAATATTTTGGTGAAATAAGTTTTTATTCGAACATGCCTAGATCTGCAAGTTCAAGGAGTGTTAATTTCTCAAGCATATTTTAAATTTATTAAGACTAATTTTAAAAAAGCCTAAAGGAATTTTAAGATTCTTCATAAAACTCAAAAGGTCGAATTTATGATCTAGAATAGTATTATCTGATTAGAAATAAGATAGTGTTTCATAAAGATTATGGATCTATAGGTGTACGTTGTTATATTTGTTTAATGGATGACCATATCGCCAGAGACTGTGAGAAGTTACATTTTAATGTGTAAAATTAATTTTTATCTTAGATCAGCCACACACTTTATTAAATTCCTAAAATAATTCGATAAATTGCACCAAGCAGCTTATTTTCGAAGAGATAGAATTGATTTTAATGCAAGAAAATGTATATCCTAAATCAAATAGGCACAACAACGATTCGAAACATCTAAATTAATCAATCTAAATGTGAAAAGAAAGACATATTTAGAAGATCTTCTTAATAGTTATAATGTAGCAGAAGAAGATATGTTGGATACCCAATATCCTGAATATTAAATCTTTAATCTCAAATAAAAAAGTAGGATAAAAAGCATCAAATATTTGAATGGCAAAATGACACGAAAAATTACTCATGTTATTTCATATACATCTATTAGTGAAAAGTATTTAGGAGGTTTAACTGAAAAAATAGACAATTTTATATTAAAAACAAAAAAAAAAGAAATGGAAGAAAAATTTAAATAGTTGCATCTAAGTTCCATTTCAAATTTTGATTCTATTTAAGAATATACTCACTTTTATCCTGAAGGAAATTTCTCTACTGTTCTATCCTAATATTTAAGAGCTTAAGATAAAGGATTTCCTAAAATAATTGAAATTGAAACACTATTTGGTATTGAAGAATTTCAAAATTATTCTCAATACTATTGCTATAAATTAGAAATGGATGCAGAACTCAAAAATAGAAACAATAATGTCGAATTGAATTTTGAATAACTAAGATTGCTAAATATGGACAGAAGATAGAAAAAAAAAGAAAAAGTAATTAAAGATGCTAATCAATAAATACAAAAATCATTAGTATAATTAAAAGCTTATAAAGCAATAAATCGTAGTTTTAGAAATCTATTTAATAAATGATGATAAAATTAATTAACTTTTTATTTAGAATTATTAACCTACAACTATTATAGATGATTTATAATTATATGTATTAATATTAATAATTATCTTAACTCCATTTTATAATAATTCCTTTTTTTAATCAAAAAATGGATTATCTTTATAATTTGAATTGAAAGTTTGAAATTTGTTATAGTATACCATCCTATAGTTATTGGATATCTCTTCTGATTATTAGATATTTCCACAAAAAATAATTAAATCTTGTATTTATAAACTTTAAAATGCATTAACAATCCTAACTATTTTAAATTTATTCATTATTTCATAGTTACCATGTCTTTGAAAAAAAGCTCAAATCAATCTTCAGGTTAGATATTTTCTTTAATCCTAAATAGGTCCTAAATTCGTAAAAGATAATAGTTATAAATCTAGATCAGAACACAATCAATCATTTGATGGTTCATATTGCAATAATTATACAACAATAATGAGTAACAAGAGCAGATAAAAAAGTTATAGTTAGCAAAGCAACATTTTAGATGAGTTAGAAGAGGAGTAATTTCCAAATTAGATTAATGTTACAATTCAAAAAAGATAATTTGAATTAGCCTTATAGAACGAACTTCAAAAATTTTTATCAAAAATTATTGCTGGATAATAATTTTCAATTGAAGACTGTTAGATTATCATAAAAGCTATAGATGAATGTATTTCAGAAAGCATTCAAACTCTAAAATTGAAAGAGGCTGAAGTATTTATTCTGATTACAGTTTTTAGATAAAAACCATCAAATAGAGTTATGAAATGAAAATAAATCAATACGAAAATACCATATTAGCATTAGAAAATGAAATTTAAGAATTAAAACATATGATAACATTAAATCCTAACGATTCTATAAATTTCAAATTATCATAGTTAGAATAAGAAAATGAAATGCTTAAATTATAGAATTAATAAGCAATTAAATTGGCAGTTTAGGGGAGAAATAAGAAATAAGAAAAAGAACTTCTAGAGGCAATGAATAGCAATAAATCAAAACCAAAAACTCAAGTTAACAATTATTCAATTTTATTGAACCAATAGTACAATAAAATTTACCAACAAGATAAGAAAATAAAATAATAGTTATTTTGAATTTGGAATTGATATTTTCAATTAATTTTAGTACTCCTTGTCAATTAATTAGAGTAAAAGTTCTTAGATTTTTGTTGTCTCGAATTTTAATTCAAACGTTGACTTTGATATTCTATAACTTAAGGGGGTTATTCATAAGACTAATTTTCATCTGAGTCTATCCCTATCGAGTAGTCGATAAAATTTACCTAAATTAGTACTGATTTCATGACCATCCAACATATCATTCATCTCTCTTATGAAGAGACTAACAGAATCTTCTGTACCCATTATGCGATCCTACATCTCTTAATTTTCAATTTCTAAATTTCGTAACTTAATATAATCATTAAATACTTTTGAATCAAGAGTCTTATTAGCGGAATTTTTTCTTAATTCATTTTCAAGCTGAGTCAAGATCAATTCTTTTTATTTCAATTTTGATTAAAGTTCTTATTCTTTTAACTTCTAATTGGTTATGTTTTCTGTGATTTCTTGCTCTTTGATTTATAGATTTTTAATTTCAGCATCTTTTGAAGCAATAACTTATAAAAAAGATCTTCTTATTTTATCATTTTTATTTTTGGGAAATAATAAACGAACTTTTAAGAAAGCATGATGTAGATTCCTTTTTTATCTTTTTTGAATAATCATTCCAACTTATTAATATTTCAATGCTATTTAAGTAAATAACACTTTAAAATGATTAGCACTATAAGAGCTAGTTTTCTTGAGTTTTCTAAAGGCATAAAATTTTTATTAGTTTCCTCTACTATTAACAGTTAGTATTACTTTAATTTGAGTATTAGTGCTACTTTTCTCATAGAGATTTCCATCTTTAAAAATATTAATTAGTATTTAGCCATCATATTCAAAGTTTCAGCATGAATAACCTGCTCTCTATACTTACTCATTTAGGCCTCTTTTTCATCTCCCTACATTTATTATAATTTGTAATTAAAATAAATAATTTTTTATATTCCAAATTTCATAATCAGATAACAGTACCTTATTCAAACTTGAATAACCTTATGATTTTTTTGTAAAGGTCGATCACTTTGAAATGCTAGATGGTATGCAAATGAGTTTATTAATAGTGAGTAATGGTTGGTAGGGTGGCAATAATATTCAATCTTCATCAACTATATAAGAAATAATTTTGACGGTTTTGTAAAATGAGGAAGGGGGAACAAAATTTCACACTTTTTGGTTTATATTTTTGGATTAATAACTTAAATTTTAATATAAAAAATAAAAGATAAATGAGTGCACAGGTTTTATTTCGTGTTGTGTGTCCAACTTAACTTTCTCAAACTGTAATAATAGTTGGAAACAATTCAGCATTAGGCAATTGGAATCCTTTAAATGGATTTAAATTGAGCACTAGCCCGGATACTTATCCAGTTTGGATGAATGAGGATCCTTTGGAAGTTGAGCCAAGTAGCTTTATGTATTAATCGCTAGATGAAATTTTGGAGTTCAAAATAGTTATAAGTGATGGAATAAATTTCTAATGGGAAATCGGAGCAAACAGATTGATACAAATCTTAAGTCAAAAGATGGTAGTGATCTTGACTTTTGATTAACAACCCCTTATTATTCATAATATCAGAAGACTGTTCTCAAATACTGATTTAACTAATATTACTGAGTGTATTTTACTTAATTATATTTAGCCAACGCAAGAAAGATTTCAATATAGTTACAAGAGAAATTGTATGACTCCGATGAAGACTCAGTAATACTTTAAATCATATTGATTAGGATCAAGAATTAGAGAGTGATGAGAATTCATAATTTTATGATGAGGAAACCTCATTGATTTCGAATGAGCAATATTAATGCAGTCCAAAAAAATAATCTAATACTCAAGAATGCCAACTTTAATTTGGATGTCTCGATCTTTGATCTCCTCTTGTATTGATAATTTACTAATTAATGCAAAAATCAAAATTAATTTAAATTTTAGAAATTTCCTAGAATATAGATATAGAAAATTCTAAACCAATTAATATTGTCTATTTTAAGAAACACATTTTAAATGGCAATATAATTATTATTAAATTTCAATCTTTTTTACGATTACATTAATTTTATTATCTTACTACATGCCTGTATAAATCTACTTTAAAGTCAGATGCGAGACACATTCATCGCAGGAACTTAGAATCGTTGGAGATATTCAAGCCTTAGGCATGTGGAATCCATTTAATAGTTTGATTTTGCACACCAACAATGAAATATACCCTTTTTGGGTAGGTTAAGTGTATGAGGACCTAGAATAAAGTAGAATTAAATGTAAATAGTAGATACTTTGATACAATTTAAAGCAGTCATTATTGAAAGCGATGAAATTATTTGGGAATAGAGCGAAAATAGGGCCATATAAATCAGATATTAATCATAGAGTGTCCTCTTTTCTTTTAGTGGTACATTCACATAAATGGTGAAAATCTAATCATATTATGATTAACCATCCGATTCGGAATCAGAATCAATTGATATAAGTAAATTTTTATATTTATAAAAAATAAGAGGGGGCAAGGAAAATTTATCTCTAAACTTCTAAACATCCTTATGATTACGAATTCGTGAGTTCAGTATAAAACCTAGTTTAATTAGGACTCTGGGAAAGACCTGGGCGATCATTCAAGTTCTAAAAATTCAAGTCTAAATTCTAAGTCTTCTAGTTGGGAATAGTTGGACAATCAAGAGACCTCTTAAACAAAATTTGTTCATATTTCGAGTTTTAGATTCTGATTATTGCATAAATATCATCTTGCATCTGTCTTTAATATTTTACAGTTTTACTTATACTCAAATAATTATTTAAATTCTTAATTATTTTTAATGGTGCTAATGAAAAAATATTCTCAGTTTAAATATTAAAAATAGAAAAAATAATTTCGCCTTTTAGATGTCATCCTAATTTTTTTGAATTAAAAATTCCTTTAGATTGTTATTTAAAATTTTCAAGAGTCATTTTTCTCCTCATATTAATTTCTTCCAATTTTTATTTTGAATTAACTCACTCTTTCAATTTAAATCACCCCTAAAATTTATACAATATATACCTTTCTCTTCTAAATCAAATGTATTTGCAATTAATACTTAATTAAATGAGCTTATTATGATAGCTCCTTGGCTATGCATTTTCAAATCAAGTGTTAACTTTCTTTAAGTTGCTTTTATATTTTAAAGTACACATGCATTCCAATTATTGTGATCAATCCTTTTTACTTATAAAATGTAAAAAGATAAAGGAAAATATAATGTTAATACTTTTAATTTTCAATTGATTAATTATAGAAGCCATTTATTATGTGATAATAAGTAATATATAACATCATAAGGGTTTTAATAAATATAAATATTAAAATTTTAAGTATGTCAACTACTTTGGAAAGCTAAATATTATAGGCATTATGGACTATGTATTAACGAAATTAGATTTCTATGGAGTAAAAAGGATATGTAAAGGGTACTTTTTAAATTTTATAAAGATTTATTAATTAGGAAGGATAATAATTTATATTAGACTGTTTGCAGGTGCAAAACATAAGATTAACTAGAAGAAAGGCTGCTTGAGATTCTGAATTGTATTTATTTTTAATTTTTTTTGATTAGGGTTCTCCAAGAGACCTTGATGCTGAAGAAAACTCATATCCACTTGTCAGATTGAGCAATTAATCAAGCTCTACAACTACTTCATTACCCCAATGTCATTATCCTGAGAAAAGGTTCAGATTTAAGAGTTCAAATGATGAAAGTGATACTACTTACAATTCTTACAAGGTCAGATCTAACTCTTAACATCATAAATGAATTCATGCCATATTATTTGATTATCTTAGACTTAAACTTAACAAATAATTTATTTTCAACAATACAATATTCCTAATTGATTTAATTATTTTAATAATCGATATTAGTAAGTTAATTTATGTTTTGCCAATCAATATTTATTGGGAAAATTATAGAACAAAAATAATGAGCTCCATAATTGAGGAGCAAGTTGCTTAAACTAAGCATTTCTTTGTAGGAATTAAGTTATCAATTTTATGATTAATCTAAACTATTTATAAAGAATAAATTGGTTTTAATAAATTATTCTATTCTATTCCTTAGAATATCGAAAAATTGACTACATCTATCTATTTTTTATTGATAATTTTCCCTTGAAATTGGACATAGTTATTAATTTTATTATATAAATTTTTGTTTATTATACATCAATTACTCCAGGTCAATTTTATTCTTCAATTTAACTACTCCATTGATAAATTTTAGATGTTGATTTCATTCCATTGAATCTTGATTTTGGCCCAATAGTGTAGCTTCCCATACCTTACACACAAAGCCAGTCTCCAACCTACATATCATTAGGTAAAGCAATATTCTTAACAATAATATCACCACCATCACATGTCATTCCAAAAATGGAGGAATTAGATTGATCTGAATTCTAAGTATTTAAGGACTCATCTGAATTGAGAACACTATACAATTAATCATTTTCATTTTCAAATGAGATACCATCCATAAGAACACAATTGAAAGAATGATATAAAGATTCATTTACATGGTAACACAATCTTCCATGTTTAATTCTTTTAGTCATAATTCTAAATAAAAGATAACATGTGTTAGCACTAAAATGTCTTCCAGGTTCTGCAATCACTTAATATCCTAAAGGATCATTTTAGGTTTTTAATAATGCATTAATTATATTATTCTGAATATATCCAGTAGGAAAACCACCTCCTACATCTAATAATTCCATCTTATGTCCATACAATCTTCCTATTCTCATACATTCTTATGCCAAATCAATAGCCTAAAGATAATTAAATTAGGTACTTTTCCAAACGAGGATGATCCTTAAACAGCACTTCCACAATGGAAATTAATACCATATAATTGAATTCCCATTTGTTGAATTTACTTAAACCTTTCATGAGCAACATCTGAATTAGGTATATCATCCCCAAATTTACCAGAAAAAAGGTTGGCCAATTTTTCTGGATTTTCTTCAACAATAGATATTCTCCAGAGTATCTTCATCTCTGGTGCTATCCTTTGGATCTTGATTAGTTCATCAATGGTGTCAGCACTCGTTATTTCGACTCCAATGCTCTTGGCATAGTAAATATCTTTTTCCTCCTTCACTGGATTGCTATAAACAATCTTTGAAGCAGGAACTCCATAATTGATCACCGTTTAGATTTCCTAGGATTTCATAAATAATTTACTCCTTTAGAGGCACAGTCAAATGTCCCATAAGGACCATTAATGATATCTTTTAATATATACTCTATAGGGTTGCTCTTAAATGCATAATATGGTGTAATCCATGGAAGAGTTTATTTCCAAGAACTTACCTTATTTTTAAGTTCATTTGAATTATATATCATAAATGCGTGGCCATAGGGATCGATTTTAACGTAATTAAGAAATTCCTTCTACTATGATAAGTTGAGCTATCGATTATCACAACCTAAAGATGATTTAAATATTACCTTTTAAGAAGTACAATCTAAAACCTTAATTGCTACTTAAATTAAGTTACTAGGGTCCTGTATGGTGTTTAACTTTTGGTACAATTTTCAGATTTTGTAAACAAACGGGGCAAAATTTTTAAGCAAATTGAGTTCCACATTTTATACATTGATTAGTTGGTGGTTGTTCACATAAACATTGTTGACATCTTATCAATGTGACGTTATATTAATTCACGATTTCTGTTGTAAATTCCTCGGAATTTTTTCCTTTATTATTGGCATCATGGCAAAGTTTACAGGGAAAGACTTCACCTTGGGATGTAGCCTACTTCTCATTATTAGATGTTTAAGGTATCATTTTCAATAATGAATTAAAAATAAGATTAATTTCTGGATCGAATTATCAACACATCATTTTCTATATTTTGATTATATTGAGATAGATAAATGTAAGAAATATAGAAAATTTAAGGAAGTTTTAAATTCATGATAAAGTCTTTGATTCTAGGATCAAATAAGGATAGCTTTTGAATAGCCTATGCATTTGAGGATAAAAATTGGAGGAACAGAAGTTTTAATGAATATTTGCGTTGACATTGCAGAAATCAATATCTTAAATCTATAATCCACATCATGATCGTAATCACTCTTTTCCATTTAGTGTAACAATTCTTATTGATTAGTGTCTAGATATCCTAAAATACTCTTAGGTGAGAATAGATTTAGAGTGAAAATACACCATAACTAAATGCTATTAGAATATTGATTATATTATTATATTAATTAATAAATGAATTCAATATAATATAATAAATTATATAATAGAATAATAATCATTTAAATCAATAATTTCATAGAGAGGATTATCAGTCTAGAGAAAGATTAAAGTTGCAAAATAAATTATGTAGTCTCATGATATCGCTAAAACACATTTAAATAATGAAAATTCATTTTATTCACCACGTACCATCAAATAATTCTTCTCGAAGGCTTATTGAATTCTTCAATAGCACCAATCTTAGCTTGATTTAGATTTAGATTGACATAAGAAGTAACCATTTTGGGTATATTTAAAGTAGCTTTTATATAGGAGAAAAACCTAGGTTTAAATTATTTAAATTTTTGAACTTAATCCATATTAAATTTTCTTCTCAGGTAGCTTTAACATATAATTTTAAAGCATTAATAAAATCATAGTGTATTTAAAAGCAATAGCATTTATTTTAGCATGAATATAGAGAATCACTACAATTTTGAATTTTAATAATCTGAGTTAGTTATAAAATTTTAGGTGTTCATATGAAAATGCAAGAGCTAGATTTAAGATTTAAATGATTTGTAATTAAAAGATTGCATAATAAACGATTTTTTTTGATTAAATTATATGAATTTTGGTACATTTTGAAGAAATATATTTATCACATTTTTTCAGGTAAATTAAAGGGTTAATTATTCGGATGCTCAATAATTTTTACTATGATTAAATATTTGCAATAGATGGGATTGAATTGAAGAAGAGTTATTCTAGTAGAATCACTGAAATTTAAATGTGAAGAATTCTATTTCAATAACAAAAGCTGGATTGCTTAACTTAAATTTTACTCCATGATAAAATTAACTTAAGCAATCAGTTCTTTCTAAGAAATGAAGGGAAAGAAAGGATGGATCTAAATGGATGAGAATATTGGTAGTTGGAACATTTTCTGAAATAATGTTCAAAATGAATTAAATGTGGAATGAGTTCTAAATTAGTCAATTGAACTAAAGATAATGGTCTTGGTATTTAACAAAAGACAATATTATTATTCTTCAAAATGAATAACAAAATCTTCTCATTTTAAAACACAAATACATTGGCTCAAGCATTAACCAATAAAATTCATGAATTAGAGTACCAATCGAAAAAAGGTGTCAAATATCCTTTTGGAAACAATGAAGACTTCGTGGGGATAGGGCAAATGATTTTAGAGTTTTATTTTTCGGATTACCTGATATAAAGAGGGTGGGTATTAATGAAATTAAGCTTAGTTATCCGAACAAAGAAAGTTAAATTAAAAAGTCAAGTGATCTTGTGCTGCTCAGATAAAGACTATTGAGTGAGAGGAATCTAGCTGACGTAGCATTAAGTTATAAGATTGACAATATTGTTCAAGTTGGTAACTAGATCAACTTAAAGTAAGAAATTGTTTAAATGGTAGAAAAAACCCAAAGATACTAGCAGAAACACTCAAATCAATAATCGCTGCCTAGTATTACGATTCTGGTTATGACTTAGATCATTTAAGAGAAGTTGTTTAACCTATACTCAAATAAGTTTTGGATAAGTATATAATTAAACTATTTCAACTAGAGGATAAGGTGTCCCCATATTAGAGCTTAAATAAAATCCGAAATCGGCATTTTTAGAATTTGTCAATGGGTGCACTAATTTGAAACCAAAGGTTTCTGTAGAATGGAAGAAGGATGCCTCTTAGAATGGAAACCCAATAAACGTCTACTAAGTGTAGTTGGAATTGAGCAACTTATTGTCAATAACTAGAGTGGGAATCAATAAGAGAAATACTGAATAAATAGTGTATAGAGAAGCATTAAAAAAGCTTAAATAGATTTAAATAAACTAATCCAATTCATTAGAATAGCAAAATTACGAAACTCAACCATTAAAAATTAAAAATTAAGATAAACAATCAACAGAAGAAATTACCATTTTAGATGAATTAGATACTTCTGCAATAGAATCGAGTTAATTTTACTAATTTTCGGATTTAAGAGATGATGATTTAAGTTTATTAGAAAACTAAGTTACTCTAGGATAAAAAGTGGAATCCCTTTTGGAAAAGTTTGCCTTATGATTATAATTTCATTTATCACTCCAATTCATAATAGAAATGGATGCTCTTTACATTATTTCCAGCTCAATCTTTCCTTATGATTTTTATTGAGCATTCCTCTCAACAAATCGTAGAATTAATCATCAAATTCGGATTTTGGATAGCTGATTTCTGTAGTATTCAACAGAGATAGGATCTCTATGGGACTTTTGAAATTTGATTCAGGATTATGATAAGGATGTTTACCAAAGGCAAGTTCATAAAATATTACTCCAGCACTCCAAACGTCCAAAATTTCTAAGTTTTCTGTTTGCTAAGAGCTTAATTATTCTATAGCCATATAAAGGAGACTCTTGTTTATTATTGATTTTACCTGCCTTATCCTAAATAATCTAAATTAGAGGGTACATTGTCAAATTGCTCTGAAAATTCGATCATTTCTTAGCTTTCGTAGGGTCTCAGGGCAGTAGATAAGCCAAAATCTGAAATTTTGATACTATTTCCAACGATCAAAACATTTTAAGGTTTCAAGTCCAAATGGCATACTCCCTTATATACCTTCTCATTTTGAAATTGATTAATGACTTCTAATTCAGACATATACAAGAAAGCACTGACCACTTGTCTTATAAGGCTTTTCATTTCTTCTTCTTTAATTATCTCTACAATAGAATATAAAAATCTAATTTACTATTAGTATAATATTGATCTAAAGTGCTATTTGCCAGTTCCATGAACAGATAAATAGAATTGTTGGTTTCCTAAACACAATGCAATTGTATGATATTTGGATGTTTAAGACCTTATTAGATGGCTATTTCTCTCTTAATTCTTTTTTTAATCAATTCCCTTCATTACTATATATATAGTACTTATTATATTTATCCCTTGAGTTGATGTATGACTTTGATATTATCTTCACTGCAACTTTGAGTTTATCCGATTTCCTTTCCCCAACATACACTTCGCCCATTGCGCCAGTACCCAGTTTCTGATTTAAAAATATTTGATAATCTCCCACTACTTTATATTGATTCATTTTATTATAATTAAATGTAGAATAGCATAGATGAATTCGAATTTAGGATGAACGAGTTTTCAGAACTCTTGAAATAGGATTTGTTTTCCAAGGACGGAAACTAGAAATTGCAAAGTGATTGTAAATATTTTGCCAACCTATTTGCTGATTTGCTGAGAGAAAATTATAAATTGAAAGATTAGATCATTGAACATCTGCGACAAATTTCAGGTAATGTTCAAAAGTAAATAAGTTTACAGAGAAGAGCTTTAAAAGATAACATTTGATGTCAATTAAACAACGAATGAAGATAGAAAATTTTCAAAAGATATGGCCTCAATTGAACTGTTAGTTAAGTATCTGGTTGAAGACTAACGATACTTCTATATGCAGAAAGAAAAAATGATAGGTGCTATGAAACAGAAGGAAAAAGAATTTGAAATGTTAAAGGAACAACATAGTTAGTAAATTAAGGAGCTTGAATAGTTGATGATGAATAAAAAAAATAAATGGAAAAATAAATTTAAGAAACAAGTTTAAGATGGACTGGATAATGTCTAATAGATATCACTCTTGGAAGACAAAATATTGCAACTGAATTCAGAAATAGAATAGCATTAATAGAATATTTTGAGTTATGAATCTGAATTAACAAGGAAGGATCTCAAATTGCAGTATTACTAAAAGTTAGAATAAGAATTCTAAACAAAATAGACCGACATTGATATTAAACATGATTTTGCAATCAAAGAATTATACAAAAAACATAAAAATGAAATTAAAGAATAAAAAATACAATATGCAAACAATCAAAAACAGTTGTAAAACAACTATGAAGACAAATTTTAAATTTTGTAAAAAAATGCTGAAGTTTATCAAGTCTAATTGGAATAAAAAACTAATGAATTTTTAAAACTCTCAAGTGAATACGATGCCTTGATTCAATTGTACAAAGAAAACAAAGAAAAATATAGTATTGTTGTTTAGGATCTAGAGAATTCAATTCAAACATAGAAATAGGAGAACCAAGAACTCTTAGAAAAGTATACCAAATTAAATGAAGAACATGATTTAACTAAGAAATAGCTGAAAATTTCCAAGGAAGAAGTTTTTAGATAGGCTAGTGACATTCAAAATCAGTAGAAGGAAATCAAATCACTCCAATTAAATGTATAAAGCTTAGAAAATAAAATGAAAGAAAAAATAGAAAGATTTTAGAGATTACAAGATTAAATGAAGGCGGATCATAATAAATAACTTTAGAAGACTAAAGAAGATATGGAGAAATAATCTGATAATAGATTGAATTAATTTTAAAAAAATGCACAAGAATAGTATGAATTATTAACTCGGCAGAAAAATACAGAAATTAGTAGATTGAAAGGATAATTGGATTCCTCTGTAAGTAAGTTTGAACAATATGAGTTGATACATAAAGATCAGATATCTAGGCTAGAATAGTAAGCTTAAAATAAGCAGGTAGAATTTAATGAAAAGATAGCAAAATTAAAAGAAGAATAAAGTCTCAAAGATATGGTTATAAAAAATAAGGATACAGAAATATAGTAGTTGCAAGCTCGCATTCAACTTTAAGTTGATGAATTCAAGATGCAAGTAAAGGAAGTAGAATGCAAATTTTAGGATGAAATTATCGTTCTAAGAGATGGAGTAGAAATACTTATCAAATCTGCTAAAAAGCCATTAGAAGATAAGGTTTTAAGTTTAACAACGTCTTGTGAATAAAAATAAAATTAATTAGGTACTCTGTAGAATCAATTGAATTAACTACAATCTAAATATATCGATTCTGAATAAAAAAGTCATGAGAGAATTATTTAATTGTAAGATGAAATTAATATGTCATTGAATGTTTTTAATAAAATGAATGACAACTTGACAACAAAACTATAGAGGATGATGGAATAAACCAAACAAATTCAATAAAACTATATTATCTTGAGTGAGCAAGTCTAAACGAAGAATAATGAAATACTCTCGTTATAATAGGAAATTAAAAATAAGGAATAGACAAGATAGTAGGAGAATCATAAACATTAAAAATTAGTTAAAGAATTACAAATATTTATTGGAAATAAAGAAATTGAATTAACACAATTAAATAATTAATACATAGAAACTCTTGGGATTACTCAGGAGTTGAATAACAAGATATAGACTATCAATAATCAAAATTAGTAAGAAAAAGAAACTCTAATGTAAGAGATAACGAAGAAATAAAAGGAAATAACTCAAAAGTAAGAAGAAATTGCACAGACAAAGAAAAGTGCTTAACAATAATAGTAACTGTTTGAACAATAATTGAATAACTAAAAATATAATTATGAAGAACAGGTTAAGAGTTTGGAGAAAAATTAAATTAAATTGGAGCAAATTGATAAAGAATAGTAAACCGAAATAGAATTGGATGGTGTGATTTATTAAGATAATGAATAATTGCAATAAGCTCTGCAAGAAAAGGAATAAGAAATCTTGAAGGAGGTCGAATTAAATCATTAGAAGGAGAAGGCTGAATTGATAATTAGATATGAATAAATAATAGATTAATTATCATAGGGAACTTAACAAGAGGGAAATGAAAATTAGGAGTAAAGAAAGCCTATAATTTAAATAGTTGAAAAAATAGTTTATAGAGAAGCTCCAAAAAAAGAAAGTAATATTTAAGGATTAGATGTCATTGTGAAATAATGTTAAACAGAATTGGAAGAGGCTAAGGAAAAAGCATTGGCAGAAAAGTAAGAGAGTTAGGAATATGTTAACTAATTGACTCTTAAATTTCAGGATATTTTAAAAGAAAATGAGAAAGAGTTAGAAGACATGAATGAGTAGGTGTAGATTTTGAAAAATTAAATAACTTAATTGAAGAAAGACAATAATATGTTGAAATAGGACATGATTGAATAGGAATTAAAATATCAATTGTAAATTTAATAGATGAAGGAGTAAAGTGATGTGCAATTAAATACATTAACTGAGACTTGCAATTAGGAAATCGAAGAATACAGAAAGAAGTACGAAGAGAAATACGCTCAATTTGAATAATTAAGGAAATAATATTCGGAAAGATTGGCAAGACCTGATGACACTGAGACGATCTAACGTTTACTTAAAGATCATCAAGAGTTATATCACTTAGTAATAAATGCTTATGAAAAAGTAAAAGAAGCAGGAGATATAATAAAATATTTAGATTTGGAAGTACAGAATTACAAGAAGGCTAATGATATCTTTGGAGGCTCGTAACTTGCATCTCAACCACCTCCTAGTCTGAGCACATAGAAAATGCTTTAGAGAGTAGCTTAAATTAAATAGGATTTAGAAGTCACTTAGAATAAGATACAATCCAAAAAATCTGATAACACTTTAGCAAGAGAAAATACAAATAATTAAGAAGAGAGACAATTGTCACATCTATCAGATTATTCAGAATTGAATTCTAAGTTATAATTAGATCCAAAGTTGCCACCAAAAAGGAAAAAGCTTCCTAAAATGATGACATCAATGAGATCCAATTTAAGTGATGCATAGCCATCCTCTTAAAACTAGACATCAAGATAAATAGAGGAGAAACCAGAAGTTCCCCTATTTAAGTTTGATTAAGATGATTAAGTAATAATGGAGGCACCAGTGTCCTTTAATGCTTTTGTAGATTAACGACAACATGGAAGCTAGATGTCTCAGCAAAGACAAAATAAATACACAGTCTATATAGAAAAGAAGAAAAAGGATATGATTAACATCTCCGATATCGTTTAGTAATAATAGGCGAGTCCTGCTGAGTCCAGATATACAAGAAGAAGACAAGAACTGTCATAGTAGTAGCAATAGTAACCAAAAAAGTTTGTGCCTTATTATTTAAGAAATCCAGAAGTGCAGCCGAGATTTAAATCATAGAAGAAAGATTCATCCTTCAAATTTAATTGATTTTGTATTATAAATTTAAATTAGATTTCATTATTAAATATATATAAAATAAGATGTTCGGATGTCACTTGAAATAATAATATATCATTTTGAATTTGCCTATTTCAGATTGTCATTCAATATTTTTTTGTAAGAATACCCATTAAACAAATATCCATCAGCTTTATAAAACTTGTTCTGAAACTCAACCCTTTCATTAAAGTATACAGTACCAATGCAAACGAAGAGCATGCAAAAAGCATTCCATAACATCCATAGTCATTAACACTCCAAAAGTAAGCAAAGCAAAGACGATATAAAAGTATCCTCCCAATAATCCCCCCAAGACGCCTCCAGCATCCAATTTGCCAGCCAAACACATGTCGTAGAATACTTCAGCCAATTGTCCATGTGCCAATGATAAAGCCCAAAGACGAAGGTATGATGCTGTATTGCTGATTCCTCCTAATACAAATTCAATGGTTTCAATCATTTAATGAACCCAAATCTCACCTGAATCATGTTCCTCTTTGCCCTGTTCAGTGAAGCTTCTGAGATTGGCTGCATTTTGCAAATCACTTTGAAACTACTAATTATTGTCTTCATCTTATTCAGATACTTATTTTTCCATCACTAAAGGTTAATATTGAGAATCAGACATAGAAACTTTATTATTGTCGTGTCTGGAACCCAAAATCAATGGTTTGGGAAGAAGCATCCAAGGTATACAGATGACAGCAATCAATGTTAAGATTTGTGTTACTCTTAATTAAAACTAAGGATCATTCGGAAACACAGGATTCGCAGGTTCATCAAATGGTTTCAAGACTTAGTTGATCATAGTTTCAATAATGCTTGGATCAGTATTATTTTCGTATGTATTCAACCATTTGACTATTATAATGAAATCCATCCATCCAAAGGTACAAATCATAAATAATAGTTGAGGAATGAATTCACAATAGAAATCTAAGTAGTTTTTAAAAAATAGGGTATTGACTCCTTTCATTAGAATACCAAATAACATATGGATCACACCCAAAATGACAGATAGTTTCATTTTATAAGAATTCATGAAGTTCAAACTAGAACCAGAAGCTTACCAAACTGGGTCAACTCCAAATGGATAAACACAATCTTTTGATTCTCTCTTCCATTCTTCATTTTCTGGTGAATAACAGCTGCCAAACAGATTCAAAGATATCGATAGATAATCATTATAAATGAATCCATTATAAAGTGCAAAGAATCCCATCAAGATGATTAAATATCTGAAGGGTATCATCTAATTGAACATAGAATCTGTTTACTTTTAGAGAGAGTTCCTCCAAAATATTAGATATATTCCGCATAGAAATAACATGAATCCATGAGCAATATCTGCAAACATGACTCCAAATAGGAATGGGAATGTGATTATGGTAAATAAACCAGGGTTGACTTCTTGATATCGAGGCACTCCATAAGTATTCACGATTTCTTAGAATGGCATAGTGACTTCATTCAAATTGAAATATGTAGGAGGAGTATATGGGTATGGTTTCATTTCTTGAATTTAACCAGTAGGGTAATGATCTCGATTATTTTTCATAGCATTTCTAAGTTTTTCTTCAACCACAAGTTCCATTCCCTCTGGTAACCAAAAATACCCTGTAAAGATTGATCCTCTCATTGTTAAGTAATTTAAATTTACATAAAGATACTTCTCCTTCAATACATATAAACGCATGTATTCAAAATATGAGCAATTACATCCTTATTTCTACAATACTAAACCATCTAATGATTTCTCCAATTATTGCTTTGTCATTTCTATTAAGTTCTTGGCTTCCTATAATTACTAACTCAATTCAATCATCTTTTTTTGCATTTCATCCATCGAGTTGGGATACTCGATTCTCTATCTATTGAAGGAGTCACACACCTTCATCAATTTCATCCTAAAAGAACTTGACTCTTCAGCTCCAGGATACACAATTACAAAGAGACATCTTGGTTAAGATGCATTATTCTACATATATTAATTGTATACTTAATTAAGGTGAAATGATTTTCTCATTGAATTGTCTATTTATTCGTTATTTAAATCTTTTATTTAAACCCAAGCGTTGCCTTTGGTCACTCTAAATATAATTCTTTTAAATCTGACTTCCTCTTCTTTATCAATTACGCCTATTATTTAACCAAATTTTAATTATTAATAATCATTTACATTATGTGGTGTTTATCTAGTTTTTAATAAAAATAATAAGGTTACTATTAGAACACTGATTAGCCCAGAATTTCCTTTGCATTTTCCAAGACCAATTTTTATTCTGTGATGATATTTACTCTATCCAATAGATTTTGCAAATTAGCAGATTATTCTTGAATTTATATTTTTTTTTGGTCTATTTCTTACTCCAACTCATCAAAATAGGTATGACCTGGCTTCATTCTATCATATTGAACTTAATGGAAGTAATCTAGTAAACTATCTACATTTTCACAATAAATCAGATCTTTTTTGAATTCCTTTAAAAGCTGCTCTAGACAACTCAATTTAAAAATGGAATCATCACATCTTGTATTGATTAAATTTATCGATACCTTTTCACATAATTAGCAAATGGTCTGCTGATCATAGGTAATTGTGGATCATAATCTACAAAATGCAACTAATCTAATCTTGCTAATTCATTCATTACAACCCAAGCACTCTCTCTTGGAATTACTAAACTATAATATCTCATCTATTTAGACCTAAAGAAACTCATTTTAATATTATATTTATTGAATGTATTAAACATTTTATCAATCATCATCATCGTCTTCTTTCTTAATTTGAATTTTCGCCATCTATTCCTATAATTTCAATTCATCCTCTTCTGAAGCAGGCACTTCCTTTTGAATTACTATTTCAGCTGTTTTCATAGATTCTACCGCTTTCAAGATTTCCTCAGTATATCCCCCTGGAATCTCTATATTAATAGGTGGCCTAATCTCACTATTGTAATGATTACCAGAATTTTGTCAAATTAGCGACTTTTCCTCCATATTACTCTTCTAATTGATTTGCAGGGATTCTCTCTTAAATTTTGGTATATTCATTAGGCTTCAACATTTATACTTTTTCCATTGTATCAGCATCAGCAACAGCTTGATATCAATATAATTTCAATACCAGATACCATCTTCCATGAAAAACTCAATGAACTTGAAGGATTTAATAAATATAATTTGTCCAAACAACCACAAAAATTGACTTGCATAGTTTTTGTTGCAATTTGAATAGCCTATCATATAGATATTATTACTTTAAATGGAAATTTGGAAAGTCCTAATTTTTTAGTATCCATTATGAATACCCAATTTTCAATTTTTCCAGGAACAAAGCAGTTTTTCTTGATTATACCGAAATAGTAGCTTAATGCATTGATGTAGACCTCTTCATTAAACTAAAAGTTAACTAAATTATTCACCTATTTCAAATTGACCAATTCAAGATTCATAATTATGATGGGTCGTTGCTATTTGTCTCTTCCAAAGGTGTATACAATGCCTTTTTGTAAAAATGCAATATTGATATCAGTGGGTTAGAAATTGTTTGGCACTGCTCTCCAGACTAAATGAGATTGTAAGACTTTTAAGTAATTCTTATCTTTAAATTTGCCACAATAAACCATTTTCAGAGTATCACTGTCTTGCCAACTATAATGGGGATATCAATTAGATTTACTCTGCTGGCAATTGTATTTTATTCTTTGCTACTATCTTCATAAAATCAGCCATCTTCTCTTTTTCATAAGCATCATATGGCACATTCTCCCAAATTCTTCTCTAACTCTTAGATCTCTCTCTCCTCTTTATATATTATGCTAGAGTAATCAACAGTATTTATACGATCATGCACTATTGCATCGATCAAATATTAAGCCGGTTTTAGATATTCAAAATTCAGGGCCACCTATTGTTATAGCATATTAATTTTATTTAAAAATGGGAGCTTTTTAAATTGCACTCATTTCAATCATAGTCTTTAGTTCCATTCAATTTGTCTAATATGTCCTTGTAATCACTGCATATTTGCTACTTATTCAGAATTAAATCCCGTACTTGAGAACTAAATTCTTATTAGTAACATTAGTGGCATTGCAAAACATAGGAATGATGTTAGTAAATGACCATTAGAATTCTAAAATTGTTAATAATACAACTTGCACCATATAAGTAAATTTGATGCATTAATCCTAGGCACTCATCATTCATGGTACTCAATTATCAATTTATACTCTCTTTTTGTGCATAACATATTCTAAGTGTAGAAAAGAATTGAATGAAAACTCAATAATTAGCATGACACTGGTAACTCTGTCGTTTATGATAATGTAAATAAAAAGAATTCATTTAAGCAAGTCCCCTTATAATGCATTAAACGCGACCAGGTGAACTTTTATGTGAATTTGATTAACCAACCAAAGTTATACTAAGTACCATCTGTAGCTATATAATACTGGTGGTTTTACTTGTTAGTCCACTACTTACAATTAATAAAATCGACTCTTAGTTGAATAAGTTCATTATCATTTTCACTATTACCTAAATAGTTGAAGTAGTTAAGAATACAGTTGACATCAGCGAGTTGGAATGTATATATTATATTGGTATATAAAGTGGCTGGGTTGTTTTTTATTCAGATACGAAACTTCTTATTCATGCTGTTGTTTTAGATTGAAACAAAAGATGCCTTGTGTGGATATTGCGGATTGACGAAAAAGCCAAAGAAAAGCAAATAAAATCTAACAAGATAGGAGGAATGTATTCCAGTAAGAGAAAATGAAATGACATATAAAATTTGACTATTTTATTTATGTTTTCATTTTTTATTATTCGAATTCTCTTTCTGAATAACAATTTTGAATTCATCCCAACTCAATGCACCATCGTTGTTTAAATCTGCAAACTAAACCATTTCTCTTAATTCCTAATCAGTGTACCTTTCAGAAACCAATTCATTTATTCTTTTGAAATCTTCATAAGTAATTTTCCCTTCTTTTGATGAATCAAATTATTTGTACAAATCTGTCAATACTTCTTCATCCTCAATCGAACTTCAGATTAAATCACAAATACCCTTAAAATCCGAATATCTACAAAAACTCTTCAAAATCAACTTGTCTTGATCCATCCTGATCGAGATCTTGAATCATATTGACGATATCCTCAATGCTCTGTTCCATACCTAAAGCCACAATGGCATTTTTCAATTCATTCGGTCTATAGAGAGATAATATGTCAAAATTGTTACGAGATAGCACCACTCTTATCATCATCAAAAATATCAAAACACTCTTTTATTTTGATGACATCCTCCTTACTGAGTCCAGGCTTAACATATTTTTATGGGTCAAAGACATTGACTTGTTGTGGTTGTTCATCTTATTGTTCTGTTGGTTTTACTCTTGGTAGAGGAGGATGTCTAATAGGTTTTTGAGATGTTTATTATTAACTTAGCTTGCTGCTCATTAATATTAATTAATGACAAGAAAAGCTAAAATTTAGGATATCAATAAATTAAGAACCCAATTGAACAGAAATTCATGCGCATTCTTAAAGTGAGAATTATTAATATTGACAAATTACCAATTTATATCATTGTTCATCTTCTGTAAGAATCATATTAGGAATTCCATTTGTGATGGGATAATTTCTTTTGCAGGATGGATTGGGACAAGTCAATTGGCCATCCATTATATGAGTCTACATTAAATTCTTTCTTTAAATTATTACCTCAAATAAAACTCTATGCAAGTCTTTCAAGAAGCCTAAGTCTTATTCCACATTTGCAGGAATCTATTTGGGGAATTGCTTGAATCCAAGCTATCTCATAATTCACTGTCTTACTTCTCTGACTGTATTGGATAATACCTCAAAATCAAGCTTTGGAATTAACTTTAAAATTGCATCTTTTTTGAACTCTAATTCCATAATAACACTCTTATTGACTTCTATCTTAAGTGGATAATTGTTCTTATCGCACTTATTACACATCAGTAAATTATGAACCAACAATCTCATATTAATTAATATTTATATATATTTTATTGTATTTTGTTACTTAATCAGAAATAAGTATTCTAATTCAATCTCATCCTCATATTTTAAATCAAAAATGATACCAATGAAGAAATACCATCAGTTATATTAATTAATTAACCATCTGAATAATATTCCTATTTTTGAGTCGTAGGGAATGAAGAATTTGATGAAAATATTCATTGAACTTGTATTATTGCAAACATAAATAGTTTATTTTAATTTCTTCAAAATGATTTTATAAAAAAGAGAAAAATTTAGATGTAGTATTAGAAGAGAAGCCTTAGAAAATCATTTCAAATTGGCAAGAGAAAAAGCCCATCAGAGCAACTCTAATTTACAACTAATTCAAAAGTATGAATAATTAATACAAGCTAATGTAATTGATACCGATTTCTTTGAAGAATCTATCCTTCTCCTAGAAAGTACAAATGACGAAGATCTTATCGTCATCATTCTAAGGTACATCGAGAAATTCGACCTCTCAAATCGGTCATAACAATTGTCTGATGCACTCATTAAATAGTTAAATAACACTAAAATTAATAGTTTATAATTTTATGTAAACTATTCATGAATAATTAGCTAATTGTATCGATAACCAACATTTTATCAATCCAAGATCCAGAAACATTCACATAATATGTTTAATTTAAATTGTTGACAACTGTCTCAGAGATTCTTGATAACTATACAGAACTAGACATTATACCCAATTTATTAGAGTGTATTTCGTGTTGGCCTTATCAATTTATTAAAATGAACTCTGACTAACAATAACTCTAATTGTTATAATCCATCAAAGGAGTTAAAAAATACGATTAACTCAACTTTTATAAGTTCCTCATTAAAATTACAGAGGAAATCTAAAACGAGGAATACCTATTCACCTACCTTATTAAGAATAAATATATTCAGGAAGCCATAGAGGATTTTAAAGACGACAGAGTCTATGTTCTGGACTTTTTTATTAATCTATCATTTTTAGAGGCCGAATAATTATTGCAGATAATTTCATATCAATTCCTATCTCCACTTATTTTTGAATTAAATAAGGACAACAAAATTCAAGGAGGCTTATACATCCTTATTAGAAATCTGCTCTTATCTAATTATTAAATTCGATTGTATTTCTATGATTTTAAGATTTATTAACACCTCTCCTATGGCATATAATATTGTTTAAATAGGTTGGATATCGCCAATTTGGAAGAAGTAAGATTCTGATTTATCTTAGATTTTGATGTGCATAAAATCACTACTTTAGTAGGACGAGGTCTCTTATGCTAATACTAAATAATAGGTAGTGTCTTCTGAAATTGAACTAATGTTGTAAAGCATCTTCTTATCTTTGGAGAACTAAATAGATATTTTCAAATTGACAGGTGAAATATTGTTCATCTATTACACTGAATTTAAATTTAACGGAAATCAACAATTTAAAGAGAGACTCAAGACATTAGATTTGGAAGTAGATATATTTGATTCTATATAAAGTTATATTGAATAATTTGATTGATCATCTTCTTATGAGGTTTTCTTTTTGGGTCATGAAATTTTGATATTGCATATTCAATACATCATGGATTGTACAGGCACGATTAATCAATTGTTATTTTGATGTCAATTTTTCTTATGAGTTTTTGTTTTCTCTAGGATAATGAGTTGAGGATTCTCTGTGATAAGGTACATCACGAGTAGCATAATTGAGTTTTTCAGGTGCTTTAGGAGATTCAGATTACTTAATGGTTTTTTTATCAAAAACATCGAACAATTAATCCTTCCATTTACTTACTAAATTATTCTTCTATGATATCTGACTATCGATCATTTTTTTTGAATTATTCTTATTCTTATCATCACTATCTTCATATCTAAATTTTGATTTTGGATTTGCATTAACGCTCTCTTGAGTCAATATCTTTTAACTTTTCTTGTCCTTCTCCTTCTCTCGATAATCCTTAAACTCATGCAGATCCTTGCTCTCTCTGATAGTGTTTTTCTCTAAGGAATGATGAGGTTTATCGTTTTTAGGCCATAAGTCATTGAGTTTCTCTGATTTTATTGGACTAAACTTGCTGAGTCTGTCTTGTCTTTCAAAGTGGACATTGAGTTTAGAATCCAAAGGTTTTTCATCTGAATTAGTGTTTTTGCTGAATAATTCTTTTTATCTTATGGATTGTGGAAAGTCTTATAATAAATTAGGTACAGTTGCACACAACTAGGACTAGGCATTGGTTGACAATTTAAGCAATTATCTTTGTGTGGCCAATATGGAAGATTTCTATAATCTCATAATGAAAGGGATTACAATTTGGAGGGATGACGATGGAACATTTAAACTCTTTTCTATGTCAATTAACAATTTGCTTATATCTTCTTGGGACTTATTTAAATTTTAATAGATGAGGGAATTGATTTCTTCTTGGAACTATGCCATTTGTTGTATTTGTTATTCGAGATCTTTTTCTTACTTTTAAATTTCCAGTAATTGAATCATCTCTAAACTGTTTATATCATTAAACGTTTAGTTTTTCTTTTGTTCCAAACCCAAAATAAACTAATGATGACTTTATGAAATATTTACTTGTTAATATTGACTATTGATTTCATCTTTCGTTTATTTGCATTTTGATTGAAATTAATATTTCTGATCCTGAATGTCCTTGATGGCCTCGAATTTGGATTTGAAACTCTTTTCCAATCTCTCCAAATACAACTATAGTCTTTCGTTGGCCATGGCATTCTTTTGATTGGATTAATGTTGAGATCCAACATTTTATAGTCCCAAATCACGTAAATCATCAATTACTTCAACCACCTCGCTATCGTTGTTGGATTTGGGGTTAATTTAATTTTATTCAATTAACGGAACTATGATTTCCTTGATGACCATATGAAGGGCTTCAACTGTATCTTAATCAAGTTTGGTAAGATGATTGCATTTAAAACATACTGCCACTCTTTCGTAGTCTTCTAGATTTTGCTTCTCCTGTTAAATTTATAAGTAATTGTAGGCCAAACAGATTAAACAAAATTTATGTTCGCATTCCAATTTTACATACGTCTCCGGAACTGTCTGGCATTGATCGCATTCAACATCTTATTACGAATCCATATCAATATTCTATGCTAATTTAATTATTATATAAATTTTATATCGTTAGATTATAGAAACCTATTGTATTTTAAATCATTTCATGTTGATTAACATCCGTTTATATAAACATTAATTTACAATCAATATTTTATAATCTAAAAAGAACTATTTTTGATCTAAAACTCTTGTGCATCAACTGTTTAAATAGTTTAATATTCAATATTAGTTTTGCAGGTGATTTAATCAGAATTAAAATGATCACTTTATTAATTACGAATTATGCCTGATATTTTGTGATAGTACGCACTAAATTAGAGTAAAAATAGAAATTTATGTTAAACATTTAAATAATTATAACAAAACTTACTTAAATAACCTACACAATGCTTTATCCAGAACTCTCATCCTTAGACGACTTCGAATTTATCAAAAATCTTGGATCAGGATACTCATCAACGTAAATTTCTGTATTCTATTATCTTAGTGTTGATCTCTACAGACACATTTAAAGCGATAGAATAGTAGCAATGAAGAAGTTATCAACCAAGAACTTAACATAATCTGAATGCAGGAAAACCTACGATACTGAAATAACCATCCTAACTAAACTGAGAGGTTGTTCCAATGTAGTCCAATTAATCGGCTTTGGATTCTACACCACTACCGAAATCAGTACCAGAAGAACTAGAACTTTGAACAATTATTTCCTAATTTTAGAATACATTGACGCTTAGCCATTGGACAAAAGTAGTGAAAGAATTACTAAATAATTCTACTACAAACTTTTATTAAGTATATTGTTGAATTTATATGTAGCTCTGTAAAGAATTCATGAATTGGGAGTAGTTCACAGAGATTTAAATCTAAATAATGTTCTAGTTTAAAACAACGAACCTATACTCATCGACTTTGCCTTTGGAGCAGTGACGAATGGCAAATAGAAATTCACTGAGTTTTATGGAACTAAACCATATGTGGCACCAGAGATTGTTGATGGTTAGTCATATCTCCCATACCCTACTGAAGTTTACAGTTTAGGTGTTATTTTATTGGAATTGATAAACAACGAGGACTCCAAAGAAATTGCAGCCTAAATGATGCAATAAAACCCATATAAAAGACCGAATTTGGAGGATGTCATTGCTCATCCCTGGTTTTAATCTTGATGTTACTTAGTTATTTGTGTTTCTCTAAAATCAATGTATTTAGTTTTGATTAGTGGTTGTCTTCTACTCAACAAGATTCTGGTATTTACATCTGGTTTATCATATTTAATTATATAAATAGTTTTTTTATGTTAATTAGGTTTGCTATACTTATATTATTTTTATTATAAATATTTCCCGATGGTTTAAATAAATTAAAGCGATGATGACAATAAGATGAAGTCTCGCGAAATGTAAATCATTACTCATTCGACGCATGAACAATTTGATCCTAATCCGCATTCCATACATTTTATGAATGCTCATGAAATTATTTATGATTTGAATAGGGTTCTAGAAATAGAACAGACTGGTGTCATACTCAACGTTAATGATAGGGATCACCAATCAGACATCAATGAATTACAAAGCAGTATTATACAAAATATGAATAGGTATAATGCCGAGATGGATGCCTATTCTCCTAGAATTAGAAATAGAAATAAAAGCAATACTTCTCAACAAAGCTAATATCCATCCTGATTTCAATACATATTTCAACAAAAGAGTATTTCCAATTATGGATTGTTTTTTAAATAAATTATTTACAGATCAAAGACAATTAAAAGTGCAGTGTTACTTCAATGAAATTCTATTAATGATCTAAAGATTAGCATTGAACATTTGGAAGCAATGCCCCACAATAAGTCTAGCTGTATTTAAGAGAATCTTTGTCTATCCCGAAGTCAGGTTTTTTGATTCTCATTTTAATGAAAACCTATTTAGATAGGCTTTATCCAGTTTTTATGTTGAGCGTAACATGGCAAATGTGTAAAGTGAACACAATGTCGTCTAAGGGAAGGAATGCGATCACACCTACCAGAGTTATTATCCTTTATAAGGAGAAATCTTGGAAGACTTCCATAAAAACAAATCTAGTATCCACTTATCGCCTTTGTTGAGAATTTAAATGCATTACTTTTATTAAAATGGAGGGTTTGCCTTATTGATTGATGGGATCAACAATTTCCAGATGGTATTTATCGACATTCTGGATGTATTCAATTATTTTAGTAATTTTGTGGATAAATAGAAATTCATAAATTACTTCTCAGGTCTTAAGGATTAATTGAAATTATTTTATCAAAAAATCAATGAGGAAGATATAAAGTCATCCTCCAAGGAATAAGTGAAGAGATTGAATGAAACACTTGAAAAAGCATTGGTTCCCTTTTACACCTGTAGCGAAACTAAGGAAATCATAGGATAAACAGAATTGAACATCTACTTACATTATTTCAGATGTCACACCTTTGAAAAGCGTATTTTTGGTAAAGTGTTAATGTATATAATAGGATTACAGTAGATTTGTGAAAAGATAACCCCATTAAACTTCATGGACTTTAATGTGAATTATGAAGTTGGTTAGATGAATGATGACAATATCTAGAAGGATATTTTAATAAACTTTTTGGTGAAGAATAAAATATTTTAAGAATTATTTGGAGAAAAGGCTCATTTTGAATTGATTAAACGTTCAAATCCGATAATCCGCTTCTTGTATCGAAATAACCAACTTTAAACAAGTGATATAATTCAAATTTTGAAGATGGGAAAGGGAAAACATGAAAGTTGGAGCAATTTTCTATTCAAAATACTGAATGATATAGCTGAGATCATGTCCGAATCAGATATGGAGGCAGTTCTATAGGAGATATAAGAGTAGAAGGTAGATTCCAATATCTTGAATTTCATTAAGTGTTTAGGTCGCAATCAAAATTTTGATAAGAAATACTTTTAACAAAAGAAAGAAACCAAAGACAATATTCTAACAGAGTTAGAGATTGAATAAGAATCTATTCAGAATTCAACTAAAAACTCAGAGAAACTTACAATTAAGGTCTATAACGAAGATTAATAATAATCAGAGAACCAGTATTTGATAAGCAGGAATTAGGATCGGAAATTATAGTAGTAATAGCAATAGTAGGAGATCAAGAAGAGAAACATTTAGAATGATGATAGCATCGATACAAATTATGAAGAAGGAGAAGGTATTAGAGGAAGAATAGTGGAGTATCTTTTGAGTATCACAAACTAAAACTCTAATGTTGATATTGGATAACAAGCATTTAAAATAGCATTGGATTTGATTTGCATGTAATTTAGATTTCTAAGGATGAAGTATTTAAATTAAGCATTCCAAAAATTATTTGAGAACGACCCATAAACTGAAAATCATATACAAATGATCTCTAAGATTGTTGTTTCGTAATATCCAATAGACAACTATAATTCATAATCTGAATTGATTAAATATTTGGAGTAGAAATATAATTTCAAAATGTCTTTATTGGCTGTGATTGCAAAGGCTAAAAAGAGAGCTTATGAATAAAATAAGGATCATTATACTGAAGTGATTGATTAATTGTTGAAGTTTTACTAATTCTTGTATTTGCTGACTGATAATAAAATTGAAGCTCATCACTTAAAAATCATTTGGTAGGTCTTGGTTAATAATGCGTTTAGTGTTAAGGAATAGGATTTGTTTTTTAAGTGGATATTTAATTCTAATAAAAATATCATCTCATTGGATGCCCTTTAAATGTTATTCTTTGACTATTTAATTAAAATAGATTACAATTCTTATACTGTGCCTATTTTTTCATGTCTTTAAAACTTGATCATGTATTTCAATATACAATACAAAATATTGAAGACAGATGTTATGGATTCCTATATAATTCAAGATGCTGACATAGTAGGTTTGGAGATCTTATGGAAAGTGTTTTTTGAATGCAACAATAAGGAAATAATTTAGAAGGCCCAATAGTTTTTGCTTTAAATAACTGGTTTCAAATCAATAAATTAATAAATAATGAATAAATTAAAATAAAACTACATTGAACACATATTCGACAATGTCTAATAGAACACGACAGAAAAATGCTTAGACCTATGTATAAAATTACTAGAAGAAGTGGAAGGAATGAAGTATTTAAAATAGGATAGTTTTGAGAAGGGAGAATCAAGTGGATAGAACATGTTGATCATCATTGATAATAGATGTAAGAATGCTTAACATCCCAAAAGATAGGAGATATCAGTGCCTGAGAACATGAAAATAATACTTGTGAAATAGATCATAGGACAAAAGATCAATCCATAAGTAAAGAGGAATGAAATTGATGTAGTGTATAGAGGAACATGGCTAGATAATCAGAAGAGTTTAAAGGATTATAAGTTCGATAAAAAGCCTACTTTTCAAATTCTCATGAGACCTCAATAAGATGAAAATTAGAAAATCGAAGATTCGAAACCATTAGCCATCTGTCAAGGCGACATTGATGATTTGAAAGAGGCTTTCAGTACTCAGAAAATGAGTAAGGTTGTCCCTCTGCCAATTAATGAACCTATACCTTTGGGAATGCCGATTTATAAATAATTGAATAATGATTAATAGGAGAAGATTTAAAATGTTATGAATATTACTAATGAGTTCAATTAGGAACTTGTAGAGTATTTACTAAATGAAAATAATTGGAACTTAGAAATGACAATTATGGATTTGATAGATAATAGAGAATTCCATCTTTAAAAATTCGAGGAGAAATAAATTAGATAAGTCAGTCCACTATAGGATAAATCCAACAAATAGTAATAAACCTAATTTATAGACAATTAGATGTCTAATCCTTAATAACCGTAATATTAATTTTAGAAGGTTGTTCAGAATGAAAATAATTTTTAATTGGTTCAAAAATTCAGTATTGCAACCTTCATTTCAGAAAACAACAATTATATTTAAAAGTTATTTGACATTTTGAATTTGAATGATGAAATTTTGAATTCAAAAGTATGGTAGATTTTATCTATGATTCCCAGAAACAGAGAGACATATGAATTGATTGACAAATGCCAATAAACATCAGAATGGGAAAATCTATTGGATCAACAAAATAAATATAAGCTATATTATAACCTCTAAATATTAAAGGAGCTATTGGATTGTGATTTTATAGATGATTAAGATGAATTGAGAAAGCGTAAATAATGCAGAGAGAACTTTTTAATGCAAGGCGGATTAATTTAAATATAATAACTATTCTTCATGCCCAATGTTGATTCAAATACTATTTAATTAGCTTTAGAAATATTTCTCATCTATTTTACAGCCTACGTATTATCAAAAACGGAGAGAAATGATGAATTTTGTTGCAGAATAATAAACCTAAAAGAAACAGTAAGAAATCAATTCAAATAATTTGAAGACAGATTACCTTCAACCTTCTTTTTTAATGAAAATAATGACTCTGATAAATCAAAGCAAAAGTCTGAGACGGCATCAAATTCTTAGTCAAGTGGAGTTTCTACTCCTAAATTTAATAATACCTCCATCACTCCTCCATTGACTCCACCTGTTGAAGAACACTCAATACCAATATCGAAACAACAACTATAGACTTAAGATAACTTCGATGAAAGATAGATGTTAATACTTTAATTTAAGGAGAATCAGCTGTTTTAAGAATTCTTGAATTTTCCACATGAAGATCTTCTCAGATCTTTGATAAATAAAATTGATTTAGGATTTGAACAAATTTTTTAGGCAATCCTATTGATTCTCTATTAAAATTCAGCCCTAGTATAGACTATCTATGAAATTGAGAGTTTTCCATCCTAGGTCTTATAAGTTTTGACACAATCGTAGTCTCAAGAATGTCGAAGAATCTTAACCTATTCATTGATTTAAATCTGTAAAATACCTTCTTAAAATGCTCAGAATGATTTTGGATTCTATTTGTTAAAAGAACTCATTCCACAAATTGTAAATCCTAAAACCCAATTCGAAGATATATTCATATTGACTGCAGTTGTACTAAAGCGAACTAATTATGAGGTACTGACCTAAAGTTTTGACTTTTAAGATTTGTCATCATAAATAATTCAGAAGATTATTGATCGACCCATAATTGAAGAGAGATTTGAAGACAATGAGGATAAAGTAGTTTAAGGGTATTT